ATAATTTACCATTTGTCACCTTTACTTCTTACAGTGTACAGCCACCTGTGTCTCCATGAAAAGAGGGGAGGAGGGGTCTGGACGGTGGTGGGTGAAGAGGAAGAGGGGTGGAGGTTGGGGGGCTGTTTTGTTCCTCCGTCAAACAGAGCGATGCTTTGGCCTCCGGATGTCTCCATTTCAAGACAATGATCTTCACGAGGAGCTGTCACAGACCGGGGCGTCACTGAAGCACAACGCTCTCACTGTCCCAATTCAACGTTTCAACAACTTTTCATTTCTTTCTGTTTATAATCTTAATACTCAATATTCTTTCTCGATCTCTCTCTTTTTTTAAATTTAAGTAACTTACATCTTCAAATTTACTGACAACAAGAATCATAATTGCAGTAAATGGAGCATCTACCAAAACAAACACAAACCAACCAATTCATATTTATGATTTGAAAGCATATGCTGTTACTTGTGGATAAACTGGAAAAAAAACTGTAGTAAACATGTCCTCTCCCAACATGAAATACAGCAAATGTAATGCAACCTGACACCAAACACATCCTAAATAGACATCAGCTAATGATTCAGTCACAAGCCTGATACACAGCGGAATAAAAAAACACAACACAAAAACACTCATCGCTTCATGTTGTGTTTGATCAGAGACAGGATTTAAACCATACAAAGGGAAATGAGATCCAAGCTTGCAAACAAAGCTGCAGCTACTTTAAAGCTGATTTTCCTCCTGATCTTTTCAACATATGGACTGCACAAAACAGGGAAAGTAACAGGATACCAAAATTATTCAAAGCCGTTTATACTACCAAGTTTTTACTCTACGACCTGCTGCAACAGAATACTGTTGTAGAAGTGCGAGTGTCTGTGTCCTACTGTACTGAAAGCTGAAACCATCTTATACGTGATACTGTGAGCATTTTACTCTGTTCTTATATATATGGATATATTGTTAAAGTAGGACTCACCAAAACAGAGTATTTTATTTAACCTGATGAGGTAACACACTCAGGGTAAGATGCACTAACAAGCAGGGGTGTGTCCAGACCTTTTTGACTGGGGTGGCCCGACCTCAACACTGACACCGCTAGGGTGGCCTCAAGAAAGTGAGCCCGCGTATAAATAAATAACATTTACTATTGCGTCTGTGTTGAATTAGGTCCAACACACCATGTCTGACAAAGCAAAAAGCCAAAGAAGATGATTTTTTGACGTTTTTATACATAGCGTTCACATTTTGGGGGCAGGGGGAGGGGAACTTTGAAAATTAAATCAAACTAACACTTATAAAAACGACACTAAGACTTAGATTGAGAAAAAAATGTTCAATAAAACCTAAAAGCAAACCTTAGAGACTTTAAAAGTGAAAACTGAACGGAAATCAAAAACAAAGAGAAGCTTAAACTATATTTGTTGAATTAAAAAGGGCTGATCTGAGCTTGACCTGAGCTGTTCGATGTAAAGATGTTCCTCTTTCACAGGTGAGTGTTGCATCCTCTGGGGTTAGGCATCAGAGGAGATCAAAGTGGGGTCAAAGTTATGTCTTTCTGTCCTTCATTTCAGTTCAGTTTAATTCATTTTAAAGTCTAGTTTTTAAAAGTATTTGTTTTTATTTATTTGTTTGCTTTCGTTTTTGTAACATGAGAAACTTGCCTTTGAATTACCGTAATGTACTGAGGAGAAGATAAACCTGAAGATAAAAAAGTGATACCTTTGTACTGATGATTCAAATTCAGGTGGGAGGGCAAAACATAGTCCAGAATATGATATTAAATCAGTAAAACTATCTCTCAGGGTGGTTCTGTCTACAGCTGACGGAGCTCTTGTGTTGGTTTGAACCTGACACCCACCGTTCTGTGACTAGATGTGAGGATTGTTTATGTTTTTCCACCATTTTTTCTTAACTAATCCAGCTCATCACAGCAAGAAGCTGCATTTAGACAAACAGAGCTTAGAGTCGGTTTAACTGTTAACATGCGAAAAGTGGCCTGTGCAGCAGATGAGGTCCGGAAGATTTGGACCAGCAGTAAAGAAAATTCTCAAAGAGTGCATCTCAGCTGCAACTCTCTGCTTGAGATTCACCAAATTTAGGTAGAGCCTTTTTTTCCCCTTAATATGACCCGACAAGACTTGGACACCAGACGCACATCCAACATGAACACAACACTATACACATGATGTAGAGCCCTGAACATGATGGTTAATCCAAAGCGTCCCTTCCCTCTTAAGCGTAAGGAAAACAGAAAAGAACACCTGGATGCATCTTCAGCTTCTGCGATGCATAGTTTCACAAATTAGCATAAAGTTTACACTCAGACAATAAGATATGGAGAGAGCCATGACAGCCTCACAAACACACTCTGGCAGCCAAAGCCTTTTTTTCCAGATACAACCGCAAATGTAACCGACAGTGACATCCAATTTATTCTCTCTTATCTATTGGTGAATACTGTACAATGATGCAGAGTCTGTGCAAAGACTTGCAGTGAGTGCATTTTGATACTGACATGCCTCTTTTAATTGATACAATAAAATCGCGGGCCATTCAGTCTGCAGGGTACCAGGACAAATTGTCTTGTCTGGCTGCTCTTACAGACTGTCCTGATGTCACCCCGCTCACTCCTCGCACTGTTTCCTACTGGACACAGCTGCACTGCTCAACTTTAACATAAATATCATGGAAAAAAAGCAAAGAAATGGAAACAAAAGTGATGCAGATGGCATTTCAATCATGAAGCTCAAATCTGAGTAAAATCTATTCAAAGATCACTGATATTAGGACTCTGACAATGTAAGGGTTGGTCAGATTCAACATAATGCACAAAGAGCATGAGAAAAAAACAGATGCAGAGGATTCAGTGTCATAATGTTGGCTTCATAGTGAAGCTTCACAAGGTTTCATCCACTCTGAGCGATTGTAGTCCCACTGATGTAACCAAATCTGACAGTCCTGCTTTTAGCTCCATCTTCAACTCTGTCAACCTCAAGGTGAAACAATTTGGCTCTTAAGTTATTAATGTGTCAATCTGCTGAGAGCGCACACCATCTCACTGGAGCTCCATGTGCTTTATAGTAACATAGCAAACTTTACGATACGTGATATTGATGATGAATGATAAATGCACAAGGATTTTAAAAAATCATGAGGAAAAGACTGTTTCTTTTCTGTGCGCTTAGCCCGAGGCTGACAAGGTCATACAAGGAGAACAGCACTTGAGCCTGAACCCTGAACAAGCTTTTATTGTGAGCTGAGAAACAGGACCCACGCTGCTGTTTTAACAGTTGCAAGGAGTAAGAGCGCCATCATGTGGACTTGACAGTGTCAGCCTGGAGGAGTAACAGAGAAGGGTCAAGGTTTGCCACTGTTGAATATGACTTCATTATTACTTACGCAAATGGAGACTGTTTCTCCTTGTTACTTAAAAAGACATGAAAGTAATAAGAGTTTTGACGGTTTATGTTTTGTATTTGTAGAACTGGTCTGTCAGTAAAAAGGACCAGAGCTCTGAGGCTGCAGAGATCCTATTAGGATGCAGGGATTATTATAATACTTCAGCCAAATAAGTGCTTTTTTAGGGGCCTAAACAAGATTGAAAATGCTCAAGTTTTTGCACACACATCAGTAGATGTATGTTATCTTCACCTACATCTATGACCTTCTCTGTGCACATTTTGACTCATGTCTAACATGTGTCAGGTTCTGCACAAGGTTTCTGCCTGCTAAAGGGAAGTTTTCCCTTACCACTGTAACTTGCTAAATACTGCAAAGTGCTTCACTCATGTTGGTTTGAGATGAGTTAAATCCTCTTCCATTAGGTCAAGACCTTCTCTTTTGGAAAGCACCTTGGGTTAACAATTGTTGTGATTTGGTGCCTTTTAAATAAAAATTGATTGATGATTTGTCACACCAAACGCTACAGAAAAGTCACTAACACTTATACCTAAACCTGTCTATATAAACAAACTCGTCCTTGAAGTTTTACAATAACTTTATTTATCCCCAAAGGAAATTAAAGGTGGGGTAGGTAAGAATCCGTAAGGAAGCATATTTTTTGTGGTGTGTATACAAAAAACATACATCAGTCAAAAGCTATTAGTTATTGATGACAGTTGGGATTATCAAGATATCGCTGTGTTTTCTTATGCCTGTGTAGTCAAAATATGAGAATTGTTATGCGGTCCGCTCATTCTGACTGTAAACAAAGCCGTTCTCCTCCCAGACCTGATTGGTTGTGAGGCAGATGCTGCTCCCTCGTGTTGTGAGGTACGCTTTACACCCTCAGGTAACGTGCACAAGCCCAAACAAAGTTAGTGTGCTACAATATCGGACAGTAAAAAAACAACCAGAAAGTACAGAAAATTGTCTGAATGCTCCTTTAGCCATGACTGCCAACACAAGCAAGAAAACGAAGTAAATACCGTAGACTCTGGTGGAATAACGTGCGCTTAGAATGGAGGTAGACCGGGCAAGAGCTAAAAAGCCGAGTCAACATGAAGCTGGCATGAAGACTGGGGACGGGCTGTGGACAAAATTTTAAAAATTTATGTGCTCAAGTCCTCTTTTTTTCTGTACAGCTCCATTTTTAAAAGTTATTAGGGGGTTCATGTTGTCTATGATTGACACCTGATACAGCCTATGGGCATACAAGGATTGCGTATCTCTCCCGGGGGATGCGCTGTATGAGCTGAGCGTCAACACAGCGACTCTCGGCGACTATCTCGCCGAATGCGCACAATGCTGCTGCGCAAGTGGTGGAGAGCGTACAATGCTACTGCGCAATGTTGGTTTGAGGAAGTGTAGAGAAAACGCAGAATTACCGAGAGCTTCCTGGCTTCAAATCTGTATACTAGCGGAAGGCGGAACCAAGTTGTCCACAGTTCATACAGTCTATGGTCGGGGTCTTACGGACCTTTTTGCCGGACAGGTAAGCCGCTAAGTTTTGTTTACCTGTAATGTATCACGTTTTAGTAGCAGAGCAACTGAAAGCATTGTGTTTGTCGGTTGCCCGTTAGCATGCTGCTACATTAGCACTGGTGCTATCTACGTATATTTTGACAATGCCCCGTTTTAACAAAGTGAGCCAAGTGGCTGCAACAGAAGTGTTTCTTGTCAAACGGGACCTGCTGCGTGTTGTAGCGCCACTAAACTGTTTACCTCAGGTCCTGGAGTATGTCACTTTATCCTGGTTGTAGAAGTCCTGCAAACATTGTGTTTGTTGGTAGTCAGTTGGCACCTACAGCAGCACAAATGCGGTTTACTTTAACGTTGACTGGGCTTTATAGGCGGGGCTTGCTGGGGGGTGGGTGGGGTTGCATTCGAGATTTCTCCCCAAAACTCTCACTACCTCAGATCCTGCTTATATCTCACCTTTAATTCGTCTGGAAACTCAGATAAACTCAAGTTACGATCTGACCTTCCCAGTGGTGGTGGTAAAGCAGTAGCTTTATAAGCTTCGTTGACATTGGCAAACAGCAGATTCAGGGTTTCCTTTTCTCTGATAGGGCAGTTAAAGGGATATTCTTGCATAAAATTAATTTAGGGTCAAATGCACCGCAACACCGAGTTAGACACCTTGTCGAGAGATGAATGTTGCCGACTTCTTGCTTCTCTAGTTATACCAACTTTAGTAACGACCACACGATAGCAATACACAGCGGTCTGAGGAGCCACGTGCTCAACCAAAAAGCCACTCTGTAGCATCAAATAATGCTCAGAACAGCACCTAACTTCATCAACAGTACATATAGGGTCCCAGCCACAGCACGAGCCACCAAACATCTTTCACGCTTTTCCTGATTTCTTTAGCAGAGTCTAAACACATCTCACCCACTCTCTTCCAGCAGCCGCTTGTTTGTATGGAGACCTCAGGCGAGTCCATTACTGCAGCGGGGTGACGCAGCTCAAGGAAGAACATTTATCCAGTCAGGTAGGAGGTGAGGGGGACATGATTGAAGTCTCCTATTATTACAAGTGCCTCAGGATGTTGAGTCTGTATCCTAGCAACAGTATCATGGAGAACATCACTCCGAACTTCAGCCGCTGCCTTAGGTCGGATGTATACAAGGACAGTTATAGTCAAAGTTTTCTACCTCATGAGTGAGTGTGGGTGTAGCAAGCCCTCAAAGATAGGTATTTGACATGAAAAGGGAGCTTTTATCTCAGGAATGCATAATTAAATCTGACTAAAATGCACCACACATAGTCGGGGTCCAGGTCTGAACACATTCATCAGACTGTTTAATACTATGTCATAGTGCCCCCCAATGGAAGCAGGAAATTCCACTTTACAAGTTGTAGCTCCAAGACCATTAAACATACCTGCTTCTGTTCAGAATGAAAAACTGTCCGCGCCAAGTCTCTTAAAACATTTCTTTACTTAATGCACATGTTTGCAGCAAAACTTCCTCAGTTATACACAATTTATACTGAAATGAGATCTTAACCACAAATAGCTAACACACAAAGGATGACAGTGAAAACAAAAAGGCCATTAGTCCTGAATACACCATGTACTACAGAAGATGCATGAGCCCTCTTTGCATAAATAACATCCAAAACATATCTGAAGCTGGAAGGTTAAAGACATTCAGTACTAAAATAGTCAACCACTCGCCCTGTATGAGGACAAACGGACTAAAAAAGGTATTTTTTTCTAATTTTGACATCACTTTCTAATCTGACATCACTTTTACAGATCTCTGCTGTAAATATTCTCTGCTATCAACAATAATTACAGAGCTCAGAAAGCAGCTACGTCTCTTTTAGAGTTTTAAAGCCCCATTGTACACGTCCAGAGGGGAAACATCTGAAAGTTTTTAAACTTTCGATACAACAAGTGACACTCAAAGGTACAAAAAAAAAGCTTATTGGCCCTTTAACTCTCAGCTATAGTGACTCTGCTGAACCCAAAATGAGAGAACTTCACCCTTTCTCACTGTAATCCTTTTTGGATCTTTTTGACAATCTCTTCCACATTACTGAAAAATTAAAAAAAGTTATTTCTTTATAAAATGACATCAACTTCTAAAAAACGTTTATTTTTAACTTTTCTTGGAACTTTCTGAAGTTTGGAGGATCTGATTTAGATTCATGACGACCCTTTCAACAGCCTCAGCCACTTTCATCAGTAAACAACGAGCCTCATCTTCTCAAAAGTCTTTAAACACAGCCTTTAAACATGGAAAAAATATATCTCTTAGTCGACAGAAATAAAACACCAACTCATCCTAGAACAGTAGAAACTGTAAGTAACAAGAGTAAGATATCTAAAAAACAGACAATGAGGGGGTTTCAGCTTTCTGACGTTGTTGATGAGCTGTTTTTGAGATATTTACAAAGAACAGACCAATGAAGAAAAACACAAAACTTCTGGACTTTTTCAGCTCAAAATTAAAATTTGGATACAGTACATACAAATAAAAACAAAGTTTAGCTTCAAATGTTCCACTGTGTCCTGTGTGTAGATGAAAAACCTCAGTCCTTTTCCTTGACCTGGACCGTGTCGACCTCAAACTGGCTATAGTGACTGACCTGAAAGTGCAAGTTGCCTGTGTCTTCATCACCTCAGTTAAAAATAACAATATTAGCAGAAAGGAGGGAAAGGCATTAGTTTTCTGGAGATGAAAACCAACTTAAATTTATGGAAACAAAACCGAAGAAAGATGGGCTTTGAAGCAGCTTTACTAAGGACTCCATCTCTCACATGTGGCTCTTTTAAGTGACAATCAGGTGTTCTTTTATACAGAGACAGGTTTTCAATTACCTTGCTGACATGTTTCAACGTGCTGGCAGCAGTCTTCCTCACCTGTGTCTGTGTAAATTAAAAGAACATCTGATCGTAATTTATCAAAAAAGACATGATGAACCTAATCCAAGAATCTTTGAAGTGACGTCACCATGATTGGAAACCTTCAGTGTTTAACCCTTTTTTCTTGCGTTTTCATATTTACTGTAACCTGTTTTAAAAACACTGTCCTGAACTTTTCTAAAACGATATCCCTTCCTAAATGACCCAGTGTTCATGATGACCCCTGTTTAACCATGGGAAACTAGTTAAGCTAGTTCAGTACCTCAGCAGTGTTCAATGCATGAGTTACCTTAAGGTTTAACCTGAATATTGACTTTGTGTGGAGCTGCACAAAGGGATACTTACTGTGCGTCTTTGCATCTGTCATATATGCTACCACCACTAGAGGGCACCTCTGAGCCATAAATGCAAATATCTGTTTCAAACCTACAGTAATTGTGGATAATGAGATTAAATATTTTCTATTTTACTGTCAATTCTGAGCAGCTAGATAACAGGTCATAATCAAACTTGTAGTTGTCTGTACATGTATTTAGCGTTACTGTGGTTCCTGTGACTGAAGTATTAAAGATACAGCTGCCTCTTGAAGCTGTGTGTCTGATTTAGTAGTCAACAATTTCTGTCTTCATTGAAGTCATGTATTAAATTGGCATCAAAGTCAATAAAGGGATCTGACCAGACTGTATGCGGACCAGTATTGAAATTTTTACAGGCTTAAATAAGGCTCAAAAACAAAAATAATGTCTCTTTCATGTTTACTAAGATTGAGTTCAAAACCTAGATACTGTTATATCTTTGTAGCACAGAATGTTTGGATAGGTTACGTCCACATTTATAGATTTATCTCATTACAGATGTGGCATTACAGAAAAAAGTATCAGTTTGTCTCAGAGACATGATAATCCCTCAAAGATGCTTTTATCATGTTTTTAGGTTACGGTCAATTTTTAAGGAACTTAAAAAAAAACAAAAAAAAAAAACACTCATGACATCTCAGAGATTTTAAATGGGCGCCAAAATCAATCAAAAAAATATATAAAAATCAAAAGCACTCAGTGTTCAAATCCTGTGGTTCAACACACTCAGAGGAGCTTCTTGCAGGAGCTGATGGTCCATGAAAGTCGATGTTTATGAGTTAGGGGCTGGTTGTTGTTGTTGTTGTTGTGTGTCATTTCAAGTCCAGACTTAAACCTCCTCAGCCCAGACTCAGGTGAACAGACACTCTTCTGAGTACTCTGTGTTTTCAGGAGTGTACTGCTCACTTCCGGCTGGGTACTCCTCACCCTCACCTGCTGCATACTGCTCCTCTGCAGACGCGCTGCTGCACTGGGTCTCTCCACTGACGTCACCCCCAAACGATTGTTCTGCTGCCTCCTGGTTCCCTGTGGTGTTCAGACCTAATTTCTTCACTCTGTTAAAAAAAACAACACACATTTATTTTATTTTTTTTAAGCAAAGACTCGAGCTACAGGACTGAGTACAACGAGTACAAACCGAAAAAGTTCAGCTTTCAATAAGTGATTTGGACAGGACAAGAAAGAAAGTTGTTATGTCGGCTAATGATTGAGATCAGCACTTGATATTAAATATAAACCCTCTCATGTCGCTGTTTTGCACAGCTGGTTGCTGTTGCTCTCACTTTTGGTTCCTTATCACAACAGGTGGTGGTCTACGCATGGAGCACCTGTCGTGATGATGAAACATTCAAAACGCCGGTTTTGCTTTTTGGGGTTCTGCTGATGAGATTTACTTGACGGTTGGACACAGAAAGGCATAAAGTAACCGCAGGAAGGAGGAGGAGGTAACAGCGGGGGAAGATGTGGTTGTCAGGGGCAGATTCAGGGTTCATTTAGGAGTGCGCCAGCCCCACAGGCCGCTGAACTCAGGGACTTGGGATTAGACTTGGATATAGTGTTGGGCAGTATGACGGTATAAACCGTGTGACGGTATAAAAGTGTCTACCAGTAGAAATTTTGCTTTACCGTTTATACCGGAGAGAGAGCAGATGTCTGCTGCATCTCTCTGAGTCAGTGTGTAGTTGTCTGCGCTCGATAACAAGAAAGCCAGAGGGCATCCATCAGGTACGTTTCCGTATATTCACCAGCGTGTCTTGCGAAGTTTGTTTTCGCTCGTTTGATTGGTCAGGTTTGGGTGTGCTCCCTATAATCAACAGCATGTCCAGCAGACTGCTTTGCATAGTTTCGGCGAAAAAGAAACAGCTTCACAGGTGGTGGTCATGGCGGATGCGGAGATGAGTGGCAGCCCGACCCACCCAACATGAGGAAGAGGAGGAGGAACTGGTTCCGGAAAAAGGACGCAGGTCGCAACATCGGTTGTCTGGAGATTCTTTGGATTTAGAAAATCTGACAACGATAAAAAAAAAAACAATACTATGCAAAGAGTGTGGTGTGGTTGTTGATGCTGGAGGTGGAAACATCAGCAACTTCTTCCACCACCTGAAGATGAAACATGCCAAGCTCTATTATCAGAGCCAAAAGATGCGCGGCGCACCTGCTGCACCAAAAACTAAAGTTGCAGCAGCTCCTCTCATACAAAAGAGTTTGGCAGAGTCTTTTGCCAAAGGTACGCCATATGATAAAAAAAATTGCATTTTGTTTGCATTTGTTTACAAATCCGAGTTTAAAAATAAAAAAAATAAAAATGCAACAGTGTTTATTTTTAAGCCATTAATTGAATTTACAGGGGGGAAAAACATACCGTGATATATACCGTTACCGCGATACGAAATTACTCATACCGTGATAGAAGATTTCATTCATACCATCCAACACTACTTGGATGTTCAAAAAGGGACTTGTTTTCTTTTTCTGGATTCTATCCAAAGCCCTGCCGTCTAAAAGGTGTTAAAAAACCTGCAAAAAAAGTCCAGAGACCAGTCTGAACAAACCACCCGCTCATCTTTGGTGTAGCGTTTGTTTGAACAGGCTGAGCAGACAGCTGAGGGAGAGGCAGAGGTTGGTGTTGCTTCCTGCTGCTTTGATTAGCGTTTCCAATTACAATCTCATGATCAGGTCATCGCCTCATTAAAGAAGTAAAAAGGCTTGTGTGCTCACTGGTTCTTGTGTTTGGCTCCGCTGATGTGAGACTGGTACTGCTCCACAGAGTTCAGTTCAATGCTGCAGACGGTGCATGGATAGCCCTTTAGTGTGGAGGCTGTGGACATGAATCAAAGAAAAAAGAGAAAATCATAACTGGATCAGTACTCGCTTATCTGCGCACACAAAAGGCATGACTTTCTGCTTTTGTATCTCTGACCTGGTGCCGTGGAGGGCCCGTACGTCTCCATCAGTTTCAACTTGGTCATCTGTTTTCGATGCTTCTTTCCTACGTAGTGCTGCTGAGCCATGAGCGGGTTGTTAAAGGAGGCCTGGCAGATGGAGCAGAATCTGTCTGGGTTGTGGTTGTTGTTGCCTCCTGTCACCGGCGCACTGGGCAGATCATCTGAGGGCTCCTTCTTCGGCTGGGCTGTTGGTGGTCTTTGAGAGGCTTCTGCTGGAGTTGTGAATCAGATTTTTACAGTTTTAAGTCAAAACAGACGCTGTGATGAAAGTGAGAGCTGAAGAGTAAGAGATCTGGGCTTCATAAATACCTGGTATCATCCTCAGGTTCTTTGCATGAACTTTGCCTTGGTAGTGAGACTCGGCCACCACAGGAGAGGAGAAGATCATGTCGCATATATGACACTTCTTAAACCGATCTGTGTCTCCATTGTTACAGTCCTGTTTACAAAGAAAAACAGAGCATGAAGGCCTCATTTGTCCCATCAATAAATCATCTCCTCCCCTCCTCAGTTTCTTTACGTAACAGAAAAGCCTTCTGCTAACTTTTTAATGTCCTAATGCAGTTAACTTTCCTGACACACAGGTCACCTAAAGTTTAAATGTGCCTGCATGTCCAGGATGAGAATCCAAACAAGACAAAGAGGACACAGTGTGCACAAACTGCATTTTCTCCAGCAGTGCTCGATTTGACAGCATGAGCTTATTTCTACTCTTCATTTCCAACAACAGGCTTTATCTGGAGTAGAGGCTTTTTTAAATGTCATTAAATGAGAGAAGCAGGAAACAGATACACCAGGGTACCCTCACAGTCATGAATTATTAAGATACAACTGACACTGATGCACATTATCAAGGATGAATAAAGATTTAATTTAAAAATTCCTGTCAGCATTCAGAGTTCGTTTTAGTTACATACCGATGAGTCTTTAGATTAAAATGCGTTTGCCTAGTTTGAAATAAGTTTTCAGATACTTCACTTCCATTAAAGTTCAAGTTAAGCGCTGCATACTCACGCTGTCAGACGAAGTCTTGACCTTCTTCACGGTTTTCTCCTCATTTTGGAGGGAAAAATAGCGCCGCACTTTGTTGGCATGTTTCTTGCTCTGAAAGGACAAAGTGAAAGACAAACATCAACTTCCAAAACAACCGTGTCAAACTTCTCTCCGTTTGTTTGACATCCTGTTTCACTGAAACAAAGTGAAGCTGATGGCTGCTGTGTCGATGTCTACACACAAATCCTTTAAAAAAAAAGTGCCAGACTAGCTAAATGTCTAAATCACAAGCCTTGTGTGCAAAAATTAAAGTCCTCAGACCCTCTGTAGCTTTCCATTCTTTCCCAAGTCTCCTACTCTAACAGTGCAAAGGCCCAAAAATCATCAGGAGAAACTCTTTTGAAAAACAACAGGTTGATCACATCTGTGTGCATTTATCTGTTGCTGTAAATTCAAAAAACCAAAATGAAATACAAAACAGGAGCGTAAGTTCAAGATCTGCTCCAAAACTTAGATACCAAATCATTTTTCATCTACACTAGATAATAATATAGATTATATGAATCCTCTGAGTTTTTGGAACAGCAGAAAAAAACATGTTATTCAGAAATCTAATGAGTGGATGTCATTTATTTTTTTAACCAGCTAAAAGCAGTGAGGATAATTACAGAGCAGACTGGCTGATTTAGATTTAGATTTAGATTTAGAGACAGACCAGTAAATCCGGGCTATTAATGGCATTTTGATGTTATCTTCATCATAATCTAAAAATCAATAAACTTCCCATGAGGTGAGGTGAGTAAAGTGTCATCATGTTAATTTAATGAACAAAGCACGCACATTTACAGTCAGTATAGTCAAGTTTTTCAAAAGCAAACAGGAAAAAAAGAATCCTGATGGTTAACTGGGACGATGGATGAGGAAGTCTAAAGTGTGGCAACATTTGACCAAAACTTAAGTGAAATGCAGTTTATGCTGCAAGATTATTTGGAAACGCTTTCTTTTACGGCACACTTATTACCAGGTAATTAACAGGTAATTACCTAGTAACAACATGAAATTATCTGGTAATTACATAATAACTACTAAGTCAATACTGTCTAGTTTTTCTTTTTTTCTTTTTTCTGTGCAGCTCCATTTTCAAAAGCTATTTAGGGTTCTTATTTTCTATGATTGACACTTGATACAGCCTATGGGCGCGCGAAGATTGCGTAGCGATACGCTGTTTGAGCCGAGCGTTATCACAGCGACTCACCCGCCGAATGCGTACAATGCTACTGCGCAAGAGGTGGTTCCAGGAAGCAGAGAAAATCCTGGAAATACCAGAGCAATTCGGCTTCAAATTTGTATGATGATGGGAGGTTACCTACCTGGTAGCTAGACAGTATTGACGTAGTAGTTATCATGTAATTACCAGATTATTTCATGTTGTTACTAGGTAATTAACAGGTAATTACCTGGTAATAAGTGTACCGTAAAAGAAAGCGTTATCGATTATTTCTTGCAAGAGGGGAACACATCCTCCATGACCAAAGTGACATCCTCTCTTTTAACTAAAGCTGTCATAGTAAGCACAGCCAGACTTAAGAGCAAGTCCTGTGGGTTAAAAATCATAAACCAGAGTTCAATTTAGAGTTGAAAATCTACGTTGACATGAGCAGAGTGAAAATGAGTTTGCTAACTAAATGATTGAAACACAATTACAGTATGAGACGTTCAAGGTCGAGTCGGTAAGAGAAGAATTAGGTGAAAGTAGATAATGTGATGTGTTCAAATGTCATGTCCAGAAAAGGAAAGAAAAGGATCAGAAAAAAGATTTGAGAGAGGAATCAATAAGGACTTGGACCTTTAAGGAGTCTCACTAAAAGTATCAGTATTGATAAAGACTCAGCTGATGTCAGTCATCTCAAAATGCCATTGATTGACCCAACTGACTGACTGGTCTCTCTCTAATCCAAACCACACAGGTATCATTGACACAGTATACATGAGCCAAGTACACAGAAGAAACAGATGAAGGCCTCCTGACATCGAAACAGCAGCAGACTGTGGGCTCACTGACCTGATAATGAGTCAACTTCTGAGACTCGGAAATGAGGACAGCACTGCAGACTTTACACTGAGAGTCAGAAAACAGGTCACCATGCTCCTTTATCATCTTATTTACTGCAGAGAGAGAGAGAGTGAGAGAGACACAGACAGGAGATTTCAAATCAGGTTAAATCCTCTGGGAAACTTATCACAACACAAGAAAAAAATGAAACTTCTGCTAAAGACACTTCACATTTGTTAAGGGTATTAGGCAGTGCATAAGTGTCAAACTCTAACTGGACTGAAATTGTGTGCATTAAGACTAATTTTAAAACCCTAAAAATAACTTCCTATTGTTATTGCTCACACATCCCGCCTGCAGATAAAAAAGGCCCTTTTATGCTGGAAGAGTTGAAGGCGAAAGGTAGTGGACAGAGCAAACTCTCAAATGAATGAAGAATGTATTAGACTTGAACTTACCGTCTATATGGTACTCAAAAAACAAACAACAAAATCATAATTTCTGTGCTACTTGGCTTTGACAAAGGGCTAACAGCAGCTAGCTTAATAAGAGGGAATAAATGCAGCTTAACTCACATCTGAAGTAGTGTAAAGCTGTCAAAGTTGACACTGCCTGTCAAAGAGGCTGAAAACAATCTTCCTGAGAGATTAAAATAATCATAAAGAGCCATCCCATCATCGCATGACAGCAGAAGAGTTCAAGAGACATGTCAGTATCCTTAAATAGGGCTGAGCGATATAGCCGAAATTATTCTCACAATAAAACTTTGAAGTGGATATCAATAATTATCAGGGTAAATGTTAAATATTTATTTCTTCAGAGGGTTTTTTCCAAGCATGGAGGGATAAGCCAGAGTTACAGAGAATGAGCAGTGCTGGTGTGATTTTTCCACTGGTCACGTGTTGGCTTGAGTATTTTTTAGGGGCCACTGAGACCGAGAGCTTGCATAACAGAGATATCTATAATTTCTGACATGTCCCTTGCTTACATCCTGTGGGTCCAGCAGTTGCATAGTCTAGTGCATTTACAATTATATTTATGATCTGTGCAAGCCTGTGTAAACATAAGGCTAAATACAGCACAACAGGGCCCCTTTTAGCAGTGTTTCCCTGTGCGATTACAGATTACTGAACTTTTGTAAACATTATTGCAAAAAAAAAATGGCACAGTGATTACTGCTATATCACCCAGCCCTGCCCTCTAAAGAATTAAATCATTTTTTCTCAATACTGCAGGACAAGAGAGACTGGGACTTCATGACTTGATCTACGCATCCAAGAAAGGGCATCAAATCAGGTGGGCCCAGGTGTATACCTCTTAAAAGGATATTCCAGCGTAAAATTAATTTAGGGTCAAACACACCGTAACACCGAGTTAGACACCCCCTCGAGAGATGAATGTTGCCGACTGCTTGCCTCTCTAGTTATACCAACTTTAGTAACAGCTGCACGATAGCAATACACAGCGGTCTGAGGAGCCATGAACAAACCTCAACCAAAACGCCACTCTATAGCCACAAATAATACTCAGAACAGCACCTAACTTCATCAACGGTACATATAGGGCCCCAGCCACAGGGCTCGCCTCCAAACATCTTTTTAGCTTTGCCTAATTTCTTTAGCAAAGAGACTAAACACAACTCACCTACTCTCTTCCAGCAGCCCCTTGTTTGTAGCGAGATCTCAGCCAGTCCATTACGGACTGCAGGGGGGTTACGCAGCTCAAGGAAGAACATTTCAGATCATTTCTTCATTTCCTTGAAGTAATAATCATCATATTAATCATTTTGCACTGCAGACGCGGTAGTTCTTCTGCCTTTGTGTCTCGTTCTGTCTTGTTGTGTCTCCATAAAGAAATGATCAAAAATGTTCTTCCTTGAGCTGCGAAACTCTGCTGTAGTCCATAACAGACTGGCCTGAGGTCTCGCTACAAACAAGCGGCTGCTGGAAGAGAGTGGATGAGTTGTGTTTAGTCTCTTTGCTCAATAAATTAGGCAAAGTTAAAAAGATGTTTGGTGGCTAGTACTATAGTTAGGACCCTATATGTACTGTTGATGAAGTTAGGTGCTGTTCTGAGCATTATTTGTGGCTATAGAGTGGTGTTTTGATTGAGGTTAGTTTATGGCTTCTCAGACCACTGTGTATTGCTACCGAGCGGTCGTTATTAAAGTTGGTATAACTAGAGAAGCAAGCGGTCAGCAACATTAAACTCTCGAGGGGGTGTCTAACTCGGTGTTACGGTGTGTTTGACCCTAAATTGATTTTTACGCCAGAATATCCCTTAAAATGGTTATCTAGTCTGTGTGTGTGTCCTGTCTGTTTTCTTATTGATGTTGTTTATGCTCTAGTTATCAAACTGCTCTCATTGGGACATAATATTTCTGCAGACTGTGTTGCAAAACAGTCTTGATAAAAACAGCTTCGTATTCATCAGTAGTCATTACAGTTGGGACATCATTTAGGTCCTTTGCTGTCCCTGAAGGCTGCATAAAAAATCCTTTTCTGATCATTTCTCTGGTGCTATTTGTGTGTTTCAAAATGGCGTGTTTCAGTGTACATAGTAAATTGGTGTGTGCATACATAAGACAAAGAGTAAGACAAGTGTGGGCAGTTTTATGACATGAAAAACTTCCCTGCAGTGTTCAAGTGTTGTGCAGGAACTTGCTGTCTCACACGTGATGCTAGTTTTGCAGCTGCATTGATGTTTTACAGGTACATGCATCCGTCAGCCCACCCACCCCATATGAACACAAGACACGGACAGGAGACACATTGCTAGATATTAGAGCATACTTTGAGAGTCATATATCAGTGAAGAAAGTTGAAATGAGAAATGTGTTCATCCTCCATGTGTCAAATTACCCTTGTGTACCAGAGAGCCAAAGACTGCAGCAAAATAAAGCTGCAGAGAACATAAAACGAGAGTGTCTGCTAAAACCAGACTGAACGGTGTCTCCTCAGCCCCCACTGCTCCACGAGCGCAGGGATCGATACTCAATCAACCTGAATCAACATCGGATGCAGGCGTGCTCTCGTCGACCTTGGAGCAGGCACGGCTACAGCTAGTTTAGCTTAGCATTTTTCAACAGCTCCGCTCCATTCACTCTGCAGTACCGGCTAATGTTAGCTGGCAGGAAAACGGCTATTAAACCCCCGAAAAGCCTCGGCGAGACTGAGTGTCCCGATAATGCCACTCTGCAGTGATCCAAATGTTAATTTAAAGATGAAAGTACACTCACCCTCCGCCAGCCCCGAAGGTAGGTAAGGAAAATCATCAGTCTGCACCGCAACAGCCATAGTTTCTCCTCGTTCGCAACCTGCGGCGTCTTACACGCATGCGCAAAGGACAGGCACAAACTGTGGCCAGGCAGCTACATGGAGCTCTGAGCTGTTATAATGTATTCAGATATTTTTGAAATGAGATCACAAGTATGGAAGGAAAGTAGAAAAGTATTCTCTAATAAGGTTTTTAGAAATGTTTGGACTGCACAATACTTATCAACTAAAAAGAAAATATGTTCTGAGAGATTTCAGTGCTGTTGAAGCAAGAACGATAAGAAAACGACAAATAAGGGTTTGCATCATGAGTAATTCAAAAATGTTTTAATTTAATTGTTTTAAAAGTTTGCATTGGGTTTGCAAAGATTTATATTTTGTATCTCAGTTGGTTTCATATAATTTCAAAAAGCATTTAAACCTTTTTTTACAAAATGAATGATGGATTTCCCTTGAAAATGTCTAGTATTGTAACCACAACAAAAGAGGGAATATTTAATACATTTCCACCTATATAGTGTATCCAATTGTACTTAAAAAAGTTACTTAATCATGAAATAATAATAATAACTTTATTCATATAGCACTTTTAAAAACAGACGTTTACAAAGTGCTTTGACAAACAGTTGCAAAGCACAGAACATCAGCACAAGAAGATAAAAAACAAATAAAAACAAAAGCTCAGTTAAAAACAAGGCCTCCAAATTGAAGGCCAATTTTATTTTTCATAAGAAATTTTTCATTTTTCAATACAAGAACCCCACAGTATAAAATGAGACCATGAGGACCAAAATAAAAACATAAAATAGGTAAGAAGAAGAAATGAATTAGAAAAGGGGGGCAGAAAGCAGGAAACAGGATAGTAAGTATAAAAGAGGATATTAATAATCATAATAAAATAATAATAATAATAATAATAATTAAAGGTAAAATAAGAAAATATTATAGGTAAAACAAAGGCTAAAAGGACAGTAAGTCGAAATAAGATAGAGGTAAAAGAGATAAAAGACAAGAGAGAAACGACGGTATCACATATCAACACTGAAACAGTGCCACAGACCGGGGACCTGCTTCTCGCCAGGAAGTTTCCTGTTTTTCCACAGAGCAGAAGGAGCTGAATACATCATCACCAAACAGCACAAAGAATGAACCTAAATATTGGAACGTCACATAAAAACATATAAACGGTAATGTGGCTGAAATGTTTACAGCCACAATGATTTATTGAAAAACTACCCTGTACTACAACTACCACAGAAACGAGGGGCAATTCAAAACATGTTTCCGCCCGGTTTCGAACCGGGGACCTTTCGCGTGTTAGGCGAACGTGATAACCACTACACTACGGAAACCTGTGAGGACTCCTGATGACATCACAGACAGCAATATGTGACCGTTACATTGTGTTATTGTCCTTGTACAGTGTACCGTTATATAACTGTAACTTCACAATCCTAAAGTGAAGAGGAGTGTGCAGAGCAACACTTTCTCCACCCATGACTCAGAGGGGAGTTGGTAATGAGCTCCTGGAGCTGTGCAGAAAAAAAGCCCTTGAAATTGACATAGGTAATGTGATTTGGGCTAAAAACTTCATAATCACAACTTAAAGACTACTGAAACACTAAAAGTAGGGGAGAAAACGATCTGAGTGGGACTTTAAATTGGTAAACCTTGACGCTTTCTACAACGAATATCTGAAAATCATGCGTAAGTGTTGTTTTGAAAATGTGGTCAAAAAATTTTAACTTCCTTTCATACCCACAGCTATAGCTGTTGCTTTACCTGGTGCACAGATGCAGTCAGAGTAAGCATTATAAAAGGTTGTTTCCGCCCGGTTTCGAACCGGGGACCTTTCGCGTGTGAGGCGAACGTGATAACCACTACACTACGGAAACCTGTGAAGACCCTCTATGACATCACAGAGACGAATTTGTGACCGTTACACTGTGTTTTTGTCCCTGAGATTTACTATTATTGGTGCTCTGCACATTCCTTGGCTATCCTGGTTAGTGCTGCTGGTCTGGTGGTGGAGAGAACGATCATCTCTTTGTGTTTGATTAAGTCCTTCATGTTATCTAACTGTGACTATGAAGTGGGACAGAGATTAAATTACATTTCACCCAAGAGTCCATCCTCTCATTTAATTTTTGCATTCTCAACAATACAAGCCCAAGAAAGTGTCAGATTAATCAACATGGATAATCTGGACATCTGTCTTTCTGTTGTAATCAAGTAAGTTTAGCTAATTAAAAGATAACTATCTTCTCTCCTGTGGTAGCCTCTCCAAACCTGCTTGAAAACTTGTGCTGATATGTATGGGTCAACTGGGGTGTGCTCCCTAGGGAAGAGACTGGATGCCTGTGGAATCAAATAAGGGTCAAAAAGATGCAGTACTTGTACTCTGATGTCCAAAAGTTCAAAAAGAGAAAAAATAGAAACACAGCAGCAATACAAAAGACAGTTTGGCAGTTTCAGTTCATGCTACAAATTCAAGACCTAAAGAAAGGCCTTTTAAACCCCTCTTAGCCCCTCCCAGTGGGCATCATTAATTACATAAGTTTGGAGAAAACACATTTATTCACATTTAAACCATTTTTAACCCTCAGACCTTTTTTTCTGTACGTTTTTACCATTTTAATCAAGTTTTTACACAAATCAACAAAGCATTAATTTTTAAGGGAATTGTTTTTTCTTGCATCATGTGACCACTCTGACCCGCCATACCCACCTATTTTACACCCGGAAATCGCGTGCTATGTTTCTCGTTTGGAAACCTGAACCGGCATGGTTGTGTGAATGAATGGACGCCCGGCAGGTAAGTGGGGGGATGAATATCTATGTGAATGCATGTGTAAGTCAACCTATAGAGCTCCAAGTGTGCATCCTTGGTAAACCCTATCAAACAGAGAAGGGAGATGGAAAAGTAGCGCTGTTTCATGCGTAACTAGCGACGCTGGTGGAGGGGCTGCTAAACTTTTTACCTCGGGTCCTGGACTATGTCACTTAATTCTAGTTGTGTTTGCTGGTAGTCTGTTGGCATCTAGTAGCACCAATGCTTTTCACTTTCACGTTGACTGGCTCCATTTGTAATTGTCTTAAGTATTTATCTGCATTATATCTGAGTTTAATGGGAACGTTATGAGCGGGCACGAGTGTGTTTGTGGGTGCCGCTTGCTTTAACATTACCATAACTGTGAAACAGCGCCCCCAAATCTCACTTGTGGTCAAAAATATATTGCATCCGTAGTGTAAAGGACTACCATTCGAAATGAATGGGAGACGTTAAGGAAGTAAAACTTAAGGAGAGACGCAGGACTAGGGTTTGATTCCCTAATGATGAGGCATCTTACCTTTCCCCCTCAAAAGTGTCCCAGGTTTCAATTTTATTAGGAGCACCGTGAAAAAAAAACAGTCCCGTCAGAAACAGTCTAATCAGATAATAAGAGCAGAAGTTCTTGGTATCATCCTACTCACTCTTAAAAAATAAGCACTTTCACTCTTCATTTACCAAGAAAAAAATATAATAAATAAAAGGATTCAATAGACAATAATGTTTCCGCCCGGTTTCGAACCGGGGACCTTTCGCGTGTTAGGCGAACGTGATAACCACTACACTACGGAAACGATGAATGTTGAATGAAGGGCAGTCCATGTAATATTGAACAGCAACAATGACAAAACTATTTAAGGGCGAAATTACAAAGGATTGAGCAAAAAAACTGTTGGGAAATTGTTTCCATTACTGCAACACTTTAAAACACATGGTAATGGGACTATACCCTGATAATTAAAGCTTTAATCAATGTTTAGGCCACATCCTGTACTGATCTGTTTGGCACTGTCTTGTACTTTCTTTAGCTGTTTGGACAAGTAAGTGTTACAGATAATCAAAAAGGATTTTATTAGATGATCCAGGACAAGATAAACTGACCCACACAGAGAAGAAGCCAGTGATGTATCATGCGAGGATGCAAAGAAGAAAGGGGTAAAGAAATTATTTGTCATTCACAAGGAAAGGTTTTATTTTGCAGCAAAATTAAGTGTTTTTGCTTTCATTGGTAAGAGATTGTGTTTTTTTTTTTGTTTCCCTCGCTTTCTAAGAATGAAAGTGTAAAATGAGGATTTGAAAACAATGGTTTCATCCGGGATCTTGTAAAAATAGTCACATTAACATAACTATTTTTAAAGAACTCACAGACACAAATTGATGAATTATCACACACATTAAGGTTGGTCTATGCATTTTAAACTGTAGACTCTGTGGTTGATATAACCTCTGACCTGCTGGCTCTCAGAGGGAATTTCTTCTGTAGATCATGTTACTGATTTCGCCTGAAGCCTTGACTGAAGTAAAAGTGAAAGTATGCAGGCTGCCAACGCCGCTCACAGTGGGTTTCTTTCTTTGTTCAGTTTATCTAGCATTTACAACAACTGTGGATCGTTTTCTATGTGGACATAACCTCTGTTTGGATAAAGGATATCTACGTTATTTACGGTGAGTTTTCTTCTATAGTTTTTGGCCTGATGTAGGCTCTTTAATACAGAAACAGCCTTTAGTCAAATACTGTCATGGATGTGCTGCTCCACGAAGATGGCTTTCATTTGTGTCGACTTTCTTTTCTAGTTTATTCATTTTTAGTTTAATTGTAGATCATTTACATTCGGTTTAAACATCTCATTCCTGTCTAGTTCATCTGTTTTCCCTGTTTTTAACAGAGACGTGTATGACTTAGCGGAAACTGTGATATTAATAGCAGCACAAAATCTGTTCTGACATCTCTTTCCTTCCTTCTTCTCTTTCATTTTAAACAGTTCTTTAATCCTCTTTTTTACGATGTTTCTGGTGATGCTAAGTCTGATTATAAGGGCTTTTTTGCTCTTTTTCTTCAGCTGTATGTTGGCTTATTTTAGAGCTTATTCTCTGAATGTTTTAATTCTTAATAGTTCAATTTATTCGCATTGTTCACTTTGCAATAAACCACAAATAGCCTAAAAGAAAAAAACTACAGTGTGAAACAGCTCTGAGCTTCAATGCTGATTCATTTTTTATTTCGGTTTGCATGAAATCACGTCAGTTCCGCCTTTTTTTAAATGTCGATATGTTGTCAAGCGGATACTTTCAGATCTGCCTTCCTTGAATCTGCAATCCTGTTCAAATTTTAAAAAATTACATGCAGGACCACAGAGAGCCACTAGATGACGCCAAATACACCCTGGTTGTGTTGAAGTAGCCAGGTTGATTGTAAACATGTATGCCAGAGGTCAAATGAAAATTAAGGCTATGGTCACACTGCAGGTCGATTCCAATTTTTTAACCATTTGTGACACATATCTGATTTTTTCATGTAAGTGTGAAGTCCGACCCAGGCCTCTTTTGTATGTTGATATAAATCGGATATGTATACGATGTGACTGCAGTGTGGAAGCTCAGGTCGTGTTCATCTGACCTGTACGTTATCAATATGCAACAAACGTCACCATTGTTCAACAACACTAACAGGCGCGGAAAGCAATTTGTGCTTTGTGCGCCTGAGGGTCACTTCACAAAAGCATTTTGTTCACATTGAATGCCGAATTTGTTGTTGTAATGTGAACAACCGCACAAAAAGATCGGATTTAACAAAAAAACCTTATTGTGCATCATAACCTGCAGTGTGAACGTAGCCTAAGTGACATTTATCAGTCAACATATTCAGGTTATATTTCTTTTCCGTTTTTTCACTTTTAGGAATGACTTTATTCCTGTTTTTGTACCTTTCATTTCAGTGTAAGCTGTAGAACCTCTGTCGAACAAACTTGGAATTAAGAGGAGTTGTTTAATATGACACAGAAAAGGTTCCAAAAAATTGAAATTTGAACAGACTATTAAAAACACAAATTTCTGAGTAAAAATGCAAACTGTGTTTTGGAAACCATGAAACTAACTACCTAATTTCGGTGTGGTTTTAACTTTGTTTTAGTTTGATCTAAAGTTTTCTATGAAGTCTGAGTAAAGCTGATGTCGGCTGATCTAAAGACTTTACAGATGTAGTTTAATCTTTTAACAGATAACAGTGAGGCACATTTATTCAGCTTGTTTTTCCTTTTTTTGTTTAATCTGAATTAGTTGATTGTGATGTAAGACAAACAGGTTTGTTTGTGTTTATCACCGCTGGATTAAACTACTTTTGATCCCACTGACTGACTTATCTGAAGCAGAATATTTGATCTCAGTATGACCCCTTGATGTCACTGTGGGTCTAAGATTGAGTTAAAGCCCCTATCATTCATGACCTATAGGTGGCGGTAAAGCCTAAGCTATAACAGACATGAACTCGACTGTTGTATGTGGCGCTTACTCTCTGTTGACGGCGTGTGAAAAAAGGAAGTGTGCACACACGGTTTCTTTGTTAATGACTCACTGGATACTTGCCTTGTCTGTTGTTTACTCACTTCGAAACTCGACTGGGCTGTTAACCTGATCATGCTGTCTTGTGTAATTTGCATGTTTGTGATCGTGTGACGGGGTGAGAGAGGTCACCACACACTGTACGTGTTTTCCTGCAGTAAAATCAGGAAATAAACCCCCTTCAGTGTGTCTCTAGATTACTTTTAGTCTTTTAAGGCAAGTAGGGCATTTACATAATGGTAACATGCATAAATATGTGGTCTATAAATATGTACAACAGATAAAACCGGTAGTCAAAAACATGAGTTGACTTCCTCATACCCACATGGCAAAACCTTTGAAAGATACACAAGTGGCAGAAAAGATCTGGTAAACCTGTGTGTTTGTGACGGTTTGCAAATAGCTGAACCAGTGATATTGTTAGTTTCCATGGGAACTGTTTTGATATTTACAGCCCGTGTTATCAGTTATCAGTCAGTGACCAAGATCCAAAAACCTGTCAGTAAAATAAATAACAGGCTGGCACTCATTCATTCACCCACTTGGAGAGGAGACGCTCATTCCTAAAGTTTGCCAAGTCCTGGCAGCTCTTTGATAACTTGAACCCATCGCCTTCAGAGCTTAAGTTTGCACGAACAAGTCACAATAAAAGTGTAAAGCAGGATTTTTTGCAAAGTTTGAAAAACTTAGGGTTGTATTAGTAGGTCAGGTCAGTTATTGAGTTTTTTATGTGCCGAGTCACCTCAACTCAGTCAAACTTTGGCGCAGACTGTAAGTCAGTTTTCATTGTGAAGGGCGCCAGTTTCTTATCTCCAAAACACATCTGCAGTTGGCTTTTAGGCGCAGAGAGATGTTTGGGTTTTTTTCTTTTTTGGCTTAACCAGCATGGTGGAGTGTTATGCATGCTATCTGATGAAGCTCATTGGTGTTAACTGGTATTTCTTGTTTCCTAATGTCGAAGTGCAGGGGTGTGCTCATAGGTTCAGGTGTTTTTCATCATTCCAGATGGCTTGTTGTTTTACTTTTATATGATATTCTCTCCAGGCTGATCATTTTGTACCTGCTTTAAGAGGTTGTATCTCTTTAAATGTATTTTCTAAGAATACTAGACCCCTAACTTAACAAATAGGGTCTCAGTTTTCCTTATTTGCTTTACTGTATCCCCCAAGTCATGCCTCCAAACTGTAAGGATACAGTTTCCCTCCACAATCAGGTACTCCAAAGACTTTGAATTGATAAAACAACTTCCTCCTTTTCCTTGTATTTTATTTAAAAAGAGATTAACTGAATACAAACTGGATATAATCAGAGTAAATCCATGTTGAGACAACTACAGTGGCACTGTCACCTGATTTATTGTAAGTGGCTCATTTACAGTGGCCTCCCAGCTGCCAAAACGCTCCTATTCAGCCAAGCCAGGATGTGGTTACAGCAGGGAGTGCTACTCAGGGTCATAAGCCCAGATCTGGATTTCTTTACAGCAGGCCCATTTATAGGAAATGCCTCAGTGTCTCCAGTGAGCAACTCCACCCCCTGGTGAGATGTCGGTACTGCAACCTTCTCTCAGTGCCTTCTTTTAAGTCACGTGATTGCAAAGAAATCGCAAAGAGGTATGAGGCCCCTGACTCAGCTGTTGTCAGTTTTTATTGCATCATGTGTTTTAACAGTTTAACTTCTCTTATCTGAAGATTGCAGAGTTAGGTACCGGTTCATACACATGATATGAAGCACAGGAGCAGATCTCTGTGTTTTGTCACCTCACACTGCCTGCATGTGAACTCACTCGTGGGAGGTTTTCACTATGAGAGAGAAGAGTAATCTCAGTGAGGTTGTCATCTAAGTGATTTGACCTCTTTCACAAACAAATAAAGAACCTCTCAGCCTGACTTTCTCATGACAAGCTTTGCAGAAACTAACTATGTCAGCGTTTAAAATTCCCCATAGGTGTTGCCTGAAAATAAAAGAAACATGGTGATGCATGTAATAACCATAGAAAAGATGTACTGTGCTCTCTTATATTTGTAGTCTTCTGTTGGACAACCCTTTAACCCTATTACTCTATCTTTGAAGACGATGATGATGATTTTGGAGCCCCTGACGTCCCATAACTAAACCATTTTTTTCCCTTGTGCTTATAAATTGATTATCTCAAAGGAATAAATAAAATACTCTGTGCAGCCACGACATCAGGGGCTCTGTGGATGTCCGAACCTTTAAAGATGGAGCGTCATAATTGCTGTCTTCTATTCTGAAGTGCAAAAAGATGTGAATGGTTTTCTCTATTCCATAATATTTATGAAAAGGCATCAAAACCTGTTGTGTCAATCCTGGAATGAAGAAGGGCTATGAGATGAAAAGACGGCTTTTTGACCCTTTATATCTAACCTGAATATATTTTAGATTAAATTCTAGGGTATAGCACGATGAAGCTGATGGTTTGTCAGATATACTGTCTCGTAAGAAACAAAAGAGATCAAATATAAATAATGCAACTTCATAAACTCACTAAAGCAGCCCCTGTTCATTCATAAGCCACTGTAAAACCATGTCAGGCATAAAACATGAATGCAAGCAAAACAAGAAAAAAAATCTGTGGTATGTCTTTGAACTGGTCCTGCGGGCTGCATGTTAGACTTCACAGTGTTTTGTTTTCTTCCTGTTGTCTGTCGCTGCTGTTGCTGTGTGTCTGTGCAACTTACTGCTCACCTGTGGCCACACCTGCAGCAGGTGGCACATTTCCCGAGAAACCTGATTCCAGATAAAAATGTGATCAAGTTTTGTATCAGCACCACGGCTGCAGAGTACTACAGACTTTAAATGACAGTATAGTCACCTACAGGGGTGCAGACATGAGGCTGAAGTTATAGAGAATGTTTAAGAGCTTCCTCTCTCATTAATCAAAACGGCCGTTGACTTGTGTTAAATTTCATGCACACACACACAGACACACACACAGACACCACATTGTGAGCAAAGGCTGTAACATAATCCTTCAGTGTTAATTTACAGTTCTGTTTGCAGGGTTGGGTCTGCTCCCTCAGATAAAATTTAGACATAAACATACCGTTACATGTTTCCTACACACTTCAAGACGAGCATGCTGTGTGTATTTATGAGGGTCAGACAAAGGCGAGTTGTAGAATTCGAGAATACGTGGGGGTGAGGAAATGTAGGACGGTTCATGTCCGCCCAGGGTCACGTCAGCCCTTGAATCTTGCTCTATGCCTGAACATATTCACTACAGGTTAGAGCCTTTCCAACTCCTCACACTGATTCAATCTCTTGGTGTGAAGTTATGGAACTTGTTATTTCAAGTGATGCAGGTTGATTGAGGGCATGAGGATGCACTCTTTAAATTCTTCATTGACGTCTCTATCCACTTTTATTTGGCACTTTGGAGAAGTCTTAAATCTCCCTACAGACAGCAAAAAAAAACTATCATACGAGTGCCTAAAGAAGTCCAAGTGTCTCATCATTTCTGTGTTATTAATCTAATCTTCTAAAAGCAAAGGAAGAAGTTCTGCTTCTTTATTGGTAGCCTGTTGGATAACACACAGTTTGGAGTGAGACAAGACTCCTCTGCTTCATGCCAGGGTCCTGCACACTCTGACATGTGTCCAATCCGCATAACCAGCTGTTTGCTATGAATCATCTCTTACTCATCAGAGAGTAGTCCAGAGAGGTCAGGGGTTGTCGCGACAGATAGTTGAGCGTTGGATCAGACTATTGCACAAGATACACTCTTATTCCCTGTGAGAGTCTGAGTTTGCTCTTTTTACACGACGCCCATCCTCATGACCTTTAACCTCCAAGGGCTGTTTTGCAAGGGCAGATATTTGGAGTCTATTTTTCCTCTTTCATAAAGTTTTATGCTGCTACAGAACTTCTATTTTTGAAGTAGTAGCTGCTGCATTGGTTCATGTTTAAAGTAAAAAACTACACCCTTTTTTCTGAATGTTTATGAACTTTTAGAGAAAAGCACAAACACACCAAACATTATGCATTCAAAGCAGAGGGAAGCAGAAGCATGGCTTTAGTTCTTTCCAGAAAGTCAGCTGACTCTCTCTCTCTCTCTCTCTCTCTCTCTCTCTCTCTCTCTCTCTCTCTCTCTCTCTCTCTTCACTCGTGCTTGGTGTGTGGACACAGTCACACTCTCTCTTTATTTGCCCTGTTTGTCCCCACATACACAGATGCATATACTCTCTCTCACTCACACACACACACACAGGCACACACCTACGTAGTTCTTGGATTCTTGGCGGGCAGCTCCTGTTGTCCGTTGGCGTGTCAGGCTCTGTTTATATTTAAACATGACAGTTTGAATGAGTTAGATCTTTCCAGCTGGTGTTGAGGAGTTTTTTATTTATTTTATTTTTTGGTTCATATAAACAGCCGCTGTGGCTCATTGGTGGAGTCCATTTTCTCTCAACCAAACAGTTGCTGGTTTAAGGCCGTTACACATCGGGAACGACGCAAATATACGATGTGAGATTACGAAATATTCAGAGGCAAATTTTGACAGACCTGACTATACACATCAAGCGCGATGCAATTTTGCGAGAAGACTGACACAACAGCAGACAGGGGGCTCTATTTTCGTGCGCGCCGGTGAGGCGGCGGAGGGCGGCGAGCCCCGCGCAGTTGTATTTTCGTCTGGCGGAGCCCAGCGTAAGGCCAATTTGGTATTTTCGTGGCATGAGCCGCACGGAGGCGAGCCGAGATCCGCCAAGCTGGGCGTGGTGGTGTGGCAGGGGGAGGTGTCGACAGAATCAGCTGGCGCAGTGACATTTTCGTGCTCGCCAACGGCGTGTAAAGTGCGCTGAAAGCTCGCCGATTCAAACCTGGTCAGCTTTCAGCGCAAGGCGGAACGCAGCTGGTCTAGAAGTATTTTGGTAGACCGGCGGCGTATCGACATACGTCACTGATGCCTCACCGGCAGGTTTCCACAGTGTCAGGCACATTTCAGTGCAATAAATAATCATCATCAACTATTAATCTGAGTCAGCACATACATTTAGATCTATATCGATATATTCTGATCTATATGTGATCTGATGAGCGCGTTTGGCACGCGTTTGGACACACAACCTGACCGAATCAACACAGCTGAAACCGCATCAAATTAAATTAAATATCTAGTAAATATACACACATGATGAAGTTAACAAGATATGTAATTCATCTCCCTCCTTTTCTTTCTTCCTCTTCCTCTTATTTCTCGCACAGCTCGACCTGGACACATCTCCGTGTCCTCTGTCCGTCTTGCTGCTGCTGCAGCTGAACAGATGATTTGTTTCAGTGCTCAGATGCGTTATCTACTTTAAGCCGACATACGGATATTATAATATTCAGTTTTGTGAGCCAAATTTATTTTATATGCCAACATCTATGAAAGAAAGAGCCAGGCCACGGAGCGTGATGCGTCATTTACGCACAGATGGTTCCGATTTTAGTGCCATTTTTGGAGTTTATGTTGTGATCTGTGCGCTCAACCCACCTTTGTCACGTGAGGTTTGAATATGAGCAACTTTATGTGAGTGTCTTTATTTGTGGAAAAGGGTGTTTGTCTTACCAGTGGGTCCAACATTACGCACACTAAATCCATCTGTGCTCATATGAGAGAGTGTGGAGGACACTTGTTGAGGAGCTGCCCTCTGTCGCCATCTTGTGGCATTACTGTCTTAAGACATCTCTTGATCTCTTTGACTACTTCATGAAAATAGTAATACGCCTCGCCTGTGGCGGATTTAAAGGCAAGGAGAGGAGCCTATGTGATTGGTGAAAACAGGTCTCGGCTGTGTTAAACCCACTTCACGCTTTTCTCCTCCCCGTCTACGAATTATGGTGCTGGGAGGAGCTGAGTTAGGGAGGGGGGATACTTACGCCGGGCTGCGCGGCTCACCAAAATACCAAAATGTGCTTGGGAACGCCTTGTCAGCGCGGCGGATCTGACTGACGCTGCGCTTGCGGCACGTCTCCGGCGAGGCAACAAAATAGAGCCCTGAGTGTTTTCAGTTCTGATTAGACACTAGTGTTGAGATGTCTGTCTGTCATGATAGCATGTACTGAGTCGGGGCCAGTATCAGATAAACACATTAAACTATAATCCATAAACGTAAGGTAACAACCGAGACCTAATGGTGCTGTGACAGCAACATGATTGAGTTTGAGACAGTGAAAATACATATGGTATGTTGTATCTGAACAGGTTAGCTTACGAGCTAAAGTTACTTAGCACAGATGAAAGTTAAAACAAAGACGTTTAGCAAACTGTTAAAGCACACAAACCATCGTCATATGAGAAATCCGACACTATGACTCTCCACAAGTTATCCTTCAGGTCGTTATCTTTGTAATATTTGTGTTTTTTATCAAAAAGCACTCTGTTCTCCGACACGTAAACAAACAGCCAGTCGGCCATGTTGGATATACCGGTGAATCTGATGTCGCAACAACACGCAATCTGATTGGTCGGAAGAGGACACACAGTATGCAAAACTTTAGAAAAATAGTCAGTGAAATGAAAAAAATATTGCAGGATGGGAAAACATCGCTGATGTGAACACTTGTATTGACAGGATACAGGTTTGAAAAAAAATATAGATGTCAGAAATAATTGCATGAAAAAAACGCTCCCGGTGTGTAATGACCTTTAGCCAGAGCCCGAATAGTTTCTGGTGGTGGGGTTTCTTTCTAATGAATTACAACAGCAATAAGGTGTGGCACCGCTGGGGGGTCATTAAGGCCGTTATTGGTTTGACAGATGCCTCCAGCTCATCTGTGCCGTCAAAAACCTCGAAGAGTTCAGGTCAGGTGAGCTTTTGTCTCCAAGCCGAGCTGTTGGCAGTTTGGTGATACAGGATTTCAACATAGCTTCAAATAAAAACTCTATGATGAAAGTACATCATTTATTTTTAACCTTTAATGAATCATGATGATTTAGGTGAGCTGTATGACTAACTCCTGTTGGTTGCAATTATTGAATGACAAATACTATGAGTTTTGATTAACAGTCATTTGACAAATATGTTGTTTTGATTGTCAGTGTTTGTAATTCTTTGACTCCTTTAACTCATTTTAACTTTTCTGAAGGGGTTTCGGTGTCTTACATTTGTACAGCTGAAGAGAGCTCTGACATTTCCTGTAAATCAGCAGACTAATTACAAACTGTGTTTACACACTCGTGCACACACACACACCCTCCAAACTCTGTCACTCTCCCACCCACATCCGTTCAGCTGGAACATGCACCAAGTCAGTCAGCCTCAATTAAATCTACCTAAATGTATAAGCTTTTACATGCAGCAGGTACGTTATCAGACAATCTGGATGAACAATCATTTTGATTTTAGTACGAATGCATGTAGTGTGATGTTGAAACTTTGTGAGAAATCGAAACCTACCGTGACAGATTAATCACAAAGTTGGGGTATTTTTTTTTTATATTGAGAAAGTCCTTTAGTATTCTCCAGTATAAAAAAGTGGTGTAACCAAAGCTCTATTTTGGTGAGACGGATGTTGAAAACAATAGTATGGCTGCGATAGCTCTCCTGTTAGCAAACAGATGCTTCCTGTCCTCTTTTTTTCTTTCCAGCTATCAGAGGATGACTATGAGTCCACAACTTTCTCAGACATTTGCCTCTTCCCCTCCAGCATGAGTACAAAGCTGAGGCCCTCTGATAATGCCTCCTTTACTATATCAGACAGTCACACCCTGACATTTCTCTTTTTACCCAAAGTTAGAGAAGTGATTTGGTTTTATCACAGTGGGGAAAGGTGGGGACTTTTGCTTGATGTGAAGTTTCCACAACATAAGAAACTGTTGCAAGTGTAACTTTAGTTACTGTGGTGAGCAGAAAAAAGAGTGTAAAGTTGCAAAAACTCCTCTAACATGAACAACATCACCAGTTTGGGTTCATTGGTACTTTTATCTGCTGCATTCACATGTAGGCTCACTGACCAAGAGTGCTCATGGGTTAGACTCAGTTCAGAGTTTGGTAATCTTGTCATAATATCTTCTGTTGATTTAGTTTTTCACTGGTTTTATTTGAGTGCATTTTGTGTATTTTCCCTAGTGTTTCTGTTCCCAATTGTGTGAGTTTTTAGTTAGTGTTTGACCCAGTTTCCCTCCTGTTCTCTGTGTTTTATTCTTAAGATCACTTTTCTGTTTCATGTTTTATTTTGTAGTAGTTTATTCCCCGTGTTTCTGGTCTGGTTGTACTTCCCTAGTTTTCCCTCTTTCGTTAATCACCTGTTGCTCATTTCCAAGTGTTTATATAGTTCCTGTCTTCCCCTCTGTCCTTGTTGGTTCATTGTATGTCGATATGTGTGTATCCCTCTTCTTAGGGTCTGCAGCGACCTGTTCTTGATTTCAAATGCTAAAAAGAACCCCTTAAACTGAAGACTTTTTGACTTTGTCAGGAACCTCTATTTCAACAAAATAAAAAAAATAAAAGTTAAACTGACTAAATTATAAAATGCTCTTATTAAAATGATGGCACTTGTTGTGTTGGGGTCGCTGTTGACCTGGTTAGATCAATATCTAATAATCAGAGCAAAAATTGAGATCATAAGTGAACTGCCAGACACCACACTGACAGTCAGATCCTCCTCCAATCATGAGGGATTTAGGAAATTCTCAAAAACAATGTCGGGCATGTCCAGACATGTGAGATCAGTTTAGTATAGATGTCTGTATGAGGGGTATACTGACAAAGAAAGGCCCAGGGGCCCACAACAAAAAAATAATACAAGCAATATTTTCATGGATAAAGAAGCCTAACAAGGTAACCTAAAGATGAGAACCAAACTAGATGATAGAGAATTGTTTTTAGTGTAATTTACAGCTGATTTAAGACACAGGTCAAAAACCGACCCTTAACATGGTGGGTGCGTATTAAAAGCTAAAACAGGAGGAAGGTTTAAGCCTGTGTCCTCTTGTTCCTTGTGGTTTTTTCCACCAATGTTTTTTTTTATTTTGTATTTAGCCTTTTGTATTTTTTCTGGTTGGACATTTTGAAGAAGGTTTTTGTTTTTTCATTTAGTTCTTTTTAATCTAACCTGTAGCCCCTCTGTGAAGTCTTTGACATTTTCTTAGGCGTGGGAGTATAAAAGTATATTTTCTTTAAATTCGGCTTTGCTTCTTTTTTTATTTGCTGTGGACAAAGTATTGCGGTTATGAATCCGTTATGATACTTTACATTAGTCAAAACAAACTACAGCTTAAAAATGTGAACTCAACCTTCAACCATATTTCCAACAAGGCACGAGTTACGTAGTGTGTAGGCTACCTGCGCGTCAGTATGAGTGCATGACAAAGAGCCACTGTTGCTGAGCAGAATGAGTCAAAATGAAACTTACACACAACTGCTGCAAACTGACAAGATTTATAGATCTCAGTTAAGGTGTTAGAAATCTGAATCATAAATCTGTTTTGACAGAAAGAGCTGACAGTAAATCTGACAGATTTTTCATGAAGAAAGAACAGATTTATCTAACTCTTAAAGTTGAGAAACGTCTCCTTTGAGTGAGAATGATTAAACTTAATTATTCATTCTTTTCATCAGTTAGGCCAACTGGAGAAGAAGGCGTTATCCAGGTGAAGCTGGGAGGAGAACAAAAAGCGATAAATGCAAATCTGCTCTCACACCCCAGAGTTTGTCCTCTTGTTCCTCTTTAGTTGGTGGCCTGCTGACATCAGGAAACACAAACTCAGTTGTTGCGTGTGACTGCAAAATCTAGACTTCAACTTGTAGTGGCATTATATACTGTAACTGGATGACAAGTTAACTACAGGTCAGACATAGCTGCTTTTGTCATTTAAAAACCCTCTGTGTGTGACCTTATTAAGTTAAAGCAGGTTTTTATTGTCTATTGGTATGTACTTTCTAAAAAAAACCTGAAAAATCACATTCCTTGGAACTTTTGCTGACGCCATTTTGTTTATTAATAGTATATTTGGTTCATCCCAAAAATCAGTCATTTTAAGTGTCTCCAAACACAGCAAAGCTTCAGAAAACATAAAATAATAATCATCATAATATCTTCATCTACATAGCACCTTTAAAAACAGACGTTGACAAAGTTCTTGAACAGAGACAAGAAGAGTCAGGCGAAAAGACACAGATTTGATTTTGATTTTGATTTATTTATTTGCACAAAATATAAAATAACAAAACAAGGTTAAAAAATATAAAAACATAGAGAAGTGTGCAGGTGAGAGAGGAAACCCCGGAGGGCTTATACAAGGCTCCCACCTTAAACAATCAAAATCACAAACAACGACAATCGCAAATATTACAAAGAAAAATGAGGACAACCTTCAATATACATATACAAATAATCAATAATATGTGGAATTTGCAAATACAAATAAATTGATAACAGTTGATAGTCGACGGCATCACATCAAGAAAATGGAAAAGAAGTCGGTGGATAAAGAATTGATAAAATAGTAAGAATGAATAAATAAAATAAAATGATAATACAAATAATAATTAGGAAAGGAGTGTAAGAAGATGGTGAAGACAAAACAATGAGCAACCGGTGAGGAGATAAAGAACAGCAGAGATTAAAAATATTAGAATAAGTTATTGTAAGACACAAAATAGAATAATATAAATAACTAACAAGGTTAAAAAACAGGTATGAGGGCGATAAAAAAGGCATCATGTCAAAGCAAGTCTAAACATGAAATTCCCACTAATGGTACCTATCAGGATGTTATCTTATCTCTTGAATTGAACGTTAGCTTTGTGTTTTAGTCGTCCTCTTATTTCATTGTGTTCAGAAACACCTGTGCAAGCAATATCCTCAAATTATTCCCTCCCACACACACAGACAGACACAACACCAACAGCTGTCATCTCAGCGAGTCTTACCCCACCCTGACCATTTCCCATTTCTAAATGTCTCTGATCTGTAAGCAAATTTCACCAGCAGCACGTTTTATAACAAATAATAAATCAAACAGGTGTTTTCAAATGTTTCACTTGACATCGCATGTTCACATCAGGGAATTCATGCATGGATGACACTAGTCAGTGATGTGGTTTCGCAACAATCAGAGGTTAAAACTGTGCAGAATATCTTCAGGCATAATTTTAATACAATGAAGGTTGGTATTTAGCGTGAGCTGTCACACCTCGATCAATAAATAAAAGGGACGCACTTTTCTTTGAAAACACCAGCAGGGCATGTGTCAGAAACATCATAACAGAGATTATTTTAATTGATGTTGATGTTCCGATTATTAAAAATTATTATCCATGATCTGACATTTGCACAAATTAAAAGCTCTTAAAAACTTCAAGAAGTTAGATGTACTATGCCTGAAATGGATCATGAATCAATTCTACACTTTGAGAGCTTTGGCTTCATTTTGGTGATAACCTTGCCAAACTAAACGCCAGATTTTACTTTTTGTAAAGTATTTTGTCATAAAGATGGAAGGATTTGAGCTCTTTTGTCACTTACATTTTATCACAGGCTGCAGAGCTGATGAATCATGCAGTCTTCTCAAGGTTTTTTATAATGTCAGGACTTGAGCTTGTACTTTATCGTGATTTGGAAGGACGCTCCTGCATGCTCGTGATCTTTACACTCTCTTTTTATGCTCATTATGTCCCTCACTTTTTCAGACACAGTTTTGATTATACCTGTATGACTAAACAAGATTTGGTTGTTTACCTACACTGACAAGCAGGTGTTTTATATTGTGTAACTCACAGCACATCTTAGACTTTGCTTTGTAACATCAATTTGACTCTAATAACTTGATTACATGACAAGTTTTCATGGTTTGTACTTGTTCCTTTTTTTTTTTTTTTTTCTGGTTTTTTGGTTTTGGTGTTGTTAGTCAGGGTCACGAGATGAAAACTCAGGGAAATACCAAGAGGGTTTGATTTTTTTCTTCCAGCTCTCGAGGTGTGAATGTGTGTGTTGGGGGTGGAAGCGTTAGAGGAAGATAAATGCTGCGTTTTCAACTCTGTCATTGCACAACTAAAATGTGGAAAATGTTTACACTCTGTGGGTGGAAAGCACCGGAGATATCTTTGTCCCCCTACATGGTCTTACGCGCACGCGTGCATTCACACACTTCGACTTGTGTCGCGTCTAATGTGGTTTTTGCTTTTGAGGTGTTTTGGCTGCTGTTTCATCTCTGTAGGGCAGGGACCAAACAACGGCTCAGTGTGTGAGATTTGCCTGTCACGCCTTTTTCTGTGGTCAACTGCTCACCGGAACTTTGCCAAAGTTTTCTTCAGTCAAGTTTTAATTTGTCTTTCTTATGATACATTGCCAAAACTCTAGAGTCAATATGCAAACTAGTAAGATTTCACCTTTAAACAAGGTAGAGCAGGAATAAGGTCATGTGATGATTCAGAGCTGGAAGAAGAACTGTAACACACTGACTGTATAAATATGCACCTAGCTGAACTCTCTTGAAACATGCTAAACTTTATTTAAAGTACTAAAAAAAGAGAAGTTGCAGTGATGTGCTGTATGATCTTCCATTTTTACTTTCTAAAACATTACAACCACTCTTCTTCTTCTTCTTCTTCTTCTTCTTTTTCTTCTTCTTCCTCCTCCTCTCCTTCTTCTTGTTTTTGTCCTTCTTCTAACACACTCAGTGGTTGGAAGCTTTCGAGTTTCGCTGTGTACGTGCAGTCCATTTCATTTTTTGGGTCATAGTAAAACAGACTCATCTCTTTTTATATACGTATATAAAGTGTCTTGGCAGTTCAGAGACTTCCACAGAGACCTTTTCCTCTTCCTCCTCCTCCACTGAACTTTGTTCGTATGAAAATACGTGGAGAGGAGAGGAAACATTTTATTTACTCACATCAGACACAAAAACAGTCAAAGCATCTGTGCATGCATTCAGTCAGATGACCCTGAAGTTGTTTGACACACTAATGTGTATTATTCATAACATTTAAAAGATTTTAGACACTGAGTGTAACACAAACGTATACTTTATGGATAATGCAGTACGTATCTGTGTGTTTTCTTCCCGTTTCAAGAACTAACCATGATCAACTCTTGTTAAATTCAACAGTTTCACAGAAGCTTCACATTTTATAAATCCTCAAACATATATATTATGATGGAGCATCATTGCGCAAATATTTAATATATTTTCTCCTCTGACACAGTTTCAAACTCTGTAAATAATCTCAAAAACTAACAACATCATCATTTTATCTCATACATAATATTTCACTAAAAAAATCCAAATGAATTGGGACTACATGATTATTTTTATTATCATGGGAATTTCCTGGTGGAGATTTTCCAGAGTTAAATATAAAACAATGTAGTAAAGCGGTATTTGCATCAATAATGTGTAATTTTTTGTCATTTCAATTTACCGTCATCCTCTTGAGAGGAGTTTTTACGTGATTTACATGGCAAAAGCGTACAGGACAAATCAGCAAGGAGGAAAAAAAAAGTACTGATTTATCCACAAAATGTAAGAAAGGAACCTTTATGGGTTTACTCTCCTGTTTATGAACTTGTTAATCTAATTTAATAATCAAGTTGCCACTGAGTTTAAATTGAGTAGACAGAATTTTTCCTAAACACATTAATGTTGGTTCACCTAATTCTCTACGGTTAACTTAACCCAACTTTGTTAAAGTTTAGATAATAAGAAAACCATTTTCACTGCTGCAAGTCTCAGTTTTAGAAAACACCATTTAAAAACACACAAAAAGTTCTCACAGTACCTTCAAGTCAAGTTTAAGTAGTTTAATCTTCATGAGCTGGCCGTTGAAGTCAACCCAAGTGTTTATCAAGTCAAGAAGATCGCCAAATTTTTCTACTTGTCAGCACAAGTCAGTTCAATATCTTGCCCTTGTTGGTTTTGCAGTTTGTTTGTTTTCTCATACATCATGTTTCCCGAGCAAAATGTCTTCTAAACAGTTCAATTTGACAGCTTTTTTTTTTTTTTTTTGAGAACTTTATTCTCAGGAATTGCTCAAGTAGAATCAAAACAGCTGCTTTCAAATTTAAGGATTAGGATTTTAAGAAGGCTGTGGCTAAGAAAAAAACAACAACAGCATTCAGGTAGTGCCACAGAGCAATAGAAGGTGTTTAAAAACAACACAAACTGTTCACTGAAGCTGTAAGGAAATGACAAGAGGATCTTTAGGACCAGGTACTCACTACAGAAGAGCTCATAGTGGATTTTAACGCTTTAAATGAGATTAAATTAATTCTGTATTTGCACCTGTCACGCTTGTTGGACTTCTTTAAAAAAGGAAAATGTCTAATTTAAAATGATCAACTATTTAATTGTATTACAGTAAAAATAATGATGAGAATGAACAAAGACTACTTTAAAAAAAGGGAATTCTGACTATTTTTATCAGTTTTACATGATTATGCAACATACAACCTTTTGGCACATTTAAAAAATAATCAAATTTTGCCCATAGTTGTTGTTTCTTCCTCTTTTTTTTCATAATTTCCTGTTATACATATTTAACTATTTTTTTATGCACTTAGATATCATGATTTCTGTAAAGGCAGATAGATGCACATATTTCTAAACATTCTGGGTCACCGGTGACTTTAGGAAACAACTTCACTTGTTTTTTTTTTGACTCAGTGAAAGACTTTGATCCATGCCTGAACACATCATTTTCAACCAAAGTGTATAGAGGTCATAAAAGTAATCAGGAGGTCATGTCAATTGATTATTGGGCAGATATCAAAAAGGTTGAACACAGGTCAACATTTTACAGTCCTAAAGCCGCTGCGTCATTTCTTTGTATTCACCAAGCACTAAATACTGAATGATAGCGATGATTAGATGCTGGCACAGCTGCAGAAATTATCACTAGTTAAACAATGATGTTACAGATTAAAAAGTTTCTTTTTTTATTGTTAGTACATGTTATCATGTCATTTGTTTTCATATCTATGTGAAATGTTGAAAATTTCCTTAAAATAATTGACATATCCTAAAGCGTAATAGAGGTCAAGGGTGTGTCCAGAGAGGTGGTTTAAGGTGGCATGGACCCCTTTAAACTATGACTGAAATTTTCTGTTGGACTCATAGTCCCATCCTCACAATAAAGGCGTAAAAAAGACCCTTAAAGATATAAGGAGTGGAAACAGAGGGAGGAGGTAAAGGCACATCAACACATCATAGATAAGAGAGTACATCTCCTCCAGGATTATAAAATTAAAGGAGTGAAGTATAGAAAAGATGCAACATCTTTAGTCGCAGAGAATTGTTAGAGATGTGAATTACTTTCTTCGCAGGCTTGATGTTATCACCTATTTAAGATATTGGCTTCAGAAACGTGAATTAAAGGCACTGTAAGGAGTTTTTAAATGCTTGAGAAACAGGCTGAACCTGATGCTCATGCCTCTTTATGATCTAAAAGAAACATGATCATCAGCAACAAGAGTGAAAATATCTCAGTAGTGATATTGGACGTCTGAAACCACCTTGAGGGGGTAGGTGTCAAACCAGAGGATTGACAGGAGACAGCTTGAGGGTTTTGTCCAAAAAGCCGGCTTCTCTCAGTCCACAAACCAAAAGCTCAGACTTTTGTAACTACAGGCAGGACTTTAGTTTGAATGCAACAAATACTAACTTTGCTTTCAGACTGATCCAGTCTTTCTACTCCTTATTTGGTTATTTAAGAGGGACGCAGGTTTTCCACATTTCTATGAGTTCTTTTGCTTCCTTCAAATGTGTCCTGGAATTTGTTTCATAATGCAGAAACGTTTTCAATCATACTTCATCTTTTTTCTTTTTACAGTCTGCACGATATCGAAGTAATCCTGGTTCCCTTCACGTCTCCGTCTGCTGAAGGAGGAAGGCTGCTGGATCACATCCGTCTACAAAGGAAGAGTGTCTGAAACTAGAAGGATGACAGACTGTGGGAACTGCTAATTTGTCATGATGTGGACACGAAGGGTTAGAGCCATTTTAACAGTTTCACATCTGCATTTTAACTTTTTTTAAAATCCTTTACACCACACAGTCAGTGGATCTGAACATGGCTTTTAAAAGGATGTTTTTAATACCAAACACGGACACCGATTTTGATTTGGCGCGATATATCCGCCGTAGATGATCGGCAACAATAAAAAGCAGACCTTCATGATAAGGGGGATATCAAACACGGAACAAAAGACGTTACTCAGGTACGGTTGTATGAAATGTTTAACACACAGCTGCACGGCGTCGACCCTGACCTCAGTTTGGCTGATTAATGATTCACCTGTTATGTAGCCTGTTTGCTTGTTATACTTTGATAAAGCTATGATGTGTGTTTTTTTTTATACCAGCGCAGTAAACAAGGGGGGGAAATCAAACTTCCATATGAGGTGATAGAGTTTTTAAAAATAGTGGTTTGATGATAAAGTCACACACTACAACGAGCATTGTATTTAAATCAAGTGTATTGTGAACGGCTATCTATAAATTACAATAAATTTATGCATTTCTCTACTAATGCGTCTGTATCATTTGGTGATTTTTCTATAATTTTTTGAAAGGCGGTACCCTCTCAGTGACTTCTAAACTCTTTTCTTACATACTGATCTTTCATTAAGAGACGGTTTTAGCATTCCCTCCCAAAAAAGGGAACTTTTTTTTTTTAATGCAGCTCTCTGTGAGAATTGATCTGACAGGTAAGACAGATAACTCCCCTTTAAGGGTATAGCTGGTGGCAAGAAACTAATCAGGACCCAGAGCTAACAGGAAGTGAATACCTCGACAAACTGTGAATTCCTATTATAAACCCTTAAAATGCTTTTTTCAAAGATGAGAGCAAAATGTCGCTGTTATGTGGCTTTGTCTAGATCAAAATCTCACGTTCCTCACACTACAACTGTCGCCGAAACCAGATGAGGTCGATAGTAAATAAGTTTGCGGTACAGTAGCAGAGACAGAAAACTTTTCCCGCAATAAACCATCAAATCTAATCAACCAGACTTAACACGACTTTTTTACCTTCTAATCTGACTCTGAATCTTGAGGTTTCCAATCAGCTGTCTCTTTATGTTACACAACAAAAGCAGGTTTTCCACACTGGGTCATCTAACAGTGAGTAACGACATTAAAGTCTATGTATGACATCTAAACTGATCATTAAATTTTACTGTTAGTGCGAGACTGAGGAAGAAAAATAATGTACCGAGTCATTAGTCTGTTGTTAACCGACAACGCTGCTGCCGGGCCTCTTACACTTAGAGAAGTGAGCATAAAACACCACTTCTAGCTGCCTCTCACTGGCTCCCTGTGAGGTTTTGAATTTAAGATTTTACTGCTTGTTTTCAGATGTTCAGGCTTCACACTGAGCCTGAATAATCTCAGGTCCTCTAGCAGGGCTCTTCTCTTGGTTCCTGAATCCACAGATACAGACACAAATATATATTAGTGTCATACATATTGCATTACTTTTAACTAATTTTAATCATTAAGCACTCAGCATCTTGTTTATGAAAAGTGCCGTGTAAATACAATTATTGTTTTCATTATTATTATTATGTAGGCAGAATCAAACATGTAGAGACTGAAAAAATCCATATAAACTCTCAAATATATAACGTTTTAATTACTCTAATGTTTAGTCTCAGAGAGTTTTCAGCATTTTAATGGTGTGTTGAGGTTAAAGACTGCGAGTGGAGTCTACTGCCTCAGCCCTGCTGTGTGTCGGGGGTTTCTGGGACAGTTCATTTCAGGGTTGAGCTGTACACCGTCTGGTCTGACACGGCGGTTACAAACACTAAAATTGACGATAAAGAAAATGTCAGTATTTTTGCAGGTGGACTACTTTTCTTTTGTAGGTTATGGTTATTATTAGTTGAGGTTCATTTCATCACAAGTTGAAAACGCTTCACAGGAGCTTTAAAGTCACATTTCTTTTCTAATGCTGTTTATATCTATGTTTTATTTTGAGCTCCTGAAAGCACTTTTGCTTGCTCTGTGAATGAACAAGAAGAAGAGAATTATTTGGTCAGTAAGAGAAATCAAATTCAGTTGAAAGTCAGACCAAGAAGGTAGGTCTTGAGTACTTTTAAAAACACGGATCCTCTGTGCCGCCCTTCGGTCTTCAGGCAGGTTTAGCCACAGACAGATGTGGGCCGTAATAATAAAAAGCTGCCTCACCTTGAGCCTGTGTTTGTAGGCACAGTTAAAAGCGTGACTTGAGGACTCCCATAGGCTCATGTGGTAAAAGCAAATCTTTTAAATAAGTTGGTGTGAGACCATTAAGAGCTTTAAAACCAATGAAATAACCTTAAAATCTATTAAAAAAGAGAAAAATTATGTTTCATTTTCCTCTAAACCTTTTGCTGGACAAAGAAACGAAACACAGACAACCATCGACCACGACCCCTCTGTTACACGTCCAGTCGCTTTGTTGTATTGTTTTGCACTTTTCCTGTTGGCCTTGTTTTACTGCCCTAGATTTAGATTTGGTTCAAGTCGCCTCACATGTGAGACTCGATGATACTCGATGTCTGTTGCTACTCTGTAGCTCAAATCTCCACGATTTCATTACAGTGTGTGAAATTCTCCGTTTAAAACCTTTATTTTCACATTTTTTATTTCACATTGTATTCAGAGTTATAGAGAGAAACACTAGTCAGCAAATTTAACAATTCAATGAAGTGGATTTGGTCCTAATGTTTATGAGGCTGTTACTTACTTCTACAGTGGAAACAAATCCTGCTGTTCACTCTAAATAGTGAATTGCATTTATAAGTTCTTCACTTCTCAACCTGTATGGTGCTTATATGACAAATTCAATTCTAACAACTTTATTAATCTCCAAAGGGCAAATACTCTAGTTTGTTTTTTTTAACAGTGAGGAAGCACGTTGTTGGTTGAGTCAGGGATTATTTGGCACCTTAAGTGCTTATAAGGGGGATTTCAGTTCAGCTCCGTATCTATGAACCTCTTATCGGAGGTGAAATTTGACAGTTAAACTGTTTAATGACAATACAACAGGTTATAACCTCTGTTTATTAATCTGGCTATAAAGAGGCTATAAAGATAAGTATACATGGCTTGTTTTAATTTTGTTTTATTTACCTTAAACTGTGTGAAAAATGTTTTTGAAATATTTTTGGTTATAATTTGTCATTATCTGAGCTTTGTACAGCATGGGTTTATGTTTTATAAACTTACATAAACACAATTACGATCAATTGTCTGTTTCCAATCCAACTCCTTTTTAAGATTCCTCCATTGGCTTTAAGTGACTACTTGTGAATAAGAGCAGAACACATTTAACACACCAAGTGCACCAACAACGAGCCATATTATTTCACATTTTTTTATTTTCTTAGAAAAATAAAAACAAACACTATGTACACAAATCATTTACAACTGCTTTAAGCAACACAAGAAAGCAATATGATTCTGGAGTAGAGCTTTCACCAGCGCTTAGAAGTCCTTTTCCCTAAAACTAAAATGTACTGTTGCACAAAACGGATAAACTCATATTTTGCAATAACAACTTGGTACTATATTGCCTGTCAATCTGGATTTATAAGCATGTTGAGGGAATGTTTAGCCGTCAAGTGTGGGCAAACACATGTATACACAGTCTATGCATAAGTTTAACTTCACAGAACTATATCTTACTGTTACATCTGACCAAAGACTATGAGTACAGACAGCACAGAAGTCCTTTAAACCAAAATGTCCATTCCACAAATCCTCTTGAACTTCATGGAAAAGGCGAGGAAGGCTTTCAAAGCTGCTGCCAAGTGTCAAAACAACAAGGCATGGAGGTTGGATGGTGGATGATGGTGGGCGGTGCTTTAGCTTAGATGTAACACCACCCATCACGGACTGGAGGCCAGATAATGACGATGAAGAGGATGGTTGTGTCAGCTTAAATGAGGAGTCCATTTAGTGGAGCAATAAGCAGGAAAGTCTTTGTTAATGTCCAAAGTGACAAAGTGTCCTGTCATGTCCTGAGTTGGATTCAGAATATGGGGTTCATCTGTAAGGAAAGGGTGCTCCAGAGGGCGTCTGTTGGACTGTTGAAGTCTGCGCCCAGAGTTGTGTATTGTGGTAACTCGTCTAGCTCTTCTACTGAAAAGACAGGAAATCAAAGGTTAGGGTGATGAAAATATCAAACAGTAGCTCAGAAGAAAAGTATTTTAAGTCACAGTCATGTCATTGTTGAGTGTGTGACTGATGCATGATGGGAAATGTAGGATTTGTCATTTTATCTCAGCACCATGCATTAATCCTTCATTTCTGAGTCAGTTAATGTTACAAATATGAGATTATTTTTTACTCAAAGAGCCATCAATAACAATTAGGATTACTCAACTTTAAACTCTGATGTCGTGGATTAAATAATTCCATTAAATACAATTTCCTTCCAATTTAGTTCAGAGTAACAACAAATACAGGAATTTTTTTACAGTTTGTGAAACAGATCTGAGCTGATTTTCACCTGAAGTGTGTCTTTATCTACTTATTTCAGCTCACTGCATCGTGTGACAAGAAAGGGTGACCTATTGATAGCAGCATTTACCTGAGGACTCACTCCACTGGCTTCCAGGACTGCCACACATTTCATTGCTCAGGAACCCCCTGTGGTCTAAACTGCTCGACATCCAATGTGTTTCTCTCTCCAGTTGTTGGCAAATCTGAAAGAGCAACACTGGACTAAGTATGGCTATGTCTGTGAGTTTCTCCCCACATCAAACAATTGGTATTACTGGATAGCATTAACAAAAGCCAAACGGGCAGAATAAGACAAACACGGGTATTCCTGACAATGAAAAATGCATGCAGTAAAAGCAGTGGCCTAAAGTGATGCTTACCTCGATAATTTCGTCGTACTCTGGAAGATCAGATCGAAGAGAGAGGGAGAGAAAAAAAGGAAAGAAGAGAACTTTGTTATGCACATGTCTATTTTGAGTTTATGTTATTCCACTTGTGTTAAAACATATTTGATAACTGAGAAGAGTGTTTTAAATGATGTCTTACCAGTGCTGTGGTCGGGTGAAACTTCAAACTTGTGTGGAAAGCTGCTTGAAAAGTCAGACCCGATCTCGACTGAAAGAGACCAATCTGGAACTTCGGATGGCGACATGCACTCTAGATCTGTAAAAGTGAAGAAAGACAAAAGTTAAAAACACTTCCAACTTCAGTTTTGAAGGAAAAACTTAGCAGCTTAGTATCTGAGTTTATTCTTCAACTAAAATATTTTTCCTTCCTCACCTTGCTGCTCGAGGTGCACTGTGCTGTCGACTGTGCTCTCCTGGGTGGACTGGGTGTCACTGTAGTCCTTGTCTTCCTCCACCTTGATGAGTGTAGTCTGCAGAGTCATAAAGTGACATGATTAGTTCTGAAGCTAAGATTGCCCCGACATTCAAACATGTCAGAGGTGTAATTAAAGTTTGTCACTGAAATGTAACATCAAAATATCTGCTGCAGGTCTATTTACCTTCTTCCTTCGCTTTGCATCCTTGTCTTTGCATCGCTTGTCTGTGCAGATAAGAGAAAAATAGATATAAATTAGACATCTTCAGAGATAAAAACGAGAGAGAAGATCAGCTCATAGAAGCTGCACATCTCGGGTGATAAGCGTGATAAAACCAATGCTTGCTTCCTGTCAGTTGTCTCACCTCTCGATTTAGGTGTGGAGGGTAACATCCTGAAGACACGCACAGCTTGGTGACCTTTGTTAACACTCCTGTCTTTCACCTCCTCGATGTCAGGCAGTGAGTTCATCGCGCAACGGAAGTTGGCTTTCCATGTCTTGGGGTCAGAGGACTGACCTTCGACATATTTTCCTGTAAAATGCATTTCGTTAAGTATGCATATTAAAAAAAAAACATACTGTTTTATGATCTGTATTCACTCTCACTCACCTGTGTGGATGGCCCATTGTTTGAAAAGACAAGCGTCTTTGTCCATTTCCCAGCCATGTCGAGCTGCATGCTTCCAGGGAATGGAGAACATCGTCTTATCCTGGAGAAAATCAGAGAGGAAATACTTGAGTTGCAATGAAGCTGGACGAACACATTAAAAAAGAGGACAAAGAGGACAAGAAGCTGCGAGTCAAAGTGAGTATCTAATGTTTGTGGTCATCTTTAATAGTTTTATGATACTAGGGCAGTAACCAAACAGGTTTTAGTCTGCTTAGAGATTTCAAACTTTACTTTGCCATAAACAATACCCTCAGAGTAAAATTAACTAGTGAGGTTAATTATAGAGCAGCTTTGCATGGTCTATTTCCCACCTGCCACTCTGCAAAACCAACATTTCAAAGTCCGGCAGCCTACTCACTGCACTGTACTTCACATTTTTTTAACCAGTATAAAGCCTCTTACCTTGTCCACCCAGCTCAGACCAGTGATCGAGTTGGATTCGATCATCTTCTCCAGCCATGGCCTCATCCTCATCCTTGACACGGGCATGTTTGCCTACAAAATCAGCAACAAAAGAAGAGAGGGCAGAGTCTTTAGAAAGGTATCAGCGTGTGATATACAGGCGCGGAGGGAAGTACACTCCAGCATCAGCCCTGGCTTAGAGTTACTGCTGCTGCTGCTGCTGCTGCTGGAGAGAGTGAGAGGAGTTCACGGCCGGGGCACACTGGCAAAGAAGGGGGCGTGTTCGTGTGGGAGTCTATGCTGCTTATTAAGGTCACGGTGGACTCAAAAACTATTTCATACTGAACTTCCGGACTTTTACGTTGCAAATGAGGTGTTTTAATACAATTATCTATACTATGCAGTCCAAAATCTGAACGCGATGTGATATTTTTTAAAAGCAGGAGACATTTGGAAACGTGCGCCAAAAGCTGTTGCGCGCAGGAACAACACGCGTAACTGTGTCACATTTCTGCAAGGATTGAACATGCATTCAAAATGTTCATAAAAATTAAATTAACTCGTAAAAAAAGGTTGTCCTGCAGCAAATTGTAACCAAATTGACGCAAAATGAGGCAGACTGTCTTTTCTCACGCCATGCGTAAAGTTAAAAGATTAAAATAATGTTTGTTTTGAATACAGGAGTATAAGAGCCACCTGCACAGCTGGTTTAAATAAATTAGGCACAAATACATCCTTCAGTTGTCAAAATAGAAATGTAAGTTATTCCTGGGAAGTGAAACACTTACAGGTTTTGCTTGTGTTTGAGATCCGTGAGACGAAAATGCAAAAGAGTAGTCCGCTCCAAAGAAGCTCCTCTTTATCTCCTCGCTATTCACTTTGGGACCTGTCTTTATCAGAGATGGGTAATGTCTGTGTGAGGTGGATGGAGCTATCAGTATTTATACATGTAGTGTGGGGTTTTCCCGGCGCAGCACGTTCACACTGTAAAAAGTCTCCACCCCCTGAACCCGGTGATATCGAGCTGTGTTTGTATTTAGTCGTTATTTCACTCACAATAAAGATATTTTATCAAATGCAACAACTCCTATTTGCTCCACATCTCTTTAAATTTTTAAATTACACCGATATTTGTAAGTTTGCACACTGATGTATTAAAGTAAAATCAGATTGTTTGGGATATTTCTTACAGTGCAGTTGCGCATGCGCCCCAGCGTACCCATTTCCCCGAAATCACGCTGTTGAAAGCAAAGAGGAAGTTTTCAACAACATGGAGTTAATACAAGAGGTTATAGCACGTAACAGACATCATTGACTACTGTTTATGAACCCTCATAGTATCCTTTACTGTCTTTGTAGGATGAACTGTGCAAACTTTGCAGACTATGGTATATTATATTTCAAAATAGTGTGATAAGAACATTAACAAACTCCTGTTTTTCTTAATTTTAAAGAAAAAAGTTTAAACTACTATAATGCATCACCTTTTGCACATTACTAGAGAAATTTATTATAAATAACAACATTTTTTTATGTTTGTGCATTTAATTTTTAGTCATTTTATGTGCATTTTTTATGTGCATTTAATGCTAAAAGTACTTGTTTTTTAAAGAAATGTATATAATATATACTAATAAACTTTATAATATTAGTTTTTGACCATCTGTACACACCCACACACCCACGCACATAATCAAATTCCCACATGTTTATCAAGCTCGAGGCATGATAAACGTGTGCAGGGAGAGGAGACCAGCCCTTTCAAATAAACGGCAGGCTTACGGAGAAGCCCAACGATTTACAATAAATGATGTAGTAATTTCAGTCACCAGCAGGGGCCGTGTTATCCATGGACTACTTGAATGTGGGCCACGCAGCGTAGGACTGTGGCGCGATGACGACACAGAGGGAAACGGCAGGCAACGCGGAAGTAGCAGCAGCTGCTGAGCGGGTTGAGTAAGACAGGCTGCAGAGCCTTTTTACACACTTTAACAACAACTATGGTTTATGTTACTCACTTAAAGCACATGAATTGATTGAAAGTGTGAGGAATTCGCCTGTAAAGTCTGAGAAAAAGTAGCGAGTCTCAACCTAGTCTTATCCGCATAATTCGTTTTCTTCTAATTCTGTAGCCTAACATCTTAGTATGAATTATATAAGTTGTTTTTGTTTTTACACCTTAATCAACACACGGCTCGCTGCGTTCGTGTGAGTTTGGGAAATCCCACACACTCGTGTTGTCACAGTCACCGCTGCTGTCAATCTAGGGGCTTCCCGACCGAGTGGTGGTGAGCATGCGCACTGCTGCTCCCGCCTTTTGCCTGGGGAGGGAGGCTCTGGCACGCGCCGGCAGGAGGGGATGACAGGGAGTTTTTCCACCGGAGTTTCTACCCACGATCAGCAATCAGTGGGTTTTCCCAATAAAGGTAGAAACTGGATTTGTAGGGGAAAGCCATCCCGGTTTTCCACATTTTTGGAAGGATAATTGAAGATGTAAACAAAAATCCTGTTAATAAGCGACAAATATATATGTATGGGGAGAGTGGGGTAAGTTGAGCCACCCACCTGTCGCTTGGAAATAAAAGAAATTGATCATGTGACCAAATATTTAGGAGATGAGCATCAATTCATGGAGTCTGTGAAGGTCAGAAGCACATGGGTGAAGGGATTAGACATTTATTTACAAAAAAAAAAAACCTTTTTCACTCTTGAAAGTGAATTTAATCTGTCATAAGTTTTATTAGAATTGTGTTCAGACCAAAAAAGATCATTTTAAATCTGTTTTATACATCAACTGTGGTACCTATGAGCTACAACATCAGGTCAAAAACCTAACATAAAAGTCCACCATTTTAGCTTAGACTAATTCTGAATCACTTAAAGACATTCTCATGTTAACATGGCTTTTTTTCCAAAAAACCTTTAAGCAGTTATATGCAACAACTTGAACATGGTCACCTTACCCCATACAGGGGGTAAGTTGACCATAGGAGACCACTTTTTTGTCATGCTATATTATCAAAACAGTTATGTTTACACTCGTTCTGTTGGTTTTCAGGGATGAACAACATCCTGAAATATGCACATACACTAGTTAGAGACAAAACTATGATTGTCTTGATGTAATGATCTGAAATATGAAAAATGGCTCATCTAACCCCACTCTCCCCTATATGAATAACAGTTGTTGAAAAGTTGGTGGACTTGCTAAAGCACAATGAAGTTTTTTTTTCCTCATATAGTTCACGCTGTTCGTGCTTAATCCAAAAGGCACAGTTATTTATTCACAAGAGGTAGTTTAGTACTCCCAGGGTACACCTACTGGGTTGCAAGTTTACTGAGGGAGTCACACATTAAAAATGAAGAAGAGGGAGTGAGACATAGACAGTCTGTTATTATTAATTCTGCAGTATTTTCTGTATTAATGCACGGGCAGGCCTTTATTTAATTTAAGATCTAATTTCAGAGTTCTCTCACCCTTAACCAGTGACTGTTTTGGCACTACCCTCTTTGTTATGAAACATTTACAGGGGACAAATTCCTGAACAGTTATCACCCCCCCTGCTTACAGTGATAGTAGTGTAGATTATTTAGGCCACCTGCGAGGTTAAGACACTAATTTGAGGCTTTGCAATGAGGCAAGCGGCTTGAGCATGCAATCTCCCCCTGGACCATCTGCTTTGACAGCTCACCGACACTGGATCAGCTCAAAGATGTTGTTAGTTAGCCTGCGTTTGCTCTGCAGTGTAATACAGGGTGGGAGGAAGAGGGAGCCAAAGGGTGGCCTAACATGCAGGGTTCGATGCATTTTACAGTTTGATATGAATTGCAGGGGGAGTAAAGTCTGTCATTGGTTAAAATTTCTGTTATTGACCTACTCCTGCCGTTGAATTTTCTCCCCCTGATCACACACCAAGTATTTTTCGGATCAGACACTCTCTCAGATCACATGACAAAGTGCAATTTAATGTTATATGAAATTAAGGCTCTGAATCTTGATTTTAAACTTTAAATTAAACTTTATTTTTATGGCACTTTTCAGACAAAAAAACATAGTTCAAAGTGCCTCACAGAGGCGAAAAACAACAGTTAAACAACAATAAAAACCCGACCCTCCCACCCACACACACAGACACACACCCACCCTTACTCACCCACACATAAACACACACAAGCGCACACAGAGTGAGAATTTAAGATATATTGTTAAAGAGACATGGCCTGACACTGAGACATTGCATGAGGAAAGAGCTACCTTTGGGAAACACTGGAGATAAAAGATAAAAAGATAAAATTAAAATAAATAAAAAATGTTAAAAAGAAAGATTGAAACCTGATGGACTAAAACAATAAAATAAAATAAAATGAACAAATCAGTAAGAGCTCTTGACCACGTAAAAAGGTAAAAGAAGTAAAAACCTCCAAGGCAGGAGTTAACAAAAAGATTACGAAGAGAGATTATTAATAAGATTACATAAAAGAAACATTAAGAACTTTGATTAAAATGAACATTTGCAGTAAGAGAAATATGAAAAGGCAATCAGTAAAAAGCCTGGTTAAAAAGGTGAGTCTTGAGCCTCCTCTTAAAAAAACTTTAATAAGTCTTTGGTAAAATATACAAAAAATTATGAAAAAAACTTTTGACTCTCAAGTCAAGTAACAAACTTATAACCCCTCAAAGTGTTAGGTTCTTTTTTGACGCTTTGACTTCGTTTCACACTAGCTTCTGTTCGGCTGCAAAAGAGGGAGAGATGGGAAAGGATGGAAAAAACATCAGGATGTTGATGAAGGAAAGATAAACGCAGCTCATGGAAAGAATGCTTAAATTATTTTATTGCAGTAAGATTTACAAAATATGTGTAAAACTTTCAGATGAGTTAAGAACTTAAGTTTCCAAAAATGACAAATACTTTCCTCAGGCCCTGTCACACATCAATTTCATCATCTCAGCAGGTTTTCACCCACACATCCCACAAGTCCAGAGTTGAACAACATCAGTGGTTTTTGAAGTTCAGCCCCCCCTTCAGGGTGATAATGGAAATGTGTGACTGTCTGTGAATACCACCTCACAGTCACAGATTTCATCACCCTTTAATGGCTCTCTGATAGACAAGAAAACAACTGAGATGCTAAAGTTTAGATGAGACTTTCACATAAAAGTTACCATCGACAACAAGCAGGTGAAAGTAGAAACTTAAGAGAAGCACATACTAAAAGAGCTTTTATAACTTCAAGATTGTTTTTTTTTTTTTGCTTCAATCCTGCATTAGTTTTCTTGTAACTAGTAATAGACGTTTAACAAAGGCTGTTGTAGCTGAGTGGGGAGCTTGTTAAAACGACTTAATATTATGTTGTGAGTGGAGTCAAGCCTAACTCTTGGATGAGACCTTGTCTGCAGAGTCACAACATAAATCTGATTTTGAACTATCATTTCTTCCAGGTGGAATTCAGAGTATTTTGCACATGATATTGAATCTGCTTTTTATCCTTTTTTTAACATATATCTTAGAGTTTAGTGGCATGGTCACTAAGATAATTCTGCCAACCTTTTTAAGTAAGATCTCACAACCCAGAATAGCTGGGAGCTGCCGTGTTCGCGTGCTGTGTTTCTCTAAAAAGTAGAATGTGAAAAAGGTGAAAACAAAGCAGCAATAGGATAACATTTAACTTTTGATTACAGCATGAATTTATGTTAACGTAATAAGGTAAATTCCATGTACCTTAGAGTACAGTAATTGGATAGATATACTTAATCACATTTTAAAAAACAAACTATTAAAATACCTATTAGCACTGGTTTAGCTGAGCTATTTGATAAAGCACTATGTGTACAGAGGCTGTAATCCTGGGAGTGGGCAGCTCAGGTTCAATTTCAACTCTTGACCCCTTATCACATGTCATTCCCCACCTTCTTCCCCCTGTATACTACTCTGTTCACTGTCCTATCTTCTAAATAAATATCTTAAAAAGGCAGATCATCAATTAAGTGTCTAAGTAAATATATACTTAAGAGCTTGTGTAACTGCAACAGGTGTGTATCAGTTACTGTAAATATGGTTTCTGTCTTTCTTAACGACAGACAGGTCAAACAACTTATACCAGCTCCTGATTTACAAAGAGCACAGCAGCTCTATACTTATTCTTATCACTACAAATATACAGTTACACCCTCTCAGATGTGATATTAACTCCCATTTGATGTTTATAATGTGTATAATTTGTTAATGCCTTCATTACAGCTGGACTTCATTCTGCTTCTGGTTTGTTTCTGCTGTTTTATGTTTCATACACGAGTGTCTGTTTTTTTTTTTTTTTTTAACCTGTAAAATGTTTTAAGAGAGTTTTTGTGTGTACTATATACTTGAAGAAAGCATGTTACTGTGTTGAACCCGGAACAAGTGGAAGACCGTAAATCGGGTTCAGGAGGTCAGTAGGTTAGAGTGATGTCTCACTCCTGATGGCTGCTTCTTATCTTTGCTGCTGTACATTTGAAACATATGTTCAGATAAAGAGAGTAGAGAAACATTTTTTCATATATATTTTTTTTAATCTCAACATAATAACCTTTTTGTATGTTCTTAAAAATACTCTTCTGTATTACCATCACAATCTTTTTGCAGGTTTTAACTTCCTTCACAAAAATCTTTTTCATGCCCCAACTTGATTCCACAACCTTCTGTACATCGAATAAACTTAGTTCAGTGCGCAACAAGGTTTTATTTTGTGGTCAGTCTGGAGATTGCACAGATGTCTGATGAAGCCAGACGATGATAACAGTTGAAATGATGAACAGCAGCTTGTCTGTGTGTGAATGCATGTGTTGAGTAACATGCTGTTTGATTTTAGAGGACTTGCTGCAACAACTCAAAGACAGGAAAACAACCTAAGACTTGCAAAATGAACAAGTATCTGATAAGAGGAAAAAGGTGAAAAACAGTTTTATTAGGTAGGTAAGGTACTCTCAGATGTTATCTGTGGTGTGGCGCCGTCATAATATGTGTTTATTTTGTCAAGCTCGTCTGATGTCTGCCAAAAAGCCCACATTCTTAACCAGTACAAACATACTTTGTATTTGGATTGGGAGGGGGGTCTCTATTCATTTCTCTCTTTTTTATGTGTTGCACTTTGAGTTGCATTATTGTTGTATAAAAAGTTTATAATAAATGAAGTCTGATTGATTGATTTATTAATTCTCAGCTGTAAGTGACAGACAACTAACTGTGGAACTTTGGCTTATTAGTCTTGTTGTATTTGATGTTGATAGATGTAAAGTTTTATTTACCTTTTAAGATTAAAATCTTGTCAAACGTGAATGTTTTTCTTCTTGCTGTACTCTAAATATCATTTTTATTTGCTTAAGACCTAAAAAGTTGTGTGGACGGTTTTTTAAGCCATGTTGTATGTCACAAAAAAGACATAAATCCACCTGGGAGCACGAGGAATCCCTAATTTATACCCATCAAGTCAGAGAGGGAGGGGAGCGAATGGAAAGGTAATCTCTGTTATTTACTCTCTCTGACCGCCGACCTTTGCTCCAACATTCCTCAACAGTGATTTGTGGATGTTAAGGAGCTTTAGCCTGTTATATTTTATCTCATACACCACATGTTCATGTCTTACACAACACCAAACAGACTGTTTTGGGGCTACCTTTCTTTGTTTGTGTGGACTTTGGTCACATTGAATTGAAATTTCAGTATTTAACTGCCTCCACTTGTCTGGTGTTCTAATGGCAGGTCACAGGTAATGTTAAATCTGTAACAACACAGAAGAGACATTTTTCACCATCTTTTTGCCTGCATTATTTAAAATTTAATCAGCAGTTTAACTATTTGTCCTTTTTTTCTTCTAGCTCCCGTGTGTCTCTGCAGGTGGATCAGAGAAGAAGAGGAAGAGCAGTAAGATGGCACTTCAGTGAGATTAGAGGTCGAGTAACCTGTTTAATAAGGTCAGTGGCATGACACTAGCACAATAAGACAGTAGGCATGTCAGATACTTGTGGAGATAACGGTACAGGGTTTAGTGTTGGATTTACAGCTTGGATGAGGCAGTGAGTAAATAGCTGAAGATTGGTTCTTTATTCTGCACTCTTTGAATAAAACTCATCTTTATCTTTCAGTACTAAAAACCAGGCTGCAAAGGTGCCACAGTTATTCAGATTTCACCGCAATATGCTATTTTAAGATCAAATTTTGTTGACGCAATTTGGTGCTAAATTAGTTTCTCTAGCCCATTTACAAGCAAATAGAAATTAAAGACCAAAATTCCTTACTTTGGATAATCTCTCGATAAATGTATGTATTTATGTAAGATGATATGTAAAGATGTAGTACACTTTACCTGCCCCCATAACTCAGTGAAAATTTACAGACTGTGGATGATTTTGTATCATCCTTTTGAAAGAGATGTTACTTGATCTAAAACAAAAGCTCTTTCTGTTGTCTTTTTACAGTGAAACATCACTCACTGTGAATATTTGCTTAAGGAAATTAACAGAGGCTGTTTCTTCAGCATGGCAGTTACAGGCATCAAAAACTACTATGTACACACAGTCAGTCTTCTCGAAGATGATACTATTTGCTTTTGAGCGTTAGAGATGCCTCTGTTTTTTTTCAGTCAGTTTCATCACCAATCAAAAACTCATCACAGACGCTTTCGTTGATTTTTTTTTAAATTAAATAGTAAATAATTAAATGTTATCAGTAAATGTCAGTAAAGCTATGAATCATGACATCATCTCCTCCCTTTTAACACAAAGTAATCAATTAATTAAAACTAAATCTATCCAAAAATTAATACTTGCACATATAAAACCCTGCTAAAATTATAGAAGCTCCAGTCTGATGCCTGGGCTTTAGAAAATATCACTATCACAATATATCAGCGCAATTCAAGGTGATGTTTTGGCTTCACTTTCTACAAGAGGAGACAGACGCATGGTGTTCATTTTAATGTACAGTAAACAATGACCACCAGGCTGTAAGAGGTGCTAATATTATGATGTGAAATTGCCTAAGTAAATACTCAACCACACTATATTTTATTATGAATCAGACTTTAAATCAAAACACTGAAACAAATATGATAGTTTTATGGGATGTTAATCATAATAGCTGGATGGTCTATGAAACTTTTCAAGTCAAGGTACGTTAAGGACTGCAATGTAAATGGATTAGGGGAGAGTGGGGTAAGTTGAGCTGAGATTGTTAAAGAAATTGATCATGTGACCAAATATTTAGGAGATGGGCATCAATTCATGGAGTCTGTGAAGGTTAGAAGCACATGGGTGAAGGGGTTAGACATTTATTTCCAAAATAGAACATTTTTCACTCTTGAAAGTGAATTTAGTCCGTCATTATTTTGATTAGAATTGTGTTCAGACCAGAAAAGATCATTTTAAATTTGTTTTATACATCAATTGTGGTATCTATGAGCTACAACATCAGGTCAAAAACCTAGAATAAAAGTCCACCATTTTAGCTTAGAGGACTAATAAAGTCATATTAGTAGTTCAGGCGTAACTGAGAAAGTAAAGGAGTCTGATGAGAGGATCAGAGTTTCAGTTCAGATTGTTGAAATGTTTTACTTTTTCTTTTCAAAAATACAGCTGTGAATGTTCTGAATCACTTAAAGACATTCTCATGTTAAAATGACTTTTTAAGTGACTGTTATTTAGGGAGAGAGAACGTGAGGAAGGAAGGTGGAGAGTGGTGGGGTAGTAGGGATACGGCTCAACTTACCCCGCTCCTATGGTCAACTTACCTCATACATGGGGTAAGTTGACCATAGGAGACCACTTTTTTTGGCATGCTATATTATCAAGACAGTTCTGTTTACACTCAATCTGTTGGTTTGCAGGGATGAACAACATCCTGAAATATATGCAGATACACCATTTAGAGACAAAACTATGATTGACTTGATGTAGTGATCTGAAATATGGAAAATGGCTCATCTTACCCCGCTCTCCTCTATTAGGGAAACATAAAAACATTCATCAGTCTATTACCTTTTGTATTTTCTAAAAGATAAAGCTGAAGAAGAAAAAAATGAAGAATTAAAGATCAGGCAAGAGAGCATATTTTAACTTTACAAAGAGTATTTTTTGTGACAAAATATGAGCACATCTGCACAATAGTCGTGTAATATCTTACGTTATAAACATTGTAATGACAGTGAGCTAAACCGGAATTTCCCATTTTCACATAATACAGCAAAATTTTAAAAGTGATGTGATTCTGATCTTTCTTTTTTTTGTCCTCTGTGTCTCACCATCACTCACTCACCGCCTCAGCCTCTCTGTCAGCCTTCCTCAAGGTTACTTTAGTTCATAGGGAGTGTCTTATTGTACCACGTGATGTGGTGAATGCAAAGTTACTCTGTGTCAAAGCTTTGCGCAGCTGCAGGGACGCTAAAAGGCTGCATGGCGTGATGTAGCGTGGACCAAAATAACACATCAGCTTATTTTGCAATAAACCAATATGTGTAACATCAAGGCCTACACAACAGGCAGGTCAATCATATACAGATTTAAGCTTTACATACATGCGCACTGATGCTCATTTTATACCTGATTTAAAGAAGAAATGTTTAAACCATAAATATAAGATAAACAAGACACTTAAATGCATATATCCCACGATTACTTGGGAGAATTAAATGAATGCAAATGCATCCCTAGAAGAGTCTACATCCTCAGTAACCTTGGCGTCGATCGCATCTTCCGTCCGACCTGTAAGCCCTCTCATTTCAGCAGGGGTGTCTGCCATTGCGCAGCAGCCAACTGGGTGAAGGAGGACACTCCAGGAGGCGGAAGGATGCTTCAGTAGGGCCCGGGTGTCGAGGTCTGTTTCTCCAGTCAGCACGTTCCTGTAGAAGCCTGCTGGACATCGCCATCCCCCTGCCCAGCTCCCCCACTGTGGTCCGTCTCAGATATATTGTCGCCCCCCCCTCCTTAATCTCCCAGATTGTCGGCGACTTGCTGCAGTCAATGCTGCAGTTTTGAGCCGCTTCTGCACCGGCACAACTGACTCAATGAGAAAGACATGCTCGCATTCGTTTTGGTCTCTGGGTCGCTCTGGATTATATTAGGTGAGTTGTATTTTTTTCATGTATTATTCCTCCTTTCATTCATTTTTCCTCTTTAGCATCGCTGCTCTGGGATTTGTCGACAATGCACCTGCCACACAGGGGCTGAGGCGCATTGTGTCATGCCGGCTTTTTCATTCATTAGCGTGGGGCTGTGCCATTTCTTCCCCCTTCTTCTTCCTCTTTTTTTTACGTGAACTGTTTCGTTTGTTGTGTTTAATCCTCATAGTGTTGCTGCTGCTGCTGCAGTTGGCGCTTTGCCTGTGCCGTGACGCCGGTGACATTTTTAATTTTCTCAGACTACACGTGCATGAACGCAGCCTCAGTGCAAACCAGGAGTGTGCTATCTCATCTCAGCTGACTTCAACTTCAATCACAGTGATTCACTTTACACTTTAAAGATGATGAAAGGTACATTTTAGGATGGATTTGGGTTACCTTTCATCAGGTAGCCAGAGTGCAGCTGAATGCATGTGGGTCACTGCGGATCAGTGGTTTTATTCCACTGTGTCCAAGTGTGTGTTTGACTTTAAAACACCCCTTAAAGACAGAGTTGATCAAACTGAACGACAGATAGCACGAAAGAGTGTGCATTTGAGGCTGACAGCTGCAAAGGTCGTATGACATTGTACGCGGAAACCGGACACACGTCATTTAGAAACCCTCATTTGGGGACATCCTGTCCTTTTACGCGCAGCCGCTGTGGCGCCGCTTTCCTCTCCTTTTTAAAATCTACATTTAAACACGCAAATTCAAAATTAACGTGCTGTTTTAGTAGGATGCCGGTTGATACAGTCATTATTTTGTCAGTGATGTCCTCCGCCATGCCTTCGTGATGGAGGGAGGAGGGAGGATGAGGAAGGATGAGGAAGGTATGACGCGCTTCGAATACGCGCAGCTGATTGGACGGGAGCTGTCCAGGAGAGAGCGGTGCTGAAATCCTGCGGCCTACCGGTAAAACTAGACGGAGAACACAGCGTGCTCCGGTTCAACGACACCACCCAAGACCCGAAACGATATTAAGAAACACGGCCAGCTTTCTTTGAGACACGTTTCCAAAACAATCCAGCTCCATCTTTATTCAGCAGCAGAGTAAAAGAGCAGATTAGCCCTTTAATAGATAGATAGATAGATAGATAGATAGATAGATAGATAGATAGATAGATAGATAGATAGATAGATAGATAGATAGATAGATAGATAGATAGATAGATAGATACCGAAGAAATTTCAAGGACTGTGCTCAGCATTCTTATACAAACAACAATACAATAGATACAAATTTAAAAGTGAATAGAGGAAAGGTAAGAATAAATGTGAATATAAAGTGTTTGTCATGTAATATATATGATTAATACATAATGGTAATACATATGATCATACATATAATGCCTGAAACCACAAATTATGGTCGGAAAATTCAATTTTTTTGGATCTGAAACGTTTCTTACACTTACTACTGAAAACTAAAAAGATCAAAATGTCCTTAAATTTTTACAAATATATTTATTTATCTTGTTTGACACATCAGATGTTTTTGGAAACTGATGAACCACAAGAGGACATTTTTATCATTTATCGGACTGTGTTAAGGTGTTGTTTTTAGTAATTTGTTGATTGTATTGATTGATAGAAGTATTATAAAAGTATGTATCAAATATAATACAAAAGGCAATGAAGAGGTTTTTGCCTTCCCTCCATTATCTATTGAAAAATATTGAATCTTGATGAACATTTCTCTAATAATTAACATAAACACACCAGGGTTCTGTGGCTCTATTTACCTGCGTTTCAGGAGCAGCTGGAGCGCATGGTTACTATGTGACAAACGAGCGTTAACAGTTGGGATCCTGTCTGCTGCATTAATATTAAAACGTGCCGTTACAGGGCTGCAGGTGTTGCATATTTAATAACTGTGTCAGCCAATCAGAAGTGAGGCCCAAAATAGTTTAAAATGGACTGAATTGTTAAGTTTAAAAATATCCGCCCAGTGGAAGCTAAATGGAGTCCCACAGGGATATCCATGACACCTCTGACCTGTCATTACATCCCAACACCCTGCTGCTCCAGCTCCATATAAATAATTCATTTTAATCACCATCTAGTGCAGCAGCACACAGCGTGGGTAAACCTATTCTTTTTCCCCTCCTCAATATTTCATTCAGAGGATGATAGTGGTTTTGTCCCTCCCTTTGGTACAATAAAACCAATGTTACTCCTCATATTAACTGCAGGAGAGGGATAAATCGTCAGTGTCTGAGTCTTACAGATGACATATTTCCATTCTGTCTTATTTGTCTGGTTTCAAAACTTCCAGCATGACAGAGGGAGGGAGCCAGAGGGATTATGAAAATGTTGAAAACCTACAAATTAAAGACACACTGGTTGACTGCACAATATGACAGAATAAGTGCTGAGTGTTAAGTCCTGCCTGCTGTGCAATGAATGTCTGTCACTGTGCACTTGGACTAAGTTCAAGAAGTTATGAGGCAAATATAGATTTTTCGAAATCCTGGGACAGACAATATGGTATAACGATATAGAAAAGCTGTGATATTAAAGCTTTTCTTTCCAAAGTCTCAGCCTTTGGGGTAATCAATAACATCAGCCAGTCTTCCTCCTCTCAGACCCACAGGGCAGCCTTCCCTCTGAGTGGCTTTTTGCTGTTTCAGCATTCAGAGTCTCCTCTTCCTCATGCAGTTGGATGCTGAGCAGTAATGGCTCAACGTAGAGTGCTGAAGCGGGACGGTCGGGCCATAACGCGCTCAAGTAGTTTTCCAATAAGTCAGTCCTCGCAGTAATGCGTATTGTCTCCGTCTGGTGCTATTCCTCTGGGTGAGTTTACCTTTTTATTATTGTAAACCCACAAATCTTAAATCTTGGGTTAAAAATGATTTGAATAGACTTCTCTTTTGGAAATTTAAGCAAAATTAACAATTAAAAGAGCAATTATTCGTAAAACTGGCCTAAACATGAGCCTGTTTGTCTTAAATCACAAAAAGGTAGCAACGCTCACAAAGGTCTGTTGATAGTAATCCAAATTATGGTGTTGCAAAGAACATATATTCAGAATTAATGTCTGTTTACTGAAAAAAATCCACCAGGACCCTTATTGATCATACTGTGGCCCTCAGTGGGCTCTCACCCCCCAGGTTGGGCTCCACAGACACTCCTTCATGCTGGCTTTCATAGTCAAATCAAACTGGGTGCAGCTTCCTTTTGTGTAGTTGAGAGTATTTTGTTTAAATATGATCCCAACAGTGTAAACACAGACGTTTATTTGCATGCATGTGTGTGTGTGTGTGTGTGTGTCACTGGGCCAGTGTGTGTATCATTGAGTCAAGGAGAAGATGAGTGCTGTGTGTTAAGGTAGGGGGAGGGTGTCAGAGGAAGAGAAAGAGAGGAAGAGAGAGAGTGTGGTAGGGAGGGGCAGGTGGGTGTGGTGAGGCAGCGCAGCGTCTGTCGAGCTGAGGGTGGTGTGATACGGAGGCCAGCGAGGCCCAAACTAGACCAAAATGCAATCTCGCTTTTCCCCTCAGCTTAATCTGGCCGGTGGCAATGGGAAGGTAATCACTAGTTTGCACAAGGTGATGTGATATCCGCCTGAGGCCCCTTGGCACAACACACATTTACACTCACACACCTAGACACACATGTACACAGACCTAGATCACACTTCACCGGCTGCCTGGCTGCCTCAGACGCTTTTGTAAGTGCTGCATCATTGACCACAGCTGCTGTAACCCTCCTGAAATGCAATTACACTTCTAGGCTTTTGCATATTTTGCATTTTTATCTTCTTTCTTTGTGTGTCTCTCCTCACTGTAAACCAATTTATCAATTATTTATGTGTAGGTAACCTGTCACCCCCTATTCAGCTTTAGTATTTGTGTTTTCTGCAGCATGTACCTGGTCATTTTTTCTGAATGATGCCTGTAATTACTTGTTGTGATGAGTCTGGCTGCACTTTATGCGTAAGATTTGATGCTGGCTGTGCATGTGTGTTTCAGTGTCAGTGTAGTTTGACTCTTCTTCGAGATCCTGACTGAAAAGTTAAGGAGTTTCTTGACAGAGAAGATGAAAAAGCATTAAAAGAAAAGTAGAAGGCAGAGCAGGGCATCTTTAAATAGAGTGCAGTAGTGAGGTTATTACTGGTCATCTGTCTCCAAGCTAATAGGCTGTAATCTCCCCACGTTGGACTCTAATCATTGGTGACGGCCCTCGGATGGTCTGATGGGGCGGGACTTGAGGAAGGAAGGGTTGCCTCTCTTCCACTTTAAGCCTCAGAGGTCACAGGAAGTCCAGCTGGCCCATTCACCAGCTCTCATCTCTGCAGAGTTTCTGCACCATGACCTCTGAGAAGTGGTGTTTCTAAAAGAGGAGGAGGAAGTATATAGGTGAAGTAGATAAGAAGCTGCTGCATTAACCTCAGTGCAGCAGTGCTTCAATACAAAATCATTATTGTGACACATGCTCATTTCAGTGTTAACTGTGCTTGTTTTAATGGGCTGCAGCGTGGGGATCTTTCACAGGTCCTCAGGAGGGTGACGATTCAGAGGCACTTTAGATGAGCGGTTTGTGGGAACATAACGTAGAGTCTGAGGTCAGCCAAAGTCCCTTTCCAAAACGCTGCCACTTCTGGATCATATTGAGCTGTTTCTGAGAGAGAAAGCAGCTGGAAATAATCTTTTTCACCAGTGGATCTTTCTTCATTCAAGAGTCTCATTTGAATTCAGTTCCTCTTCCACTTTTATGGGAGTTTTTAAGCTCTAGGATCTTCAAATGATGTAACTGAATTTATTCACTCTTTTATCTCCAGCTAGTTCAAGTTAGTTCAGACTAATGTGCCAATATTTACCGGAGACACTGAAATATTTAACCTGACTCTGAAGATAAGGCTGCTGAGGTCCAGTTGAACATCCTCCAGCAGGAGACCCACTGAGCAATAGATGACTATTAGACATCTAGTTTATTTTTTAGACCTAATTTCAACCGTCTAGATTCTGTATATTTATAGACAGAATTTAGACATTGCACTTTAACCTATAATTCAATATCTACTTATTTTAAAAAGCAACTGTGAGTTGAATAACTGATCTCCAAGTACTCAACCAGCAATATACAGTGTAGTATAGATATAGCCCAGATTTAGATTTAGTCTAAACTAAGACGTCTAAAAAACTTTCATTTTTAGACCTGTAGTAGCCTGATTTTAGACCAGTCGTCTAGGCTACATTTAGACATCTATTGGACCTCTTTTAGACCAAAAAAATGCTCAGTGGGGAAGAAGTTCAAATGTTTATTTTTTTGAACCAGATGTTCATGCGCAGCGTGTGTTCTGAAAGCTTTCATAAAGAAACTGAACAGTGAGTTCTACGTTTCCCATCAGCACATTATTTGACTAAGTAAATCTGTTTGACCTCTACGAATCCTCCTCCTTAACTCCACATGGAGCAATGTGGCAAAACTTTGAGGAACATCATTTTCATTCATCTGTATCGTCAATCACTTTCAATCATGTTGCATTAGATAATTCAGGCTACTACTTTACCAACACAACTCAATTAAGATTATGATTCAGTGTTAGCTGATACTCGTCTCCCAGTATCCAGTCTCACAGCATTACACTAACGACAGACATGGTCTCTGAATTTTTCAAGTCAAATTGTGGGAAATTGTGAAAAACTGTGGTATGGGTGTAAGTGTCCATCAACAGAAGGGTAGAAATTTCTCCAAGGAGACAATAATTGTTCCGTATCGTATTATATCTCACTGAAAAATAATAAAAGTGAAATATATGTAGGGCGAGAGCTCAGTGACAACTGAACTAGATATTCGGGTTTGTGTTTATTGATCGCTGATAAGAATCAGTTGCTGTTAAAGCAAAACTGATCATAGGCTACCTTTTAGCTGTTGAAATAAATCATTTAGGATAAACCAATTCATCTTTAGATCAACATTCACGAATGCGGCTTTACCGGTAACTTAAAAAAGTCGCTTGAGGCAGAGAACAGGTCCTGTATATTCGTGTGACACGCCGCTGCTGTTCCAAAGAAGCTCCCACAGTTCAGCGAGGATTTGGAGCTTTAATAACAGAGAAAACGCTTCTACAGTGACCAATGATTTACACGCACACATCAGATGTTTTATGTGTTATACACTTTGCGACTGTGAAATACATAAAGTACAGTCAACAAAAATTACAGCTACCTAGCCTCACCTCTTAACCCCAGTGCAGGTAAAACAGCCCCTTATATAACCTACTAGCTTTCAAACACACTGCCCACATGACCCAAACCCAGCGAAACCAATGGCAACCAGACAAGATAATCGATCAGCAAAGCAACATTATGGCTCAGATTTACGTTAAAAGATTGAGTAATAGGCTGTACAGTGTTTGATGAAGGGATAGTTCTTTATGCAAACCAGAATCTGGACAGGGTGAGCAGGACTAAATGCAAAGCAAAGGTCTTGTGTCGCCTGCTCACATACTTTAATTTTCATACATGTTTGTCTATGAATTTGATTTCTGTCTGAGTCACATTTAAGTGGTTTTTTTTTATTATTGTTTTTTTTTTTATGGTAAAGATGTAAACTCCCACAGGTCTGCCCAACTTCTCAAAATCACTAAACCACATCTTTTGTGTTGTTTTCAATTAAGAAGTCTTGGCTTTGAAAAATACATACCTAGCCTTAGATGGATTTATTGTCTTCCTGTAAATCTTTCAACCAGATTCATGGTTTTAATCAGTAGATGGGGCGTTCTCAGTCACTAGGTAACTTAAGGATTTATCTTGACAACTGATCTGACAAGAACAAATGAGCCAACCACATTCACAAATGAAGACGACGAGATAAAGGAGCTAAAAGTGTAATATGCTCGTGTAAAAGCCTTACATTTTTCCACAGAGACCGTTCACACTCAAGTGTAGTTCACAGAGTTGTACTTGCACTCAGTCTCTCTGTTTCATATTGGCAGTTTAGAGCAAATTAAAACTCTCAGAGCCAAATTTGCCTCATTTGTATTTGTGGTTATTTAATGAATAGGTAATGATTTATGGGATTGTGGATTGATTTCCCCCCAAAAGCCTCTTATCCTTAAGTAACACATCAATCTGTAGCACAATTTTCTGCAGGGATAATGAAGAAAACTCATTTTTTAATGGTGTGATGTGCTCTTAAACTCAAGAGGTATTTGAGTTCTCATGCTGATAAAGGACTCTGCCAACCTGCTGTTTTTGTGTCCCACCAGCTGTAGCAACAATCTTTGTAGCAGGAACAGGGACTGACTTTAAGACCTGTGTGCGCACGCCTGTGTGTTTGTGTGTGTCCCCGGGGTGCATTATTTAGGTTACGAACAGGACAAAGAGTCAGATACCAAACGGGGCCGTAGAGTATAATATCGAGAGGGTAGTAACAGCTGAGTAAACGAGCGGGTTCAATCAAATATAGAACTCAAACATTCACCCCTCAAGCAGTGGCGATCTGAAAGGACAAGAGGAAGACAATAAAATAGGTCCAGTTTCAGAGACTGTTTGCATGGTTGGTGTCGCTTTACAAACACTGACAGCTTGTAGGCTGAGAATGTGTCCCTTCTTAGCCACCTGTAGTAACTGTTACAGTGATATTTGGAAGGACTCAAATTCTTGTAGAAAGAATAAAACCAGATGAGAAATGACACATAACATGAGTCAGCATTTTTTCAACAAGTGTTTGATCTTAATCCAATCCAATGCATCGTGATGTTCATTTTCTAAGTGATAGTCCCGTTATGGTTTAAACCGATCAAAAAATAGAGTTTGCTTTAGGCTGTCGTGGCTCCCTTTGAGTTTGTTTTCATCCCAGAAAACAAGATTACAACTCAGGAATAGAAAACTAGAAGCTCCTGTGAGACTTTCTGTTTGATTCCTTTTCGGTGCATAAAGCGTTACCACTCACATTTTGGCCTATTTGGTTCAGTACAAGTGCAAATTATGTTTTCATCCTGATCTTGCGTCCCTTGTTAGTTCCTAATTTAGCAGATTTAGATACTTCCAGTACCTTTTAATGACCTACAAAAGGAAACAAGACCACCACCAACAAGATCATGATCTGAAAGGGGGTAGGTGTCAGACCAGACGATTAAGAAAAAATAGATTATTTTAAGCTTTCAAGAACAGTTATTGGCAGACTGACACATATGACTGTAAAAAGTAAACAGTATGAGTTTTTTAGTGGTGCCAAAATCAACTAGCATCCATAACAGCTCACTCAGGACATGCACAAGAAAAAAATGGCTATAGCTAAGTAGCTGTTTAATAGACTTAAACTGTTTCTTTATAAGTACTATATAACACGAAGTAAAGTATATGTGAACAAAACTTTGGCAGAATAAGAAGAAGGGAAGATAAATCCGTCATATCGTTAGGGGTGGGTATTTTGTCTGGTGATATATTGTATCGTCTCATTTACCAAGTATCAAATTTTTCAAATTAACTGTTGATATGAAGTCAAACTATGATAATGGAAAAATAAAATCAACTGTTTGTCCAGTGAAGTTGGCAGAGGGAACATCATGGAGCAGGAGAAAGTTAGTGCAACATATATAGCAGCACCTGGGGAGAGACATTAGGAGGGCACAAATGAGATGGACATAAGGTTTGCAAGAAGTGCTACATGAAAATAAAATACTGTGTTAATAAGACAAACATAAAGGAAAGAAAAATGCTAAATTAGCCAAACAGTTGAAAAAAATTGTATAAATCGCAATATATTGTATCGCAATACTCACTGTATTACAAAATGTTAAAAAACGAAATAATATCAAATCGTGGGGCCACTAGTAATTCCAACCCCTACATATCGTACATTTGAAAGGTGGAGAGTTTGTGTTGGTGTGTTACCACACAGGTAAACCAGGAAATGGCCAGTTGTAACAGCTGATAGGGGGCAGGTCACCGCGGAGGCAGACCTACTCTTGTCTGTAAATCTCACCTGGTGTAGGTAGACTGGGACACGGATAGTAGTTTGGTTTAACTGTGTAAGTCGATGTATACTGACTGTGGACAGAGTGAATCATGGATATTTTTTTCTGTGGATACCAGCAATTAGCACTTAAGCAGGACAAGATCCTTTTGTATATTGGAAGGCTCAATAATCAATACTTTCTTTAATGACAAGGGTTAAGGAAGTTGTTCGAGGTTGGAGTTCGCAGTCAGAGGCCATCAGATCCAGCCCGGTCTTCTACTCTGGATTTATGTTTTATACAAAAGGAAACTCACTGTGTTTTTTTTGACATCCAGGCAGGAAAATACGAACCAGACCAGAACAAAAAGAGCAAGCACTAAGTCAAGCTGTTAGATGTTCGCGTTTTTCCTAGAGGCCAATTACATGTCTGGCTCCTGCTGCTGTCAGAAAATTTCATGGCAGGATGATGTGAGCCACCAGCATGTCTGTACCGACGGTTTCGCTGGTTCATTTTTACCCTGCAGCCTCCACATGAGAGTTTGTTTCCTCACAAACAGGTGCCAAGAGTGGGTGTTCAGTTATGAGTGAGCAGATTGCTGTCAGCTGTGAGGATCCACAGATGTTTTCCCACTACGTTTCAGGAGTTTTAAGGATCTTTGAGTAGATGATTCGGCCCTCTTAAAACCCAGCGTGTTTTTGAAGAGGGGCAAGCTTTTTTTAAGAAACAGAGGTTTATGAAAGACGGTGCATCAGTCGTCATTTTCATGTGATTTATTTTAGGAAAACACTTCAAAACTGTTCAAAGAAGAAAAAACATCAGTGTGAAATCCAGATCTGTAGATTTCTTGGACTTTAATATCTCCAAAGAACCTCGTGCGTGAAAAAAATAAGTCATTTTTATCCCAAAGGTTAAACCCAGTTGTCTGTATTTAAGCTTTACACGCAGTGGTATCAGTAGGTTATGAAGTCTGTCTATATTTAGATCTGTTTGAGTGCTGTTCCCCCTCCCCTGCCTCTCTTTTCAGACACCACCTAATCCACTGTCACTCCATCATCCCCACAGCCCCACCACATTAGCCATTGAACACAACACAAAACACATGCAGCCAGCTACGTCACATTTATGTAATCTGAGCTTCTGCTCGCAGTATTCCCCCGCTGATGCATCCATGAGTTTATGAGAGCGGTGTGAGTAACTTCACTTTGATTACAAAATCTGCCAAGCATGCAGAGCAACAAGCAGTGAAAGGATGTGAATGAGTGATATTTGAGGTCAGGAAACGATAAAAAGAAGCTTGTAGTGTAGAATCAGGCCTAAAACCTTGAATGTAAACGTCATATAGATTAAGAATATATATAAAATAAAGATAAAGATAAGGATGCATTGATTGAACGAGATTGAAACAGGTCCAGCGTTAAAGTAATGACTGTGTCAGAGGACAGATTTGTTTATTTTTCTTGGACATGGCACAGATGTGTGTGTGTCCTGTCAGCATGACATGACATGGAAACTAACTTGGGAGTGAATGTCATAGTGCCCGCCTGCCTGACTGCCTCTCTGCCTGCTGTTTTCTTATTGATCTCTCCTTTTAAAACAGTTCAGATATACAGATGCAGCGTGTCATGGAACAATATCAAAGGAGACGAAGGATAAATATGGTAAACTGCACCGAGGGAAGGGAAGTGGGAAAAGGAAAGGGTCATTAGTAGTCACGTCTGGTGTTTTTTTTTTTTCTTTATCTTACGCCTAGGCTGTACAAAAAAAAAAAGTGAAGCTTGAATTCAGCATTAAGAGAGTAAAACAAACTGGTATTTCTGCGTGGGCTTAGACAGTGAGGCGCCAAGTATGCCGCAGCACACCCTAAAACCAGGAATAAAAACAACAAGCTTAAAAATATTTATAAACCAATTTCCTGAAACACAGACTAGTAGATTAATATTTTTGTCAATGTTCTCTTGATTGTAGGGCTGGGCGATAAAACGATAATGTATATTGAAAAATAAATTTCCCTCCATATCAATATAAAACATGGTCAATATCCTTTTTGATAGTCAGCATTCTATATAAATAGCTAATGAAAAGGAACATGAACCAATCATGTGCTGAATTAGAACCAAGTAGCAAACAACTGTGTAGTAGAAGAGACAAAGACCTCACAGATGCAGGAGCTTATTGTATTGCAAAAGACATGCTACCAATAAGAACTGTTACATTTCATTTTTTATATCCTGATATCAATATTGACTGATGTGAAAAAAATTATATTGTGATAAACTTTTACCTATATCGCCCAGCCCTACTTGATAGCATTCAAAAGGTTTATAAAACTACTTGTAAAGTTATTCCGCTCACTCCGGTAGGACAGCCGCAGCCTTTCCAAAATTAAAAGTGTTTAACTGGTTAATGGAGGAATGAACTGAGTAAGTACCTATTGAGGATGTGTGTAGAGCTGCACCAATCCATTTTTTTCCAATCCGATACCGATACCTTGACTGAGTGTATCGGCCGATATCAGATACCGATCCAATACTACTGTTGAATGAATGAACTGAATATCTTGCCCTGTGAGTAGCATGACATTAGCTTGACATTAGCCTTGTTAAAAAAAGGTAACATATTAACACAGATATAAATTTACTTAATATTATGTAATATGTAACAAATTGCACATTAGCACACAGCAAAAAGAAGTAAGACTTTCATGTATTCAAGAAAAATAATTACTGGATCGGAACGCTGGATCGGCGTCATTTATCAGATATCTGATCCAGCTGATTTGTCAATATCGGAGCCGATATCCGATCCAAGTATCAGATCAGTGTGTCCCTAGAAGTGTAGTAGGAGCTGACTCATAATTTAAACTGACTTATTTCAGCCACATGCACAAAAGTAGAAGCCCGTGTATCTGCCAGTAAAGATAAGAAATTAAAGCTGGATCCTACAGGTAGATACAGTGAAAGATGATGACCTGCAGTAATTTGGTTCTCTCGTGGCATTTGAGTCTAAAAAGTATATAAAACTAAAACTTAATTTGAGTTATTTAAGAAGTAAAATAGTGAAATAATAATGAACTGCCAGTGTGTTGTTTGTTTAGTCGAGCTGAAGTCTCAGTTTATGTGAAGATTTCACGTATAACTCTGAATCTGTGTCACAAATGTGGTCGATTTGAAGAAAAGAAACTGACGAAAAGGATCTATGGTGGAGTAAGAATTTCTACTGACTCTGTTTTTGGAAAAACTACAGAAACATACAAAGAAAAGAAAAGAGGTATGACTCTTGACTTCTCTGCCTGTCTGATTGGAAGTGATCTCTCTGGGTTGCACTGAAGGGAAACCTCTAAATTTGGGACATTTACTTCACAACTAGGAGGAAGTGGTCAAATTTGAAAGGTCACAGATAGACACCTCCTCAAAGTCATTTTGATTTGAGCAGAAAATGAGGAAACCCCCCCTGAAAAGGACAGAGGTGTACCAGAATACACCGTACAGCGTGCAGATGCAATGAAGATAAAAGTCACGACACAAAACATAAGTCCCTCAAATTCAATTCCTGTTATTCGTTAGATTCTTAGAAATTTGCTCAACAACTTACTAAGTGTTGCAAGTTAGTTTGAAAGTGTGGTAGTATCAGTTCTGTATCTGACCCAAACTGTTTAAACTTGAAGTTTTTCTGTTGAGAAAAAGTCACAGAGTTCTCAGTTTAATCCAAATACCTGAAACTGTGCCAGAATATGTTTTTCATTTGTCGTGAATTTACAGTAATGAGGTCTAAGTGTCTGACACACTCCGGCAGCGCACAGCGGGTCACTCTGTGTACACAACAGGGCTGAACATTTTATATCAGAATCCACTTTGACATCCTTACTGCACATGTGGACAGAGAGTTTAAGTTACCAGCATGAAGAGGATTAGAAGATCTACCATCAAACTGGACATTTCCCAGCATATGAGCGTCTCTGAGTCCCCACTAGCATTACTGGCAGTAGGAGAAATCAGACAACAGACAAAAGAGGAAATATATGATTAGTAAAGTGAAAAGGGGAAGCAGATAGTCATGTGGTGTTAGATACAGGACAGTTTCAGACACATCGGTAGGATCACTCATGGTGTTTTCTTTTTTTCACCTTTTTTTTTTGTATGTAGGGAACCCGAGTAAAGTTAAATGAAGAGGATGTGAGTCTTAGAGGAGTTTAGAGAAAGCAGCATCAGGGAATTCACTGTAGGGCAGAGGAGGGTACTTTGTTTCTGCTGGGAATAAAACCAGTGCAGGTGATGAGTAAGAGCTGTTTTACAGTATGACAGTGTCAGAGCTGTGAGTAGGAATGATGACTGCTGATGCGCTGCCTGCTCTCAGCCTGTATGTATGACTATAGTTCAGTATCTCAGTAAAAAAATAAAAAAATAAAAAAAAAAACAATGTTCATATTTTTTTAACATAAGTTGAAAAAAGACACTTATCTTCTTGTTTCAGGTCATTAATTTCTTCAGATCTCAGCATCTTGCATTAAATACACCATAACACTTTACTGGCAGGGTACAAATTTTAGACTGTATTCAACATAACTATACAATCATGCATGGACTAATGGGGGACATGTCATAAACTCCTTTTGCTCCATTATGACTTTATTCAATGAGCGACCCTTCAGTAAAATATTAAGGACCCTTAAATCTCCACGACTTCATGAAATAGGTGTGATAAGCTACATCAGTTCGACAAAAGAGTTTATCTTATTACTATGTGTCATCTTACATTAATTCATGCATTAGATAAACGTGATTCATGCATTACTTAAACATTAAGCGTTGTCACTCAACTTATAAACTGAGTATCTTACATCAACTTCTGTTTAATTAAAGTCCCACTCAGATCATTTTTTTGCTACTTAAAGTGTTATGAGTGGTCTTTAAGTTGTGATTATGAAGTTTTTATACTAAATTCACGTTACCTGTGTCATTTTCAAGAGCTTTTCTTCTGCAGAGCTCCAGTAGCTCATTAGCAATTAGCAATTCGCCTCTGAGTCGTGGGTGGGGATGCTCTACACACTTCTCCTTGAGTTAGCTTGCAGCCTAACATTTCCGGTGTAGTAGAAGAAACAGGTAACATAGGAGCTATTCAGCGTTCTGACACTAATGTCTTTGGGGACATGATGAAAGTTAATATCACAATAGCTTTCTTACAAACATTGCAAACCGCGACCGCACACACTTGTTCCGTTATCACCCTCTCTACTTTTCCAAGTCTGGCCTGCATAGCGGGGCTCTGGGGGCGGAGCTTAGATTTGTGATGTAAAAAATCTCACTGTATCTGAACCTGCTTTTTGGGTCTGCCAAAGAGTCACGGCAGTTTGAATGCAGAAATTCTCAGAAATGTAATTTCGCACCTTCTTTTCTCATAATATGTCCTGTAGCATCAGAAAAATGCCATATGAACATATAGACAGCAAGAAAAACATGATTTTCATTGAAGCAGGTCTTTAAGTTTAATTGAGCTCTTTGTAAGATTTCAAAAGCTGATATAAATACTTTTTTATTGCCTGATCGATTTTGAAACATACATCTTGAAGTGTTGTGAGCACTTTAAGTACACTCTCAACACAATTACATGATCCTACACTACATTTCTAAAAACTTATAAAAAGTATTTTGTAACTGTAAGTTTCGGCGTTATGCTCACTGTTTTAACTTTAAAGCCTTATACATGTATTTATCAATGTGCGTATGATGTATTATAAGAGGTTGGTTCATATTAGGGGTTGTCACAACATTTCAGATTTAACTCAATTCAAGATCATCCAAAGTATTTTATGTTTCTTTAATCTAATTTAAATGACTATAGGTGAAGTATACACACACATTATAAACAGCTGGACTGCCCTTCCCTCTGAAGTACACGCTCCTCTACTCATCCACTCATTTAACACCTCACACTTTTCACCACTATGTTCCTGCCAGTTCAGATGCATGAGTATCATCTGTCCTGTTGTAATTAAGGCAAAAAAAGAGAAGTAAAAAAAAACATAAAACAGATTGATTTAAAAGAATCAGGGTGAGTCGATCGGCTGTAGACGTCCTCCTCTCTGAGATGTCCTCCCACCCTGCGGCTCTGCTCTCTCAACATAGTCTCAGTGAGGAAAATAGTGCTTGAACTCAAAATAACACATGAATAAAAATGTCAGTGCTCCCACAGCCTCAGATATTTATACCTTTACAGGTTTATGCGCCGTGACTCTATACACAAAAAAACAGGAAGTGGTTGTGATTGGCTGTGAGCATCAGCAGTGCTTCCACGCCATTCGCTCGGTCAGGTGGTGCTGTCTCTGACTCACTTCTCGAGGGAGGGAAGGAAACCCTCCAGTCAGTGCTGCAGCCTGATAATTTATTTGTGTGTGTGTGTGTGTGTGTGCTACAGAGGCTGAGCTATAACGAGCACAATACGTGACAATACGTGATGTGTGTGTGTGCTTTATCTGCTTTCTAGTCCCACCATCGGCCCAGCGCTGTGGTGCAGATGATTAATTCTGAGGTGAAGGACAGTAAAAGCAGGAATGTGGGGGACGACCTCTTTTTCCCCTTTTTTGAAGTGTGACTGATGTATTTCTGCTCACATGCTCTGAGAGGTGGCAGGAAGGTCAAATGCGACATAAAACACATTTTCTCAGACACGACAGTTTGAGTGGTTTGACCACAGCCGTGAGAAATTTGTAGGAGGGTCTCGTTTTGTGTCTTTAAGCCGAAAATGTGTGTCTTTGTGGTCAGTGTCTCTTCTCTTTTCTGTCAATGAGCAGACAAAATATCTCAGAGAGAAGCAAACTTGCAGAAAACTCTCATAACCTCTCCTTGTCTCCCCCCGTCTGTCATTTCTGTTACTTCATGCTATCTCTCTTCCTTCGTCCAAAACTTCCCCTGATTTACTCATAAATCAAACGTTAAAGAGTGCCCTCTGTCATTGCAGAGCTGAGTTCCACACTGATGGAGAAGATGCAGGCCCAGGAGATGATGAGCGGCCTGAGGATACCGGAGATGGATGAGCTCGGTCAGTTCTTCCGCTCCCTGCCGACCTCCACGCTGGTGGGCATCGGCGCTCTGACCGCTGTGCTGGCCTACTGGCTGGCCACCAGACCCAGGCCTATCAAACCTCCCTGCAGCCTGCTGCACCAGTCTGAGGAGGTGCCGGTGAGATGATAAAAACAAATTGATAAAAGTTTGCAAGATTCATCAGCATGAATATGACCTGTGCTGTGTTCCCTTTGAGGCTAAAGAAGCTTGGGGTCAAAAAAAAGTAAATACACTCACTTTATGCACTCGACACCAGCCTGAGGAGCCAGAAGTACTTTTTTTTTTTTTTTAATACACATTTATTTTGCCCTGGGTTTTACCTGTCAGGCTACATGAACTCTTCCCCCAATGATCCAATGAACAATTGCCCTGCTTGCCTGAACAGCAGACTGAAAGTTACACAAACACACACTGTGATTTCTGCTGAACAGATTTAAGACTCATACTTTGAATTAATATTTTTTTTTATCAATCAAATCAATCAAATTTTATTTATATAGCGCCAATTCACAACAGTCGTCATCCCAGGACTCTTTCCAAAGAAAATGTAAAGATACAGAAACATTTATAACCAGTTTGATTGATCATTAAAATGCTTATTTAAAAGGAACTCTTTGATTGCACACCTTCACAAACACAAGGCAATACCTGCTGAAAAATTACCCTCTACCTTCACCCTGTTTTCTCAGTTTTTTGTTCATTTATTATTGATATGCTGAAAAATATAATACCCAGCAGTTTCTTAAGTTTGCTTCCCTCAAATAGAAATACAGTCTTTTGAATAGAAGGGACATTTCAATAAAGGAAAAGTCAACACAGGACTGCTGTGCCAACACCAAACCTTGTTCCTCGAGTCTGTGAGCGCACTCTTTATTCTTTGAAAGATCACAAGATGTGGGTGAAACATGCCCTCCATTTCACCCCGTCCTGGTTTACCTTAACCACCATCCTGACCAAACCAAGCGCATCTTAGCCCTGTGTGTGTCTTTCACTGACAGGTGAGGCTGGCACTTTGTGTAGCCAATGTGAAACGTCTTTCATAAGCCTTCTGTGGCTGTGAGGCTTTTCTTCTCTGACAATGAACTCCCTGAATCGCTCAAAGTGCGTGAGCAGTGCGAATAATTCAGAGCAGCGCAGCATTTCAGATTTTTTAATGCCTTAAAGAGAAAAAATCTAAACAATTATTATAAGCTCCCCTTGGGGTGTGCAGTATTTTCAACAAGGTACTAAAGACAGAAAAGAATAAAATCTTGTTTTGTTTGTTTTGCTTTTTTTCATTTTTATACCAGCAGCAGTAAGAATTGAAGTATAAATGTGGTATTTGGTGCCGTTTGTTGACAACATTTCTTTGTCTTAGCATGAAGGTGGGGGTCGCAGGTCCATGATGGGCGACAGCTCCAAGCTGCTGGCACATTACCATGACGACGCCAGGACAATGTACGAGGTCTTCCAGAGAGGTCTTCACATATCTGGTTAGTGTTTTAAACTGCACTCTCAAAACAGAGCCAAACATGCAAATAAGCAATCGTCTGAGATGAAAATCTAATGAAGGAATGCAGGCGAGCTAGTCCAGGCAGGCAAATTCAGTCACACTGATTTTAGACTTCACATGCATCATTCTCACAGGCTGTGTCCGAACTGGATCCCTAAGTCTATATAGGCGACTATATGGGGGTTAGCGCCATTTTGAGGGGTGTCCGAAATCTCAGTAATCAATTTCAGTGCCCTATATAGGTGACTCAAAATTTCCCATAAAGCATTGCAAAATGTAGTAACTATCCAATGGTCACTCACCGGTGGTGGGCATCCCGGCATGCATTGCGTCTCCAGCGGCAACGTCACAACGGTAGTGTCCGAAACCTCCGGTGATTGAGCTCACTACATAGTCAGCTATATAGTGATATACCCCAAATGGGGGTTAGGGGTTAGGGATTGAGTGATTCATTGCGGACACAGCCACAATCACATAGCAAATATATTCTACCAATCAGGCGCTCTGTTTAATCTGCAAGACTTCCAGTCTCTGCTGTGCTGTACTGCAGAAAAGTGCTGCACCCACTACTACCCAAGCATGTACCCAGAGGCTCAGACTGCAGGTTTTGATCGATCTTCATTTTCTTCATGTAAAAGTAAAACTGTGAGGAGTGAGAATGTTTTTAAAAAGTGATTAAATATGACCCAAGCAAAGAAATAAAAAAGACAAGTTACTCTTTCTTCTTTTAGATGCGTTTTCACTCTCATATCAAACACACGTCTTCAACCCTGAACCTTAAACAAAGCTGGTTACCTCATAAGGTCCTCAGTACACGGCACAATCAGCATCTACTGTCTGAATTAGTTAAACGAAAACAACAAACAGGAATCAACAAATGATTGTCAAAACCTTCCCGTGGATATGATCTTATCTTTAAGATTTTATACTGTGGGCCTTACAGTCAAAAAATACAGACGCCGCCCACATACTGCTGAGCTGTGCAGGGTGTCTTGTCGACATTTTTAAACACATGTGAGCAAAGATAGCCCACAGTCTGACAAAGCTGTGGTCTGACCATCAATCCTCCAGTTATAATCATGCTGGTTGCCAAGGTGATGGCCATGGTTGTTCACAGGAACAGTGTCGGGGCATTCTCAGAGATTTTGATGACTGAGTCATAATGCAGAGGTAACCCTGCTTTGTAACGATAAAATCACATGAGTGGATTCAGGTGGATGTTACTGAATGACTAATGAGGACATTTTTAAATAGATATACCATTATCAATCAGAGTTTCAGGTCAAAATGTGGCCAAATAGAGTGAATTAGTAGTTACCTGAGCTGGAAGACACTCAAGAGAATTAACTTTTTTCTTCTATTAAGGAAAAAACATTAAAAGTTTTGAGTTTTTTAAGATGTATAAACTGATTTGATCTGGTCATTTAAGGGCAGCATATATTTCTTTATAGTTATTTTTAGTCCCTGTTTACATCTTTCTTTGACAAAGTTTCTCAGAGAGTGAAGTATCTTTTTCCAATAGAGATATGACTTCATTGTGGTCACTCACTGAGCGGGTAATACACGGCGGGCCCAGAATCTGTACAGACGCAGCAGATTCAGGTGGTTATTTCCTGTGGGGTCATCACTAGTGGGTTTCACAATATGATTTCATGCTCTGATGTTATAAAAACGCTGATTAAAGCTGCTCTAAATAAATAATGTGTGTTTACAAAATTTGAGAACTGCATATGAGGACCTTTCAATCACATTTTTGACGGAGTAATTTTGACCAATCCTGTAAAGATTGCCAATCTAGCTATAACACCCTTACAAAGCTGACTGTAATGTGTGTTTTTTTTTATCATTTTTTGTGTTATTAAGTTTTTGTAGTGTTTCATTCAGACACCACCCTGAACCCTCTCTGTGTGTCCTACAGGAGATGGACCTTGCTTAGGCTCACGGCTCCCCAACCAGCCTTACAAATGGATATCCTACAAAGAGGTCAGTGCCAATCAGCAGATGTCTGATAGAAGAGGTCTTATATAATGAGATGTCAAGGATACGGCACGCAGCACGACCGCAGTGTGTGTCTGACTCACAACTTAATTTGTATATGCTGATGTGTTAATTACAGGCCTTTTTACGGCAAGGTAATCATCGATCTAATTATTCAACCTGTTCAAGAAAACTTGAAAATCTGGATTTATAGGTTTATCATGTCTGGTTGCATTTCTTCTGAATGTAAAACAACCATGGCTGTTAATTACAAGATGCAGGTAGCACGATGTTGGTTAGATAAACGGGATATTTTGACAATTAATCATTGTGTCGTGCCAAGTCTGATGTAGTCTGAATGTGGGACTTGTCTATTTGTTTTGTTTTTATCGCAGATTGTGATGTTGTCAGATTATCAAAAGGGCTCAAATCTAAATAAATACAGAAAAAAAGAGAAGAAAGAGGCAAAAACTCAGAAAACGAAAGCTAGAACGAGCCAGTCTTAAATTGTAAATGTAAATCTAAATGTACTTTATTTATACGGCCCTTTACAACAACCCTTTCAGTGAACCGAAGTGCCTTACATTGCATAGTAAATAAATATGAATAAATAAAAACAATAAAAGCAATAAAAGAAAAGAATAAAATAAAGTGTCACTACACTCCTGGGTATTAAAGCCAGCATAAATAAACACGTTTTTAAAAAGCTCAGTCACCCTAGTGTTTGCATAATAAAGCTAAATATAGTAAAGCTATTGCATATAGTATCAAAGCTGGCACACATTATAATATGACCATTATTAATAGTTCCCCTTTTCAATTTTATGTTGCTCCCATCTATTAGAGCCACCCTGGTCATTAGCCTTAATGAGCAGAAATGAAATGTCCCCTCCTGATTGCCTTCTGCTGCTGCTGCTGTCTGATGATATGAGACCAGACATGAGCACATTTCAGATATCGCTGATGTAATCTCTGGCCGCGCTGGTTTCTCTGCCAGTGGAAATACCTTGAGCAGTTTCAAGTTCCAGCAGATCCCTGAAGTCATGAGATAACTGATGTTTCTGAAGAGTCATGACGGTGCTTGTGCTGGCATTTTGAGAGGGTTTTATTTAGACATCGCCATGCCTGAGGCCAGCCGAGAGGTTTCTAGTGCAACCTTTCCTGTTCATTAATGACATCATGTGAGTGACTACAGCAGAGGTGGGTGGAAGGTTGTTTTTTCTTGTCCGCCCACATGAACATGTGATTCCCAGGAAAACTCGATCAAGAAAAGACAAGTCTGGGACTTCCACTAATACCGGCATTATGTGAAATTTACTGTAAAACTTATTTCACAATTAACGCACAGAAACAACAATCGTCTTCTCTCTGTTGTCTAACACAGTCACAGTAACTTATAAAGAGAGATTCTGGTAATTTAACAGTTAAACAAAAGTGGCTAAGAATTTCCCAGAAATGAAAAATATGGACGTTTCCAAACTAAAACTGATAGAGTGACTTTTGATTGTTATCATGTCTTGAATTGAGGCATAAAATATACTATCACAATAACGCAGATTGTACGTTTCCTCTTTTTCATTTCACCAAGTTAATTTGTACAGTATATAGATTCAATATATATTTTCAGTGAGTTATGAAACAGACTAAAATTAATACCCGCGGTTCAACAGGACCCACAAAAGCGAATAAAACCATCAGACACCAGACTGATCAGTATTTATTTTCATTCTGTTTCACCCAATGTTGTTACACACTTGAGTCCCCACAACAAATATCAGATCAAGTCTTGTAAAGACCCCACTGAGCAGGACACGACTATTAGACATCTTTTTTTTTTTCTTTTCAGACCTAATTTCAATCGTCTCGATTCTGTTTTTTCAGACAGAATTTAGACGTTGCACTTTAACCCATTTTTCAATAACTATTTATTTCAAAAAGCAACTGATCTCCAAGTGATAGATTTAGATTTAGTCCAAACTTGGTCTAAATTTAGACGCCTAAAAAACTTTAATTTTTAGACCTGTGCTCGTCTGATTTTAGACCAGTTGTCTAGGCTACATTTAGATGTCTATTAGACCTCTTTTACACCAAAAACTGCTCAGTGGGATGTTAAACTCCATGTAGTGTACTGTTTGAGATTTCAACTCTTCCTGTTGACATTGTGACGAAAACATTCATTTCTGTAGGCATCACTAAACAACACATTCAGTCTATTTAGAGAGCAAACAACATAATATCGGTGGTTCAAAGATGAGCAGTCGAAGAGAGGCATCTACTTAATCAGAGGAAACAAAGCAACCAAAAACCACAGTGTAGGTTTAATTAAGAGAAAAGGTCAACATACTCATGAAGTTATGAGACGTCTCACCAGCCCAACACAAGCCCAACCTTTGGTCATTATGAAACGGTCACGATGATTACTGTTTACATGGACTGTGTAGATGTGGTAACTTATATAAGAGTCTATGAGACCAGCTCACCTGGTTCAGTTGGTTGTTTTTCTGTCTTCCCACTTCACGCACAGGTGACAGCGCGGGCGGAGCATCTGGGTTCAGGCCTCCTGCACCAGGGCTGCCAGCCAAACCCCAACCAGTTCATAGGAGTGTTTGCTCAGAACAGACCGGAGGTGACAACAACTCTGTTTTTTACACTGCTACTCTTAATCTCTAACTATGTTCCTTATGGTCACTCTGCTTCATAGTTACTTCAAACGCAAATTACAGATGGTCGTATTCACAGAGACCCAGAGATCCTGTCCTGTTTTTAAAGGGAAACAGACTAAAACAAACAGGAAAGACCATCAAAAGCAAACAAAACCATCAGCAATAAGACTGATATTTCCTGAGTTCAAACTTTTGATTCCTGAAACTGCTGTGAGGGGATAGTTGTCGACCAAATAACAAACAGCAGGCTCAGGAAACAGCCGACAAGACAATAGGATTGGGTTTGATGGTTTGAGTCACCTCGGAAGTCAGAATTTCGAGCTGAAAATGATGTCACACCCAAGTTACCAGCGTTTCAGTTACCAAGTCGGAAAAAAGCAAAATCGGAGTGGAAACAGGATGGTTACATCTAAGAAAGTTATTTAAGAACTTGGCTTGTATTTGAACAAGGCAAGCACTAAAATAACTTTCTTAGATGTAGCCATCGAAAGCTATTTTAGCACTTGCCTAATATTTGAACAAGTGAAGTGCTAATGTAAGTTTCGTAGATGTAGCCATCGACAGTTATTTAAGCACTTGCCTTGTTCAAATACTAGGCAAGCGCTAAAATGACTTTTTTTGATGTAGCCATTGACAGTTATTTTAGCACTTGCCTTATAGTCGGACAAGACGTGCTAAAATAACTTTCTTAGATGTAGCCATCGAAAGCTATTTTAGCACTTGCCTAATATTTGGACAAGTCAAGTGCTAATGTAAGTTTCGTAGATGTAGCCATCGAAAGTTATTTTAACACTTGCCTTGTTCGAATATAAGGCAAGTGCTTAAATAACTTTCTTAGATGTAGCCATCGAAAGCTATTTTAGCACTTGCCTAATATTTGGACAAGTCAAGTGCTAATATAAGTTTCGTAGATGTAGCCATCGAAAAGTAATTTAACACTTGCCTTGTTCGAATGTAAGGCAAGCGCTGAAATAACTTTTGTTGATGTAGCCATCGACAGTTATCTTAGCACTTGCCTTATAGTCGGACAAGACGTGCTAAAATAACTTTCTTAGATGTAGCCATCTTGTTTCCCCCTCCGATTTTGTTTTTTCCTGACTTGGTAACTGAAGCGCTGGTAACTTGGGTGTGACGTCATTTCAGCTCAGACTTCTGACTTCCGAGGTGACTCGAATGCAGCATAAGTCTGAAAAACATCACTAGTAATATCGTTACATGCACAGGACAAGAGAGAAGAGGTATCACTTTGACCACATGGGATGTTAAACCCGGCGGTACAGTGACAGTGGTTAGCACTGTCGCCTCACAGCAAGAAGGTGCTGAAATAAAAGGCCTTTTCAGAGAGGATGAACATTTTAACTACGGCTAAAAATTATATGAGAAGTTATGAGTGAAAGAAAGAATATATCTGTGTCCAAAATCACTCAGTATCCACTCCACAGTCCACTGTAGTGTAAGCTTGTTGTTCAGTAGTCCTGTCGTGGGGAGCCATTTACTTGGTCTTGCGGCTTCGACATGTGCTTGATGTACAGAGGTTATAGTGTTCGACTCCCAACCACGACTCTTTGCTGCACGTCTCTCCTCCCCACATTTCCTGTCTCTTCAGCTGTCCTGTCAAATAAAGCAAAAATAAAATAAAATGAGCATTACACCCTGTAGAGTGACTCAGAGAATACCAGCCATTAAATATGCATCTCACTATTTATTCCTATTGTCCTCTTCATATAATGACTGAGAGAGAAGAGGACGACCGAACGATTCAACACATAAAGAAGTGGTTTTAATTTCCATGCATGATCCCCCACAGATCAATGAACTCCCACTCTTGACCTTTAACCTTTCACCTCTGACATTATTGTGTGATTGCAGTGGATCATCTCCGAGCTGGCCTGCTACACCTACTCCATGGTGGTGGTTCCTCTCTATGACACACTGGGTCCAGACGCGATACGGTTCATCATTAACACTGGTAAGAACAAACACACATGTTGTAAAACTACAGATGCTACTCGGCAGCTTTGGAAACAAGTGAGTATGAGTGTCTTACCGAATCTTCTGAAGCTTGTTTCTGAGTTTGGATGTAAAACAAAAATTGATGGATGAAAAATGTCAAACTTGAAAATATATTACTTTTTTTTACAGAGTGAAATTATTACCTCAGGAGGAGTGTTAGAGGAAATAATGTGTGTTCAAACATCTATTGCTGTGGTGCTTTTAGCAGTCTAGCTCCCCTCAATGGTTACAAAGAGCAGTGTTGTTAACTCTGCTGTGATACTCAGAATAGAATTAAATCAAAGTAAAGTTAATTGATCTAAAGTCTGTAAGTGCCACAAATAAAAGTCATGGTAGAATGTGTGAATGCTGAGTCATTAAACTTATAAACACTGTTTATCAGGGCCGTAGGGGTGCACCGATCACTATTTTCTGGCCGATCATCGATCACCGATCTTTAAAAAGCTTAACCTGCTGATATCGAATTTTTTTTTTTTAGAACTGACAACATACACCTTCGATGCTCCAATCTTATTTTAATGAAAAATATTGAACAATACTTGTGAAACAATACTAACTTTTTGTTTTTTGTGTTTGTTTTAACTGCACATGAGGTAGTTCTCTCAAAAATGAATGAAAAGTTCAAAATATTGCTAAATTATATCAGTTCCTTTAGTCTTTTATTTTGCACATTTTAAAAATAACAAAACTTGCGCAACAGGTCGCACTGCAGGCCTGTTTTGAGCCTCTTACCAAAGTAAAGTGCCCAGCAGGATTTTGCTTTTACAAATAAAGGAAATCACAAGATTTGAGGAAGTTAGTAAAATAATAATCTACGGGACAAACTAACGACACAACTTAAACCACCAATAAACTGTCCTGAGTTTTAAGTTTCCTTGTAGTGGATTCAACATGCTTGATAAATCATGCTTCAGATAACTGTTGTGCGTGCCACTGGCGCTGATGGGCCGGTTATTCTGGCAAAGCAAAACGCTACAATGGCTGATTTTCAGACCTTTGCTGAGGTAGATAAGATCGGTGGATAAAATTGGTTTCATATGTAAGGATCCGCCGGTCACTGGTCCCCCAAAATTGAGGAAATCAGCGCCAATCGATCGGTCGGCTGATTTATCAGTTTATCAGTTTAATAAACACTCTTTCTTTTGATCTGTTTAAGCTGAACACCACAGCCACATATTGACCCTGAAATAAACTAGCTGCGTACAAAGAGACCTGAACCTGTACCTCCACTGAGAGTAATCTTTGATAAGTCACTTTCAGATTTTGAATGTCGCTCAAGAAGACACAAAAGAAGCTAATAACTGGATTGTTTTGATGTTTTAGGGTTGTAAAATCTCAGCTACTCCATATTTGCATCTTTCTTCTGTTTTTGCACTTTTTTTTTCTCTCATCCTCTCGATACTCACACAAGGGTGCGTGTGCTCTTGCGTGCTTGTGTCATTGCAGCGGACATCTCCACAGTTATCTGTGACAAAGTAGAGAAAGCTGAGGTGCTTCTGGGTAATGTGGAGCGGAAAGAGACTCCAGGCTTGAGGAGAATCATCCTGATGGATGCCTTTGACTCCGCCCCCGTGGAGCACGGAAAGAGCTGCGGCGTCCATGTTCAGGCCTTGCAGGAAGTCGAGGTACGACACAATCCTTTCACCTGGCTCCTTTCTCTCCCTGTCTGCTCTATTACACAAACAGCTTCACAGTTTGCTGCTTTCTTTCTTCAGTCAAGCACAGTGTGAACTCTGAGCACTTAAATCTTTGACATGTAATTATATGCACATGATTGAAGCAGCTTTTCACTTTAATTGTTGTCCAAAATTGTATTAAAGTGAGTAAGACTGCCGGAGGACACGTTTCTGTATGTCACTGAAAAATCACTCCAGAGACTATTAAAGGAACAAATACTGCTGCGGCAACACCTCCTCTGTAATTAAAATAAAAAATAGTGTATGCACATAATTTGATTTAAAGGGATATTCTGTAAAATTAATTTAGGGTCAAACACACCGTGACACCGAGTCAGACACCCCCTCGAGGGATGAGTGTTGCTGACCGCTTACTTCTCTAGTTTTACCAACTTTAGTAATGACCGCACGATAGCAATACACAGCAGTCTGAGGAGCCATAAACAACCTCAACAAAACGCCACTCTATAGCCACAAATAATGCTCAGAACAGCACCTAACTTCATCAACAGGACATATAGGGTCCTAGTCATAGTACTAGACACCAAACATCTTTTTAACATTGTCTAATTTCTTTCACAAAGAGACTAAACACAGCTCACCTACTCTCTTCCAGCAGCCACTTGTTTGTAGCGAGATCTCAACCAGTCCATTACAAACTGCTGCAGGGTGACGAAGCTCAAGGAAGAACATTTCAGATTATTTTATCATTTCCTTGAAGTAAAAATCATCATACTTATCATTTTGCACTGCAGACGCGGTAGTTCTTCTGCCTTAGCGTTTTGGTCTGTATTGCGTTTCCATGAAGAAATGATCATAAATGTTCTTCCTTGAGCTGTGTCACCCCACTGCAGTCTGTAATGGATTGGCCTGAGGTCTCGCTACAAACAAGCGGCTGCTGGAAGAGAGTAGGTGAGTTGTGTTTAGTCTCTTTGCTAAAGAAATCAGGCAAAGTTAAAAAGATGTTTGGTAGCTAGTACTGTCGCTGGGACCCTATATGTCCTGTTGATGAAGTTAGGTGCTGTTCTGATCATTATTTGTGGCTATAGAGTGGCGTTTCGGTTTATGTTTGTTTATGGCTCCTCAGACCGCTGTGTATTGCTATCCTGGGGTCGTTACTAAAGTTGGTATAACTAGAGAAGCAATCAGTCGGCAACATACGTCTCTCGATGGGGTGTCTGACTCGGTATTGCGGTCTGTTTGACCCTAAATTAATCTTACGCCGGAATATCCCTTTAACCTGTGTTTTCATAACAGGAGACCAGTTTGAACTTTGGGGAGATTATTTTTAGAAAGTTTGTATGTGACCAACTGCACAGACTGTCACATCTGTGTTGTTGCCTGTTTGACAAACTTGGTGGACACCATTAGACGTTTCCAGACGGGCATCTGTGGTGAACTTGAACAATATTTATTTGGCTGTTGGTTTCAGTAAGAGCCATATTGGTGCTCCACTTTTTTACCCTAAAGAATTTCAACTCTGCACAGACTTACACTTACTTAACAAGCAGTCAAAACAAACTTCTATTTATCTTTATCATCAAGCAGAAATCTCTGGTGTAGCATGTTAAGTGAGATTGGAATCTATGCCTTTCTCTGGTTGCATGGAGTCAGAAAAATGTGGCACTTCAGAAGAAGCACAAAAACTACCGCAGGCAACACAAAGTACAGTCAAATTCAGTGTCATAGCTGTATAGATGTACAGGAAATTCACTACTTTATTCCTGTAACTGTCAATGCTTCATTAGCACACTCACAGCAAACACTCAACTGTGTGACATAAGCTGAAACCAGGTCAACTGATCACAGCTTGGTCTATTGAAAAGATAATCTCTGGGTAAATACAGATACGACACAACCTTTGTGAAAATATTTTACAGACAAAAGATGGAGAACACTTTGCATTCCAAGATTTAATAGACAGGTTTTTTTTTTCAGCTGCAGTTTCAAAGAGGCTGGACATTTAATGGAAACCAGCTGACTGTTATGTGAGCACATGTCTGTCATTTTTCTCTGTCGATACCACTCCCTGAAGGTATTTACTCCAACAGCATGGCAGACATCCAGTTCATCGGGTTCACCATGTGTCTTCAAAGAAATGAGAGGCTTAATGAGCATTTATTTTAAACTGTGATCAGTGAAAGTAGATTCAGCAACACGCAGACACACATGTTGTGATTTGACATCTTTCTGACAAATCTCACATGCTCTGGTCAATCCTGAACTCAAAGGATACATACTTTTCAAAGGGTTATGATATGTGATATGTGTAGCAGGTGTCAGCTTGCCAACTCTTAAGTGATTTTCTTGTTGTTGTCTTTTGTCTTACAGGCTCTGGGCAGAGAGCACCACAGAAAACCTGTAGTGAGTAACTTTACAGATCAGAAATTCAAGGATGTAGATGTACGTTAAAGTCATTTATGCAACTGCTCTGTCATTGGTGGCACAAAAATCTGTCAGCAAAGGCCCAGCTGGGGGATGGATTCCCAGTTCTGGCAAGATTTGGTTCATGTCATCCTCTCCCTTTCCTGTGACTCTCTCATGTCACGGTGTCCCCTCCAAAAAAAAGTTAAACCCCTGCAAAAACACACAGGGGTTTTCTTACGAATTATACCAATATGCTAGCCTCAGAGTGAGCACTTAAATGACTAATCAGAGCCCGTGGCTTTTACACAGTCAGAAGTTAAGGTCTGGACATGGGGAAGTAACTCATCCTTGCTCCCAGTTTCTCCCTGCGGTTACCGGCAGTATCACTGTCCAAAAATCACCTTGTTGCCTCTCCGGGTTTGTCCCCACAAGCCACAAATTCAAGAAACAGAGAGAACTGCTGAAATGACGTCTGAAACTGCACTTTTTTTTTACTTTCTATGATGAATTTTCAACCATTAAAGGTTCAATATTCAACAACTTATCTCAAGCTTTTAGAAAATTCAGGTATGTGTTATCATGTGAAGACAATTTTCCAGTAGTCTTGTGTTGCATATTTAGAGGTGAATTACATCTACTCCATGCCCCACTCATTAGACTGTAAAACACCACCTCCAGGTTCGGCATTGAGGTTTTAACGAGGCATCCATCACAGACCCACAGCTGAAATAAAGTGGGAATCGAAAAACACTCGCTGCCGACTCGTACAAAGCCGGTCTGGTTAATAATGTATTAATAGTGACACCAAAGCAAAGCAATAAACTGTGTTCCTGTGAGCTTTTTAATGAGCAGCTCTGCCTCACATACAAACAAGTTTCAGCTTTACGAGGTCTCTCTGCTTCATTGTGATTTTGCTGGTGTTTACAGGTTAAACTGACAGCTCTAAAAAAACATTCCCCCAACCCTCTGGCTACTAGGCTTGAGCCAGCGTAGCTAATATTATCTCTCTGATAAAAAAATCAAAGAGAGTCAATTTCAACTGTTTAAGCCACAGTTTGTTTTTTTGGCAATATGAACCCAAACTCTAAAACTGCTGCTTTTGCTGACAGAGACAGTTACTACTAAATAAACACACCTCTGTAGTGTGAACAGAATCCTTTTTTTCCATTTCTCTGGCATTCGTTGACAGCTAAAATAAGTTAAAGCTCATTGATTGTTAGTGAAATTTTCAAGTTATTTCACACGTTTATTTATTATTTCTTTTCCACAGCCGCCAGCACCAGATGATCTCTCTATTGTGTGCTTCACCAGCGGAACCACGGGTAAAATCTTTTAAATCTTTATGAGAATCATGAACATTATTTCCTATCCCTCAAGAAAAATTCACATACTAGTTAAAGCTGAGATGTAAGACACAGCTAACTAGCCGAAATGATAAAGTCCTGATACTTTTTTACAGCTGAAGTATAACAAAAGTAACACAAGATTATCAGCGATTCAAGTAATTTAAAGAAAACTTTATTCCAATAATTTCTTTCATACTAAAATTCACAGAAACTGAGATCACACAAACTGAAAACTAAATCCCTCATGTTGTTGCTTGCTTTTATTTAACCCTTTAACTACTTTTGTATCATATTTGATACGTACTTTTATGATACTTCTATCAAATCAATATGATCAACAAATTACTTAAAAAAACACCTGAATACAGTCCGATAAATGATGAAAATGTCCTCTTGTGGTTTGTCAGTTTCCAAAAACATCCAAGGTATCAAACAAGATAAATGAATATATTTGGGAGATTTTAAGGACATTCTAATTTTTTTGGTTTTCAGTAGTAAGTGAAATAAACATTTCAGCTCCAAAAAAACTTAAATTTTCTGGCCATAATTTGTAAGGGCTAACAATATTCGATTATTAGATAACAAAACTTAAAGGTTTAAGCTTAAACATAAAATTAAAAAATACAGACAGAAGCCAACAACGTCAATGGGCAAGAAATAATGATGACAACAGTAATGCAGAAAAAAAGGTTGAAAATTTCAACTGATTACATTTGAAAACAGCTACGATAGATTATTCAGAAGATTACGCAACTTTTTAATGTCACATTTCTAGTTTGGCTATTGAATCTCTGTCCTAAATATTTTCCACATTGTCCTGTGCCAAGTCAGCAGTTTGTTAGATCACTATATAATTATCAAGCAACCACACCTCACCAAGATTCCCCTCCCTGACATCAGTCCAACCTGCTGCACACTGCCTGTTTGTCCACAAAGTCCATTGACCTGATCTCATAACGTGTTTTCGAACAGTAAAATGACTCATAACTGAATACGATCCCTTTTGTTTACACATTTACAGGTTACAAAAATAAGTTTGCTAAGATTTTGTGCATGCACATAAAGCTGCTGCAGAGGTGTGACACAGACAGACAGACAGATCATTGATTTTTAATTAACATATAATTGCACCTAATTTTTTAACGATGTGGTGTTTTCACCGCGTAATGGGTTTGTAAAGCTGTACGGGAAAACTCGCAGATGACACACCTCCTCCATTCAAAATATTTACAAAGAATTCATCCCTGAGCATTAATGGTATTCTTTCAACGCAGCTGCAGGCGACATGTAAGCCCTGAAGTTCATGGGTGACTGCCAGTTGAAAACCTCAAAAGTGGGACATATCTAAAGTCTGCACAATCAGTGAGCCGCCTCTCCTCTGTATCTGATGATCTTGTGACTCAGTGGACAGTCTGAGGCCAATACAAACCCAGATAATTCATACTGAAAATAGAAGCTCAAATGCTGTTGCTCACTTTTGATTAACAACTTGATCATTAAGTGTCACATATTTAATAAAATCGCACTTTTGAGACACTTAACCTCACTTTTGTCTTTTGAAAATAAATGAGATTACCGTTCGTAGATTGATTACTTTATACAATGAAGCCTCTTAAGCACAGAGGTCTCCTGTAGGTTGAATTTCTTTGTTTAAAATTAAGTTTTAGAAATCCACGAATTTAAGTAGAACAAACTGAAACTGTCTTTTAAAATAAGGAACAAACTTGAAGAGTCAGCACAGAAATTATGATGTTTTTGTGACCAGATACTCTCAAAAAGAATATCCAGACAACAAGCATTTACTGTAAGTGCATCCAGTTTCCTCACAGCATGCAGGAGCTCTCTTATCAAACCAAACTCCACTCCACCTCTCCACACAGATTCTCCTGCAATATCCGCAAATGCCGACAGGGTCAGAAGAGAAAGAAAGCTCAGCTGCTTACAGGAAATTCTTATCATACAACAGCAGTGGCCTCTGTCACCAGCATGACGGGGCAACAGCAAGATCATTTAAGGACACGCTGGTGTCAGTTTACAGTTAGCTGGCCTCACTTTCACTGCCACCTGCTGGCTGTGAGGAGAGCATGCAGCTTTCCTGAACACAGGGCTGAGTTTCCACAAAAAGCTGAGCATTTTCTGAGAATTCCCTCCGTCTCTTTTGCAACAGTCAGTGTAGCTTTTTACCAAGATCAACACCGCTTACCGCTGACTGAGGGAGTCAGATGACAGGTCTGAAAAGAGGAACGACTTATTTCAGAGTTGTTGCCCCACAAATCTATTTTTGTAAAAAGGTCCCCTGTGGAGTTACAGTAATTGTGAAAAAAATCAGTTAGCTGTAGAAATTTCCAAACACTGTTTATTTACAAAGAGCTGTGTTTTTCAGAATAAAACTTCATCATTTATGTTGTGTATTTATTTAACTATGTTTTGAATATGTAAGTGGCGAAGGTGCCATTTTAAAGTAAGAGAAACCATATTCACAAATGAGGGTTTTTAAAGGAAATACGTTGTTATTATGGGTGAGTTTTTATAAGATTTTGAAAGACTTCTCATACTGTTGCAGGGCTGAATCTTTCTTTGTGACAAAAATAGTTAAAAACAGATTAAACTATTCTGTGAAATCAATTCTATATCGTGGATACTATCCCTATACTATCCCTTTACACAGAGTCGGTCCAAGCCTCAATGGGGCTCTAAGCAAAATTAGATTTTGGGGTCCTCTATCTCTGCCAATAATATTGATTGTTGATCATTCACACACCTCCGAAAATCTCTTTGATTAACATTCCCTGAAATGCAAAAATACCTTTATCTTGGTGTTTTTTCTCTTCTTCCTATTTCTTCTCTCTGCTCCTGAAGGATATGTCCTTATTTGCGACATTGTTTTGCCCCAAAACTACCTGCTCTTTGGATGCTCAGTGCACATTACGCAGCAGGAGAAACATGACGGTAGCGAAGCTTTGACATACCAGCAGTAAGAATCATAGGCCTACATCAGCAGCTGCACTTAAATGTTTTTACTTTATTTTATTTTTATAATAATATATATTTGATCATAAAGAAAGCATCACTCACGCATGCAAAAAACAAAAAATATTATTATTATTATTATTATTTATTAATTTTTTTATCGCTCTCAGGGGGCCCCTATTGGCCGCGGGGCCCTAAGCAGGCACTTAGTTCGCTTATGCCTTGGGCCGGCTCTGCCTTTACACTATAAAATAGACCAACATACTAAGAAAATGTTTCATTATCAACTCTTTTGAGGGTTTTTTTTTTATGGTAGGGGACTGAAGGTTCAGTTTTGTGATACCTGACTGTGTTTGTTGTCCGTGTGCATACAGGAAACCCAAAGGGAGTCATGCTCACCCATGGGAACGTGGTGGCAGATTTCTCAGGCTTCCTCAAAGTGACAGACGTACGTGGCTTCCTGTTTTCTCTGCAATGGTTAATTTACCTCTTATGTTGTGTTTACCTTTTCACCTCCTACATGTTTCATATGTCTGTTTTTACTGTGGTCCTTTCCCAGTCTTGCAGCTTGTTTCTGTATTTTCAGGGTGTCCCCGTGTTGCCTGATCTCTTTTCAGGTCATCTGATTGTCTGTCTTCCCTTTTTTTTTTACCTGCAGAAAGTCATCTTCCCCAACCAAGACGATTGCCTCATTTCCTTCCTGCCACTGGCTCACATGTTTGAGAGACTGATAGAGGTAAATTTGGCTGACTTCAGATCCGTGACCACAAGAATGCAATAATTGTGTGCTAATGAGTGCGAGCGGGGGAGGATCTGTGTGACTTTGAAGGTGGGCGGTAGAGATTATTTAGTGTGTGGGAGGGAGGAAGTGACCAAGGGAGGGGGAGGATCTGTTCTCCCTTTCCTTTCCTTAAGTTTCGTTTTCCAACTCGGAGTAGGAATGCCTGGCGGGGTCCCTCCCACACACACGTACACTCATACACAGTTAACCCTGTAAGCTCTGTATTTGTGTTTGGTGGAAACTATTGACTGATCATATTTTTTAAGTAGGAGAGGATAAAAAATGAGACATATCATGTTAGGGACCCTGTTTCAAAGGGGAGCATTAAGGGCCTATGTCCACTGACACAGCTTTTTGTGCTGTTACAGCTTGTATTTTACAGGAAACCAGCAGTTTGGTGTTATTAGTCCTCAAGAACACAGTCAACATCAGCTGTTTTTTGTTACCGCACTCAGAGCGCTTTCAGATGGACAAAGTTCAACTTGCGTAAAAACAACTGTACTTGTAAATGTCACTTCTACCTTTGAGACCAGAAATTACATTTCTGAGTATTTCTGCGTTCAAATGTGTGAATCTCTGGCAGACACAAGGAGATTTCATACATCACAAATCCAAGCTCCGCCCCCGGAGCCCCGCGATGCAGGCCAGACTCGGAGAAATAGAGAGGATGATTGCAGAACAAAACCGTACGGTAGCAGATTGCAAGTTACTTAGCACAGATGAACGTTAAAACAAAGACATTTAGCAAACTGTTAAAGCACAAAAACCATCGTCATATGAGAAATCCGACGCTATGACTCTCCACAAGTTGTCCTTCAGGTCGTTATCTTTGTGATATTTGTGTTTTTTATCAAAAAGCACTCTGTTCTCCGACACGTAAACAATCAGCTGGTCGGCCATGTTGGTCAGAAGAGGACACACAGTATGCAAAACTTAAAAATTAAAAAATAAATGCTGCAATATTGCATGACGGGAAAACATTACTGATGTGAACGCTTGTATTGACAGGATACGGGTTTGGAAAAAAATATTGACGTCCGAAATAATCTCCTGAAAAAAAGCTCCTGGTGTGAAAGGACCTTTAGGCTGCAAGCTAGCGTAAAACGGAGTGTGCAGAGCGGCGCTGATGCCGCCCACGGCTCAGAGGCGAATTGCTAATGAGCTACTGGAGCTCTGCAGAAGAAAAGCCCTTAAAAATGACACAGTTAATGCGATTTTGGCCAAAAACTTAATCACAATTTAAAGACCACTGAGAACACTTTAACTTATAACTTTAACTTACTCACTTTTACTGAAAAAAAAACCATCGGAGTGGGACTTTAACAGTCCTACTAGGGAACGCAGAAACACCATGGGACAACCAGCACTCTGAAACAGAGGTTGTGGGTGCTGGCTGCTTAAAATTTAGCAAACACAGGCCCCCAGTGAAAGGGTGGGCTGTTATTCCCATAAGTGTCTGAACTTTTTAAAGAGTGCACTGTTCTGCTGTGAAAAAGCTCCTTCATTTCTAAGTTTCAGTTTTACCCAAACACCAGAGTTCTGAGTAATCCCACAGTACTGCTGCCAACGGGAATTTTGCTGTATGAGGGCTTTGTAGTAAAATGTGCCCTTCTGTAAAAACCACATGTAGAGACTTGCTAATGTATCCAAGAAGCCAGTTTCCTCCCCCAGAAACGTACAGAGTCTTGCACAAGAACTTTAAACTCGTGACACCACAGCAAAAAAAAATAGTCCGATCTATTGGGTTGTTTGTGAGGGACGGACATGAATCAGCACTTGCATTTAGTGAAATCATTTCCTCTATTAGGCTTTTGTTTGCTTTTCTAACAGTGGAAAAAAAGTCCAAAAAAAAAGCCCATCTGTTTTCAGGGTGTAATACCTTAAACTGTGAGAGAACCATGACTACAGCCAGCTTTTGTGTCTGTCAAGTGTCACTTAAAAAGATATAGGTTTGTGCAGGTCACATGACTCTCCACAGCATTTACAAACTAGAACAAAAAAAGGGAGGGGACAACAAAATGCCCCAAGATGAGGATGATTTCCCCTGGCTTCCCTGACGACTTTTCCAATGACACAGAGGAAAACACACACACACACACAATGAAGTCTACATTTAACACTTGTTAGGATTGCGTCAGATAATTTGGAGGGCCTGTCTAAATCTGTCTCACACACACAGTGACAAATATCACAGTGGAAACATGAGTTCTCCGGTTAATTTTCCGGAGATACACCCACCTTTCCTGTTTACTCGGAGGTCTGCAGTCCTCGCTAGAGTGGACAGCCCTGGTTAACATTCGTTTTGACTCAGACTGGCCTGATTGATTTAATCACTGGAATTTCTGTACCCCCTCCCTGAAAAACTATTTAGGCCATCACTAAAACAATCATATGAATGGGATATTGTGGACTTGTTTCAAAGGAAAAGTTGCTGCGTTTGACCACTCGAGGTCAAAATGAAGAGGCTTTTTAAAGTGATCTTTGTTTACTGTGAGATTAAACACATTAAGATAAAAAAAAAAAACACCTTCAAGAGTTTCCTAGCCAAGACGGAAAGTGTTGCATTTAATGAGGTTTCTAATAATCAACTATAATCAACTATACAAATACAGTTTAAAGTTATAACCGTTTACGCTCTTTTTGGTTCCCACATATATTTATATGCCCAGCTCATATGGGCTTACATGACACTGTTAATTCAGACAGTCCACGATCAGAGCATATAATAGAATAGAATAGAATAGAATAGAATATTCCTTTATTGATCCCCATGGGGGAATTTTTTTTTTGTCACAGCAGCATCACAGACAAAGAGTGCAAAAATGCAGTTATAAAAATAAAGACCCTTATATTAAGAACTTAAATAAATGTAATAATTAAGAAAAAAATTTAAAAAAGGAAAAAGGGAGAAGGCCTGATATCAGGTCTCATGAGTCTACTTGTACTGGCAGCATAAGACAGATACAAAACATACACAAATATATACATACTCTAATTTAAGAGGCTATCCCGTCTCCTTTTCCAGGCTTTTGAGAGAAAACTAGCAATCTTAAACACATCAAAATCCAGTTTTCCCACCACATTATTTTAGGCTTCTGACAACAGACTTCATAAAACAAAACCCCTCTTAGTTCATCATAGTTTGTACAGTGAAAAAGGGAACCGAAACACGGTTTCCGTTTCACCCAGATCACACGACTCAGCTACAGTAGTCTGTTTTCTTCAGGAATATTCTTGAACTGACCGACCTTGATGGCCAGAGGAAGAACACCAGATCTTAGCTGAGCGACTGAGGAGCTTTGGCTTTGAGAGAAATTAGATGTTACATATCATTAATTCAGGGTTAAATTTCAGGGTTAAAATGTTAAAAACATGATTATTATTCATTTCAAAATGGATTACTGGATAAAAGATCAAATATTTCACAAATCAACTACATCAATAAGTATGACATTACAGCCAGATGTGTCTGCCTCTATATTGTTTATCATCACCTTGAATTCCCCCAATGAGTCCAGTCTATTTAGCTTCAGCTCTTTTTGGTATGTGCTCTATAAAAAACTTAAACAGCTTTCCCTCGGTGTAGTTCAGACTTTAAAGATAGTGCCGGGATCAAGGATTATCAGTTCTTGAACTCTTCTGTCTGAAGGTATGAAGGACGCAGACATAACACTGTTGATATTGATGGTTCAAGGTCACGATCCTGAACATTGTCTTTTCATATATTTTTATTTTGGCATCCATTTGAACAAAACAAGACCATAGAGCAAAGTGAGACAGACTCTTTGTTGCATTTTATTCCTCCTGTAAATATCCGATGTGTGTGGCTTCATCTGTTCACTGTAGGTTTACTCAGCGCATTAGTTTGTGTAAAGGAGGATTTTTAAATACAGATATACTAAGTTACAGATCCACCTGTTGGACACACCACTTAGTTGTTATTCTGGCATTTCTTGCCATCATACCCATTTGTAGTTTTGACAGCCTGGCTGCAACTTCACAAAAACTGTAAATGGCTTTCACCAAAGTCAAACTTTCTATCTTAAGGCGAAAGTTTGATTCTTGATGCTCTCCGGATGTTACATTTTACAACAAGAGCTGATCACATGAACTTGAATTATTCTGACTGCAGCAAATATTCACATTCTGGTTCTCCTTGGTGTTGGTTTTTCTGCCACTTGAGTTTTTCTTCTGCTTTACATCAGCAATTTTCACTTCATTCTTTTTTTTTTTAACCAAATTACCACTAAAAAGACTGTGGGCACGGTTTTAGTACACAACCATGAATAAAACCCCAGCATTATCGATCAAAAGACTCTTCTTGCTTACTTCAGGGCGTTTCAACCCTGATCAATGTCCATTAATGGGAAAAAAAATGGATATCTAATTTGAAAAGCGAAAATATGTGTCCTAAACCTGTATTTCTTTTCTTGGTATGCCTCCCTGAATAGCTGCAGTGCTCTGCAAATCTTCTGTAATGTTTATTTATTGATTGCATCATTCGGTTTGTACCTTCAACTGTGGGTATTTTGTGCCATGTGCATATCATGAGTTGCATCAGGTTAAACCAGCCCGGTTTGTTTGCCTGCAGTTGCAGAATCAGCGTTGCCCGGGCTTTTAGATTCAGACACAGGAAACCACCCAACTTCCCCAGCAGATCAGCTCAGCAGGTCTCAGAGCAGAAACTACAGACACAAACACAAAACCACGCCACTCTGCGTTCAACACGCAATGTGTCAATCAAAGACAAAAAAAGGGGCGAGGATTAAACTAAATCTTCAGATAGATGTTGGAACAGGAAAAGAGACAAATATGGTGAATTTCTCTGCAGCAAAAAGACACAGGAAGTTGAGGGCTAGTTCACCCTCGGTTCACATTGAGGGCTCTATTTTCGTGCCTCGCCGGATACGTGCCGCAGGTGCGGCGTCAGTCAGGTCCGCCGCGCCGACAAGGCGTTCCCAAACACAATTTGGTATTTTGGTGAGCGGCGCAGCCTGGGGTAAGTATCGCGCATCGCGCTCTGTGGCCTGGCTCTTTCTTTCATAGATGTTGGCATATAAAATAAATTTGACTCACAAAACTGAATATTATAATATCCGTATGTCGGCTTAAAGTAAATAACTCATCTGAGCACTGAAACAAATCATCTGTTCAGGACAGAGAGAGGACACGGAGACATGTCCAGGTCGAGCTGCGCGAGAAATAAGAGGAAGAGGAAGAAAGAAAAGGAGGGAGACAAATTAAATATCTTGTTAACTTCATCATGTGTGTATATTTACTAGATATTTAATTTAATGCGGTTTCAGCTGTGTAGATTCGGTCAGGTTGTGTGTCCAAACGTGTGCCAAACGCGCTCATCAGATCAGATATAGATCAGAATATATCTATATAGATCTAAATATATGTGCTGACTCAGATTATTAGTTGTTGATGATTATTTATTGCACTGAAATGTGCCTGAAACTGTGGAAAACTGCCTGTGAGGCATCAGTGACGTATGCCGATACGCCGCCGGTCTACGCCCACTGATTCTGTCGACACCTCCCCCTGCCACGCCACCACGCCCAGCTTGGCAGATCTCGGTTCGCCTCCGTGCGCCTCAGTCCATGAAAATACCAAACTGGCTGTACGCTGGGCTCCGCCAGACGAAAATACAACGGCGCGGGGTCCGCCACCCTCCGCCGCCTCACCGGCGTACACGAAAATAGAGCCCTTAGTCTTTGCTCTGATGTGTGAACAGAGGCGTGGCACGTGTGGATTAAAAAAATTACCTTTATGTTGCAGTAAAACTCAGAAACTTCAGCTGTACTGAAGTTCGTGGTTCTCTAATGTGAGTCAGAAATGTAAAATATAACCAGCAGCACCACTTAGACAGTCTCTCCCTCCCTTTTGGGGGTGGAAGGTGGATACTGAGGTTTCTAAAAAGGAGCAGTAGTGGTTTTCACACATGACTTGTGATCGTGAATCATTTTTCTTCTGCTGCTAATTTGAGTCAATCTTTTCTGAAGGCCTGCAGCACTTTCTCTCCCACATAGACTTAGTACCAAAAGAGTTGTGCCTCCACAGGCAGAGGGAGATGTTGCAAAACAATCCGCAAGTTCATCTCAGTTCGCACATAGTTTTTTCATCCAGTTCAAACAAGAATTAATTTGAAATAATAAAATAAAACCTGCAAGGCATTTCGCTGTTTATCATATCGTAAAACAGAAAAATGCGTGGGGGGTTCCTCTTTTAGTCAGTGGCACGAGATTTACAAGTGTGGGAATTATGACCTTAACAGAAACTTGTGACTGAATGGTCCCCACATGACATGATTGATCAATGATGCTTTTGTCCATTTATCAGAAATGTACCTGTTTGTAATGTGCCATTCACATTAAATTATTCACATAAAACATGATTGGAACATATCCCATGGTCTGTTTAATGAAGACTTTATACCAGTTCCCCATTAAAGGGATATTCCGGCATTAAATTAAGTCAGGGTCAAACACACTGTAACACTGAGTTAGACACCCTCTCGAGAGATGAATGTTGCCGACCTTCTCTAGTTATACCAACTCTAGTAACGACCGCCGATAGCAATACACAGCGGTCTGAGGAACCATAAACAAACCTCAACCAAAACGCCACTCTATAGCCACAAATAATGCTCAGAACAGCACCTAACTTCATCAACAGTACATATAGGGTCCCAGCCATAGTACTAGCCACCAAACATCTTTTTAACTTTGTCTAATTTCTTTCACAAAGAGACTAAACACAACTCACCTTCTCTCACCCAGCAGCCGTTTGTTTTTAGCGGCCAGTCCATTACGGATTAGCTCAAGGAGGAACATTTATGATCATTACTTCATGGAAATGCAATACAGACCGAGACTCTAAGGCAGAAGAACTACCGCGTCTGCGGTGCAAAATTATTAATATGGTGATTATTACTTCAAGGAAATGATAAAGAAATGATCATAAATGTTCTTCCTTGAGCTGCGTCACCCCACAGCAGTCCGTAATGGACTGGCCTGAGGTCTCCCTACAAACAAGCGGCTGCTGGAAGAGAGTAGGTGAGTTGTGTTTAGTCTCTTTGCTAAAGAAATAAGGCAAAGTCAAAAAGATGTTCGGTGGCTAGTACTATGGCTAGGACCCTGTATGAACTGTTGATGAAGTTAGGTGCTGTTCTGAGCATTATTTTTGGCTATAGAGTGGCGTTTTGGTTGAGGTTTATATATGGCTCCTGAGACCGCTGTGTATTGCTATCGTGCGGTCGTTACTAAAGTTGGTATAACTAGAGAAGCAAGCGGTCAGCAACATTCATCTCTTGACAGGGTGTCTAAACTCAGTGTTACAGTGTGTTTGACCCTAAATTAATCTTACGGCGGAATATTCCTTTAAGATTGCTTTTTCAATATCTTTTGAACACACGACACTTACAGTATGTTCAAATGCAAAATATAAAGATCCAGTGGGACCCCCCTGCTTTTGTTGCATACATTACACAGCCTAACCTTAGTTGCCACCACAACCTTAACAACGTTGCCACGTGGTTGTCGACAACACAAAAACTATCCACCCGATCATTTGGCGCCTCATGACCCCTTTTTTCTGAGCGTGGAGTTAAAGAGACAGTAAGCGTCATCACATTAACAGGGTTATCGGGTGGGCATTTCCCCTCATTTGGACTTCGCCTCCTTAAACGAACCTCTACCCACCAACTTTCTCTGCCCATCAAACTGAATTTCTCTGATTTATGGAAGTGAAAAACTATTTGGTATTATCCCTTCCCAGTTCTTGAGATTTTTAAACCAAAAAAACCCCACCAAAACGCTAACAGAGCCATGCTCACTTTCTGTGTGTCCTTTTTCAGTCTGTGGTGTATTGTCATGGAGGTCGGATCGGGTTCTATCAGGGTGATATCCGTCTACTCCCTGATGACATGAAGGCCCTGCGGCCGACCATCTTCCCCGTGGTGCCTCGACTGCTCAACCGGATGTATGACAAGGTGAGTGAAAAAATATTGCAAAATACCTGTTCTCTTGGATTAGTGAACTGTTTTTTTCTAGCACTGATCCCCCTAATTGATTCTCGAGAAAAACCAAACCATCCGTGGGTGTAAGTTTTGGATACCAAAACTTACACCCACGGATGGTTTGGTGGCAAGGATTTGTGGTTAGACTGTGTAATTATCTCATTTTTCTGCCTGTATGAGTCACTTTAGTAAATCTGGCATGCACCACTGTAGTACTGTGGATTTAAGGACTGAGTGAAAGGCTCACCATGACTAATCCTCCTTTATAACTCAGGTTTCGTCAGAAGTGTCTATTGCATAATCCTTAAATAGTACCAGACTTTTTCCCGAGAATCACTTGAGGAGAACAATGGTGTGTTTTTTTTTTATGCTGTCTGATCATCAGGGACATATTTGCTGATACATGAACTGAGAGCAATTGAATTGAATTGAATTTTTGTGTTTATAAACCATGCCTTTTAGCAAACATGTTTTCAAATCTCTCACAAAGTTGAGGTTTTAACTATTAATCTCTAAACTTGGGTTTATATTAGGTTTAATTTGTTTTTTAAAACGTGTTTTATGCTCTACATCATTTTTTTAAATCTTTGTTCAAGTTAATTTGATTGTCTTTTTCTCTTCTGCAGATCTTCAGCCAGGCTAACACCCCGTTGAAACGTTGGCTGCTGAACTTTGCTGCGAAGAGAAAAGGTGCAGAGGTCAGCAGTGGGATCATTCGCAGCGACAGCATCTGGGACAAAATCTTCTTCAGTAAGATTCAGGTAATCACAACGTTGGTGACACAAGTTCATGTCATTGTGCTGTGATTATTTGTAATGTTTTTTTATACAGTATATTGCACAAGAGCATCTCAACATGGTGACAAAACAATCAATTTAAAAAAAAAGGTGTAGTCATATTTACTCTGCATATTTAATGATTGCATTTTAAGTGACCTGTGACAATTAAAGTGACTTAAATCTCCAGTTAGGAGTTTTTAACTGGTTATGAAACAGAATGAAATGAACGGTCCAGCTTTTTATGACTGAGAATAGTAAATGAGACTGTCAGCAACAAGACTGACTACTTTTCCATTAAAAGCGGCGAGCACACTGAGAAAATGGCTTTTTCCCGGTGAGTGAAATGTTTATATTTTCAAAGACAGCAGGTGGAACATAAGCAGAACATCTGCAAACAGCTAAGAGGCATTCCTTTGTCCACAGGGGGCGCCAAAATCAACACCAAAAAAAAAACTCCTTACAGGAGCTTTTAAGCCCCGACCGTTTTCCTATGGTTTTGTTTCTTTTCTGGAACAATATTTCTCTAAATCAGTAATCCTTTGTGACTGAAAGTGTCCTAATTTGAATACAAGAAATAAAAGTACTTTTCTGTGAGGATTCTGTTTTAAAATGGTATTTTGGTTAGATTTAGGGTGACGGAAAGACCCAACAAGTTTCATCAGATTCTTGTTGAAATAAACCAAAACATTAATAGCACACAAGAATCAAGAAAACATAAGACAGCTAAAAACTTAGTATGTTTCTTAATTTTGGACTTATTGCTCTTTAAAAAAAACTTTGCACGTTCTACAAAGGTCATTTCAAAAATGAATTCCTCTTTTTAAAAAATGATTTCTTTATTGTTGTCATAAGGGAATCAGAAAAATAGACCCCTCTGTTTCATTAATATTGTGCTGTCACACTACAGGCCAGCCTGGGAGGACGGCTGAGGATGATTATAACAGGAGCAGCTCCTACCTCACCCAGTGTGCTGGGATTTCTCAGAGCCGCTCTGGGGTGCCAGGTCAGAGACGACGGTTATACATACAGTATATATACACACACACACACACACACATGTTTATACTACTACTCCACAGGGATCTTATTCAGTGATTTTACTGACCAAAGCCCTTACCTTTACCAAAATCCAACTCAACAACCATAACACAGATACACAGGCCCCTCAGTGGCACTTTAACACTTATAACTGAAGTGTGTGGATGCACTGAAATCACACAGCCCTCTCACCATTATCTGTGCCTGTGCAGGTGTACGAGGCGTATGGGCAGACTGAGTGCACGGCTGGCTGCACCTTTACCACACCTGGAGACTGGACCCAAGGTGAGAACATCTCTACCACTTCCTGACTGTGAGAACTTGTCATTTTGACCCAGGGCTAAACTTCTTTTGCGCTACCATGTTTATTTGTCTGTGAAAATATACTTTTAAGATACCTTAATGACACAACACATTTGTGGCCGCTCAGCTGCTTTCTCTTTGGTTTCTCTGCGAGTCTGTAAACAGTCATTTAAATTTATTTTAAAAGTGAGCGATTGTGCAAAAACAAGTGGCAGATTTGTTGAATTTCACTTTTTCTTGCTCTGTCCCTCTGATTAGGTCATGTTGGGGCCCCACTGCCCTGCAATCTCATTCGACTGGTGGATGTTCCTGAAAAAAACTACTTTGCCTCTAAGGGGGAGGGAGAGGTGAGAAATAGAGATTACTTATGTGCCATAAATATGGATTTGTTTGTGTTTGTCATTTGAGGTGCTTTAAATTAGTCATACCTGTCTGAATCTATAACAGGAGACAAGGGTTTCAGAATAAAGCTTTTGCATCACTACATGTTATCAGCCAACCTTTGCTTGCTTCTTAGTAAACCAGCTCTATAAAGGCCATGATAAGAAAGTACAATATCTCTCCCCGTTGGTGGAGTACTGTTTAGTTTTTATGTTTGGACCCAGCTCGTCAACTCTCAGCTCCTCCTGCACAGATATCCTCTCAAATTAGTTTTTTTTTTTATCATTTTGTAAGAAGCACTTTAGTGGCTCCAGCCTCAAACTTTCCCCTCAGGTTCAACTTCTCACTCCCACACTGTGGACTTTTGCTGCCACCTGCTGGTTTAAGGAGTGTAATGTGTTATGGGCGTATGATTGCTCCCCGAGCAGCTCCTGTTTCTTGTACAGAATAAGGGCAGTTTCAGTCGAATGCTGCATGTTTATTCTTACCTTGACCATTTAAAATATTTTGTGTGTTTCAAACTTTTTTTACTTGAATTTTATTTAGTAATTTTTTGCTGTCCTCCTGTGGAGAGTGGTGGAGTGGTGTCTTTGCACCCTAAGTTGACTTGCTGCCACTACATTTACCCTCTTTAATTTAGACTCTATTCTCCTGTCCAGATTTGTGTGAAGGGACCAAACGTGTTTAAGGGCTACCTCAAAGACCCAGAGAGGACGGCCGAAACACTGGATCCAGATGGCTGGCTTCACACCGGAGACATTGGACAGTGGTTACCTGTATGTCCACTCCATTATTAAAACATTAAGCTACCATATGTGTTGAAATAAATTAATTTAAACTTATTTTTATTCCTGTTTTTAGAATGGCACACTGAAGATTATTGACAGGAAGAAGCACATCTTCAAGCTGGCTCAGGGCGAGTACATCTCCCCTGAGAAGATCGAGAACATCTACATTAGGAGTGAACCTGTGGCCCAGCTGTATGTTCACGGGGATAGTCTGCAGGTAAAACATGATCAGCCTCATAATGTTCCTTAGACTTTAGACGTACATTTATCTAATCCTAAGTAACATCATTTGCAATTATCTATCTGGTGCTGAGTTTTAAGCCAAGTAATGAAACAGCCAAATAAATTCATCCCCTTTTGTCTTTTCAGTCCTGTTTGGTGGGAATTGTGGTCCCTGATCCTGAAGTCATGCCTGAATGGGCCAAGAAAAAAGGCATTTTAGGCACATACAAGGACCTCTGTAAAAACACAGTAGGTGACACACAAACCAAGTTTGAGTTAGGACAAAAAGAAGCTGAAACTCAAGGGAAGTTCTCTTGGATATGAAATCTTATTTTTTTTTGTAAACAGGTGCTGAAGAAAGCAGTCCTTGAAGATTTGGTGCGTCTTGGCAAGGCCAGTGGTCTTCACTCATTTGAACAGGTATTCATGCAAAAGAATTGCTTACTCAGGCATCTGTTCAACTGACAGTTATCAATCCAGGCGTTGCTATATCATTGTTATATTTCTATCTCAAGAGTAACCCCATGAATGTTGGAACCAAACAACATGGCTTTTTTTTCCTCTTTACTCCTCAAGGTGAAGAACATCTACATCCACAACGAGATGTTCTCCATCCAAAACGGCCTCCTGACTCCGACTCTGAAGGCCAAGAGACCAGAGCTGAAGGAGTTCTTCAAGGAGAAGATCGACCAGCTCTACAGCAGCATCTCCATGTGAGCTCTACAGCAGAATCTCCATGTGAAGGCTGGCAGACCTTATTTTCCTGCAAGCATCTTAATACTAAGTTCTGCTTTGACCATTGACCTGCAGTGGGACAAAGATACAACACCTTAGAAGTAAAATGCTTAAGGAGAGAAAGCGAAGTCTGGCCCTTTAACAGAAGATTTAAAATGCATAAACACACAAAGTGAAATACTATACACATCACTGATACCCTTGTAATGGAAACATTTTTTGGACCACATTTATGTTTATTAGGTTTACCAGAACATAAACCATAACTGCTGTTGCATTTCAGCATTGTCCAACAGAGGGCAGCAAAGTACCAACTCTGGTGAATACATGGAATTATCTTTACTTTTCAAAAACACCTTCTCTCATTTATTCTTATTACAAACACAAAACAAAGCCAAAAAGCAGAGCAAATAACTGTCCAATCAAAGCTCTAGAGGTAAGGAAGGCGGGGCTCAACCTTTTTCTTTTCCTGTTTTATGGTTTGACCTCAATGCAGCATTAAAAATTTCAGTCATAATGAAAACATTTCTTTTTCCTTGAAGGAAAAAGCTAAATGTATTTTTCTGTAAATGCAAACAAAGAAATGACTTGTAGTATAATGTGTATTTTATTTCACCTTCTTCCTTTTTCTATTTGTGCATTTTAAACCTTCTTCACATCACTTCCTGCTATTCGTCCAAACAAACCTACAAAATGCCCCATCCCCTGCACCAGACACTCATCTGCACTCTTGCTTTTATTGACCCATTCCTAATTTCTGTTGATTTGCTTATCATCTCGCCTCAATAGGTTTAAGCCCACCTGTCAAAACACAACAAGAGTCCACATTTGGGCGACAGCAAGCATGATGTCTTTGTGTTTAGCGTAGCTCCAGGAGATGTCTAGAGCTGTGATCATGCTGACACCTTGTGGAAATCAACTTAATCTTCAACTGCAAATCGTTTATTTTCATAAAATGAACATCAAGCTGTGATTGAACTTCTACTCAACCCAGACATCATGCATTTCGACCAAAAACATGTATCTGTTTAAGGTCTAAATGATATAAAAAGGTAGGGGGAATTGCGGCTCCTGCCTTTCAAACAACTGCTGTCTACACTGTTCCATGTGGAGCATCTGAATGTTTGAGCCACCTCAGCACAGGCCATGCATTTACTCATTTACAAAGTCATCTCTACGTGGCTCTGATCAGCAATTGAGCATGCATGCTCCTTGTTTATATGGGAACTGGCTGCACTGTAACAATCATTAGAGATCACACCTTGCAGTTGGTTCCTCACCCCCATCTTTGCACAAATAGTGTGTCAGGTAACAGTAAAAAAGAAATAATGCAAAACCAGTGCTCAGGGCAATGCATGCATTTTGCCCTGCACTGCTGGGATGGATTGCATTTGATTTGAAAAAGATTATTTTTGTGGCCATTTAAAGCAGGATTTATGCAGCTGCCCACAGCCACTGCAGCTAGTATAAGGCTCTGTAATGTATGTAGGTAAAGCTGATGGATTTCACTCACTGAAGGAAAATAGAACAACCATCAACTTTTAAACAAAAGAACAACATGATTTTTGAGGGTTTCCACGTAGAGGTAATGTATAGGCTTTTTAAGTTGATTACTGTCCCAAAGCATAAACAATGTGGATGTACATAAATGACGACAGCTAGATGTACGCATATTTATTAAATCAATGGTTTGAATGGATTTTTTTCTCTCTTTTTGCGTGTAGTGAGATGAATTGTACTTATTTATTTATCTATTCTGCTGTAAAATGGAATCAGCACCATATCCTTGTAATGATTGAGTGCAGCAATAGGGAAGAGGGAGGGAGGGCGATAGGATACGGGCAACGAAATAAAAAATACTCTGGAATGATTTTAAACCTGTGTCTGTTTTTTTCTTTATGATGTGTTTTAAATGGCCAGACTCACTGAAATAAGCAACAACACCTAGACTAGGCTGTGACAACATACAATACACGCCAATGAGATTTTGATCACTAGTACATTTATCTTGGCCTTTATGGGTGTCTATTGTAATAATTCTTGTTTAAGTTATAATTTTAACATCTTGTATAATTCTCCTGTTTGGGGCTTTTATTATTTTATTCTATACGAATATTTACTGTCTTCTTGCGGACCCCAGAAAGAGTAGCTGCTACTTAGGTAGTAGCTAATGGGGAAAATATATATATATATATATATATATATATATATATATATATATATATATATATATATATATATATATATATATATATATATATATATATATATATATATATATATATATATATATATCCCTGCACAAAAACAATAGTGGGCATGTCCAGACATCTAAGATCAATTCAGTAAGGATGTTTGAATGAGGGGTATACTGACGAAGAAAGACCCAGAGGCCCACAACAAAAAATATAATAAGCAATATTTTCATGGATAATGAAGCCTAACACGTTAACCTAGAGATGAGAAACAAATTGGATAAAAGAAAAGTGTTCTTAGTGTAATGTTCAGCTGAATTAAGACATGGGTCCAAACCGACCCTTTACGTTGTGGATGCGTAGTAAAAGCTAGCACAGGAGGAAAGTTAAAAGTGTCACCATTAAACATCATATATAGCCTATAATGTAGCCCACTCATGTAGAGAAAGTTGGAGATAAAAGTCATCATAATATAAGGTTGAAATGAAAGTCCTATCCTTGTGACTCCTTCTAGAGGATCTTGGAGGTCTCATTAAACTGTCATCAGCTGATTGGTTCCACAGGTGTGCTGGGTTCGGTTGCTAAGCAGCACGCACAGATAGGAGGGTAGTGTCCCGTTAGCTACATTTTAGCTTCATTTAGCTTCATGCTAAATGTGACTCTTCATCCTCACCCTCTTGGAGTTGCAAAAACAAATTGCGCGTTGAGGTAAATATGTGTCCGCAACAGTCTCCCTGAGGTTTGGACAACTTATATTTTCAATTTCGACATAGGTTTTAAAAATGGGTCCGCACAAGTGCCGAGCGAAACTTGATCGTGAACGTGGATTTTCTGGCAACAAAGATACCCCCGTGAAACCAGCGCTGGACAGGCGGGACAGTAAGAAATACACACACATGCACCACCGTTAGATTACACTGAGCCTCAAATCACCAGGAGGTCTGTTTTGTTTAAAAGTTATTAGAATTAAATCATATTTCTCACATTCTTGCCAACTAAAAGTGATAAACTTGCTTCAATCCGTCCAGTGCTTTACAGTATGGTATGTTTATCTGATGTATTTTAATATATGATCAATTTTATCAGCTGCATCTCAAAACTTTTTCAGAATTCAGGAAACTTCTGCCCACCAGACATCATGAAACAATCCAAGAGGAACCTGAACTGGATGAGATAAAAGTCCCCACTGTCAGACCAACTGACCCAGTCTTGGTGGGTTTTCCTTTCTGTTCTTACTAATAATACATAATAAAAATAGTATTTATTTACATAAATTGTTTTCCTGCTGTTCTCCAGCAATTACAATATTGACACCTTGGCAATTTAATGCAACCTCTGCATGAATTCTACTTTTGGGAAGCCTCTACATTTTTAGTTAATGTTTACATCATCATAACTATCTAAGTTTTAGTGGGTGTTGGTAATTTACTGGGATGCACTGAAAGGTGTTCTTCTTTGCTCCCCTGTGTTTGCTAATACAGCCCTGGGGTGTGTGATGTTATCAGTGTTATAAGTTTTAGCTGTCATGAATTTTTTACTAATGATGTGTGGCTATTTGCATCAGTTGTAACACATATAGGTGAGGGGGTAAGAGGAGCGCAACAGCACTTCCATTTTAATGGTACATCTCAGTAGTCATCCTGAAGCATTTACAGTTTCTGAAAAGTTAGCACAAAAAGCATCAGTACCAAAAAAAAAACTTGGATAAAAGGTATTGGTATTGGCAAAATGAGCTAAAAGTATGTATTAAAATCTAATATTGTCCATTAACTTTGAATCAAAAACCCTTTCACACTCTTTCTCCAGTCTTTTTCTATTTTACTGTAAAGTTAATAACATGTTCTGTGTTGACCTTTCTCCTTATTTCCATACTTACTCTTTTCATACACAGAAGAACCGTAAGTCCGTCTACTCCAAATCTGTGTCACACTCGAGCAGCCCTGCATTGACTTCCAAAGGAAACACCTTCCCATCAGCCACACCAGCTACTCCAAAATCTGGCCGTATCGTGTCACCTGCAGGTCATCCAATGATTCAGATGACACCCAATCCTATGGCTCTGAAAAGTGCTGCAAAACCAGCTCAAAAAAGATCTTCAGCGACCCCTGAAAGTGTGCAATCCAGCATGGAGTCGAACACAACTTTCAGCTCTGATGATGATGATGATGAGGAAGACTGTTACTCCTCTGAGGCATCATCTTCCAGCAGCCTTCCTTCCCCGGAGATCTTCAGAAGAGATAGCTCTGGTACATGATTTTGATCACTCACAATCAGAGTTTATGTTTGTTATGTGTGAGTTTTATTTCTTCATTTCTTCTTTTAATAATGGAGCCATTGATTTTCTCTGGTTTAGAGGATTCCCCGGGTCACCGTTCTCGCATTAAAAACTCAACCTTACTGGATGTGAGCCACGCTGAGACTATCCACATGTACCATCCTCCCAACCTTTCCACCATCATTGGTAATGAAGGAGCTAGAGCTATCAGTTACAGTCTGATTTTTAACCCATGAATGAAAAGGAAACTAATATGACTTTGTAAACCTTTTATCCGCACTTGTCTAATGAGAACACAACCTTTCTCTGCAGATGCCTCTTCGATTCTTTATGAAAAGAAATGTGAGAACAAGTGAGTCATGCTATCTTTTCCTGCTTGGCAGAGTCAACTCAAACAAAATATTTTAAAGTGCTATCCTTTATGTCATTGCAATATCTTGCATGCTGATAAATCTAATTATTTGTAGTCCCGTTAAAGTGAATTAAACAACACAGAGTAAAGTTGAACACATCTGCATACTCTCTAAACTGCTAAAATAAGTTATTCTTTTGTCTTTAAAGCCAACCCCTGGGTCCTGAGGCTGAGACCAAACAAAAAAGGGTGACTTTTGAACCAGGTGAATACTTATGAAGAGGTTTATCTTTATGAATGATTAAAAAAAACAAAAAAAAAACATTTAGTTATAGTGTTTAAGTTAAGTTATATGAGATCAGTAACAGAGGGGTAAGACTAGACAAGTCTTTGACTTCTTCTTACCCCTTTTTTGGACATGTGGATACTCTGGTTTTGTTTTTGTTCTTATTTTGTTGTGATAAGTGAGATTGATGTGCTTCTAAGTGAGGCACTTATTTTATTTTATTCTTAACTGTTGTTTTGTGTGTTTTTTTATATACATTTTTTTAACCATGTCCAGAAATAAATAAAGAAAGAAAGAAAGAAAGAACTTTAATGGAAAATATACATTATGCATTGCCAAAGCTTCAACTCTTCGTGGTTATTGTTATTCTAAAACTTCTATTGATAGCCCAAATTTATAATTCTTTCCATCTATAAACTCTGCCTTTCCTTGGAGCAGGCATTTGTTGGGGAAAGATTAAGTATGTATTGGATTAATAGAGAAGTCTGGTCCTGCTCCACTGGATTTATGTGGGGAAATTTCACAGCATGCTTTTATTTTCCATTTTATGGTAATTCTTGTGTTTATTTTGGCTTTTTATTCCTTCATCACAGAAAAAGCCTGCATCTCTAAAAGACCAACAAAAGTAAGATAGTCTCTTGGTTATGTTTTAAAAGCAATTTTTAGTGACTGTATCCTTGTTTTGATCAAGCGTATAATTTTGTTCCCTCAGCCCGCTAAAAGGAGGTCCATTTCACACAAGAAGAAGGTGTGTTTCAAAAGCCCATTCGTCTTCAAGTTATCTGAGGCAAAACCCACCTCGGCTAACAAAGTAACCCCTCACATTACCACCAAACCGGTCGGAAGAGCTAGTCCGACTGAGCAGAATAAGCCCGAGACAGATCCACATGAAGCAGGTGAAGGCGGTGTCAAAGAGGATGAATCACAAACAGTCAAGTTTTTCGACTTTGACACCGATAGCGACAGGGATGCGTTCTTTCAAATGATGAGGGAAAGGAGTGTCAGGCTCAGGAATGCACCGTTATTTCCTCTTACAGCTGTTAAGCCCACAAACTCTTTGATTATGTAACATAAGAGAAAAATTCAATTTTTGGAAAAATATAATTACTTCCATGATCTTTAAGTTTTCTTTATTTATGATTATTATTTTTTACTTTGCACAAGAGTAGTCTGTTTGTCCCTCAGGTTAACAGTCTAATGCTACTTCAGTGTCTGCTTTGGGCAATACACTGTCATGTTTAGTTTAATCGGTATTTCTTAAAGAATAATTTAGAGGGTTGCCACACCAGTTCGTGTACGTAGATGGCCTAGACTGTGTACATAGCAAAATATTTAATGGTTGTAAAATACAGCTGATCTCCAAACTATTTATTTCAATAATACAACAGCCGTGCAAACTGTGGTGCAATTTGAGTGTTAAAAACCACCTGCTGGTGAAAATGCACTTTTCAATATACTGTTTCAGAGCAGCCTTTGACTTCCTTTTTGTTATCAAACATGTATTTGCTGCAGTATGGCCACTAGATGTCAGACCTGTGTTTAATTTAGAAAGCTGTGTTCTCTGTTCTTACTAGAATGACTTTTCTTCGACATAGATGAGTCAGTTAAACATGATTTTTGTTCTTATTTTGCATTTTTTCAGTCTTTTGTCTTGGCTTATGTGTCTGTACTTAAAAAAGTTTCAGGTTAACAATAAATAAAAAAAGTATGGTTAAACTTTAAGGATATTTTGGTGTTGTTTGGTGAGTTATTTGTCTTATCTGCAATTTAAGATATTAAGCATCCGAGGGAAAAAGCCAATGTTAAGTGTGTACTATAAAATGTTACATAAACTAATATTTTTGGTGTTGTCTTGTTTCACAGTCCGTTCACCTTACTCTCTTCTCATGTGACTCTTTCACGTATCCTTCTTTGTTATCTAAAAGCTGCTCAGCAGTTGCACTTGTATGATTTCTGTGAATAAATTTCATGCTGTCACGGTTCCCGACAAAACATCAACACGGCGGATCCTTGAACCACGTGGTACCGGGCCAAAAATAACAGCCAATCGGGTAATTTCTAGTAGCAGCAACGTCCTCTCAGCCAATCAGAAAATTGTAGTGGGTTACCAAGCAGCTCCCGTGACTAATGCCTGTCATATGACTGTGACACCCATGGAGACAGTTACAAGGAACAAGATTTGCTCTTGGATTTGAGAAGAAAGGGACCTTCTGTACCGACTTTATTTGGTACAAAATGCCTCCGACTCTCTTCCAGAAACTTTTCAACAAGAGAAATGCCTTTTCGTCGCCGCCCCCGAGGTGTAGCAAAGAAGACCCAGCTTTCAGGTAGCTGTTTTGTGTGTGTGTTTGAGTGTGTGTGTGTGACTGGTTTGTGTGTGTAACGTTGTACGTGCATGTGCTAACGTTATTTATGACTCCGGTGGTATGATAGGAGGACGTGGTTCTTAACGCGGTGGACATGTTAAGAGTCAAAGCCACTTCTAAAAGAGTCGCCGTTGAGGTTTTTTTAATTTGATACAGACGTAGTGGGATGTGAGGGAAAGTGTTGTGTGTGTTGGTTAGCTTACATGCTAATGCTAACGGCCAGACGTTAGCCCGTCTGCTGCACGCGCTGCCGTTTGTTGGGACTCGGTTGGTTCATCAGTTGGCAGTTTGTTTCTGCGCGTGAACTCAACTATCATCGTTATTTTGCCTTTAATAACAAAAAGATAAGAACCTGTTCATTGCTTGTGTCTTTATTTTTTATAAACTCGGTTTTATCGGTTTGAAGTTTCATAAACTCCCCCTGTTTTCCCCCTTTGTCTCCCTCGCGACTCTCTTTGTGCTTCTTCTTTAACGGCGAATAAGCCTGCGTGGCAAACACAAAACAACGAGCGAGCCGCGACAGTACAGTCATACTCTTTGGTGACGGATCTTGATCTACGGCCATGCTAACTTGGAGCATCGTGCAGCTGGCTTCCTTCAGTCCCCACAGTTACTGTACTCTTCGGCCAGTGCCGTCAGATAGCAGGAGGACACAGTGTGCTCTGTGCTGGACCACATGTGATCTCTTCAGTCGGTTACTGATGACAGGCAGGTCCACGGCAAACCAAGATGCATCCTCCAGAGAGGCCAGAGTCAGCCTGGGGATGCACTGTGTAAAAATGTGTGCAAAATCGCTTGTGTTTAAAGCGTTTGACTCAGGATAAGAAATGCCCAGTTTATAGAAGTGATGCTCTTTAACATCAAAGTGGTAGGGCTTAATTTTGGTGCTTAACGTTGCACTTGCAGCAGGTGCCTTGTGTGTGTGTGTGTGTGTGTGTATTAAAGTGAAGCAGGAAGTACTTCGACTGCTTCCGTTGGAGATGTAAAACAATATAAAATATCAGTTTTTGTTCATCACATCAGGCCTGTTTAATCAAAATTTATCATATTGTTGTATCAGGCAAGACATTTCATATTACTCATGATAATCATGCTAAAGAGAAAAGCCTCTATCATAGGGCTGGGCGATATGGGAAAAAGTTTATCATGGTATATATATTTTTTTCATATCAGTCGATATCGATATATATCACAATATAAAAAAAATGACATTTAAAGGTCCTTTCACACCAGGATAGTTTTTGTTGTGTGGTTATTTCAGACGTCAATATATTTTTTCGAACCCGTATCCTGTCAATACAAGTGTTGCTATTGTGGCATTTATTTTTTCAGATCATTCCTGAAAGTTTCGCATACTGTGTGTCCACTTTTTTGCATGTTGTTTGCATGTTGTTGCGACTTCAGATTCATCGGTATATCCAACATGGCCGACCGGCTGATTGTTAATGATCGTTTACACAAACATTCCAAAGATAGCGACCTGAAGGACAATTGTGGAGAGTCATAGCGTCGGATTTCTGATATGACGAAGGTTTGTGTGCTTTAACAGTTTACTAAACGTCTTTGTTTTAACTGTCATCCGTGCTAAGTAACTTTAGCTTGTAATCTAACCTGTTCAGATACAACATACCATATGTATTTTCACTGTCTCAAACTCAATCATGTTGCTCTCACAGCACCATTCGGTCGCGGTTGTTACCTTGGGTTTATGGATTATAGTTTAATGTGCTTATCTGATACTGGCCCCGACTCAGTACATGCTATCATGAAAGACAGCCATCTCAACACTAGTGTCTAATCAGAACTGAAAAACAGTCAGTCTGCTGTTGTGTCAGACTTCTCGCTTCCACCTGGGACGTGTCTCCCCCCCCCCCCCGGAAAGTCGCAAAATCACATCCCGCTTGATGTGTATAGTCAGGCGTGTCAAAATTCGCCTCAGAATATTTCGTAATTTCGCATTCTATATTTGCGCTGGCCCCAGTGTGTAAGGACCTTTACTGTGCTTGTTGTTAGCATGTCTTTTGCAATACAATAAGCTACTGCGTCTGTGAGGTCTTTGTGTCTCTTTGACGTTTTGTCGATAGGCGTTGCGCTACAGAAAGTGGACTGAATGGTGGTCTGTTTTGCATTGCGCGTGCTCTGTCGCGTAGCACTGCTTCAGGTGGTGAAAAAGATTTGAGGTGTTCCCCGACTTTGCTAGAACATGTACTCGACATAATTTACAGTGCACATCACTCTGCCTCATGTTGACCTCAACAAACCAAAATAACTCCACACCACCAATGTTTTCATGCCAGTGTTGTCAACAATGTCGTCATCATCTATGGTTGGGTATAACTGCAGCTTGCTACTGCAAAGTTGTTTGCTACTTTGTTCTAATTCAGCACGAAGCGGACCGGAGCAACTCCCCTTTTCATCGGCTATTCATATTGTCTACCAAAGCATGGCAGAATACCGAATATCAAAAAGCATATTGACCACGTTTTATATTGATGTTGAGGGAAATTAACTTCCAATATATATCGTTACTGTTTTATCGACCAGCTCTACTCTATCATATCTCAAGATGCACTTTTGGTCGCCTATTTTTAGGCATATAACATCCTTCCTTGGAGGACTTTCCCTGTCCATTGATGAGGATGCAGTATGAAGGTGGAAAGTGTAGACTGACACCCAGAAGATTTGTAGTTTGCTCCCCAGTTCCTGAACCTTGCACTTAGCTCAAATTGCTCATGAAGGCATGGACATTGGTGTGTGCCTGTGTAATAGTGGTTAGATTAGATCCTGATGAGCAGCCTGGCATTTGAATAACATCTTGTGCAATCATTGTATGATTGTGTGTTAAAGGGTGAACGTGGCAGTAATGTAGACACTTGTCGCCTGCCAGAAATTGTGTTAGTAGTTTTTACCATTCGCACACTCAGCATGATTGAAAACTTCCAGCAGGGGTTGATGTTTGTTTTTTTAGAGATTCAAGAATATATTTTGATAAATATTAGCTGGGTAAGCATCTGCTGTTTAAATCCTAGGCTAAGTTCAACCTGAAAGAGCATTCATGCATCATTGACCTGGCAAGTAGGATACCCTATACTCCCTTAGATGATCCTCAGTTTCCCTGTGTATGTTCCCACACACGCATTCTGGGTCAGGGTCAGGTCTGCCACCGAGGGGAAAGGACTCTTTTTAGCTTTAAACACTCTTGCACTGCACTGGAAAATCTTACCCGTAGCCTGCTGTCACCCATGGTGGATATATATACCGAAGGATCAGAAAGCTCAACCTCCTTGTGGTGATACTTATCCTCTTGTGTCATGTCTGTGCCAGTGCACGTTTCACGGTCATAAAGATGCCCAGTGTTGTAAATTCTGTGTGTTTCTGGTTGGTTGGCTTTAATCTGAGAGTAAAGAGGAAAACAGCAGATGTTTATGTCAACTCAGTGGTCAGGAGAACATTCAGAAATGAGTCTTTGCTTTTGAAAGGGAAGAAGAAATCATATGATAACTGTAAAAGAGAAGGAAGTGCAGATCTAGATAAAAGTTTAGATGGATAAGAAGTCATGTGAATCACAAAATAGGGGAAATGATGAGAGAAAAGGTAAGGTCTTTTGTGGTCAGGATTTTAATGAATAAGAGAGAGGAGAGGGAAAGCCATTGATTATGAATTGCAGAAATCTGCCTTCAACTAAAAAGAGATGTTTAAGAATAAGAATAACTTTATTGATCCTCAAAGGGAAATTCAATTGTCTGTCGTCTCGTTTGTAAAGTCTCTAAAAGTCATCTACTATTAACAGAAGATTTGAAGAGTTTGAGTTGCTTTACAAAACACTTGGGCCTCCTTAAAAACAAAAAACAGTGGACTGCACTCATATGTGAAAGTGTTTTTTTGTAGATGATCCAGGTCCCTCTTCAGACAAATTTTCGATTACTTCAACTTTTTCCCCCCTCCCTGTCCTGATGCTTTCCTGATGTAATTTGTCACCCAAAGCCCAGTCACAGCCCAGCTCTGTGCCCTCCAGAATACCACAGGGGGTAGTAGGTTGGCTGACCCCGAGAGGAAAGCCTAAAAAGCCTCTCTTGTTTCCTTGGCTCAAAGACCAAGGGACAGCATACTGTACATTACATGGAGAGCTCCTGGCTCATCCCGCAGCCAGTCAGCAGCGTGATCCTCAGCCAATAGATATGTCCTCTCAACCCTCAGCCACATGGCCTGTCCTGGCTGACCACTGCTGCCAGCTGAGGAAACTTCCCTCTTGACCCAGGGCCATACAACTCAATATAGCTGCATTTCCGTTCAAATGTGAAAAGGAGTAGGCGTAAGAGAGACAGAGGATATGGGTTGGATGTAAGAGGCTTTCTACTAGACCTCAAAACCATGTCAAAGGTGTTGAAAAAGGTGCAGATTCTTGCAAACAGTCAACAGTTGAGTCTTATGTAATGACTTATTACTTTTTCTTGTTTCACTCATGATGTTAAAGATAAAACATTCCTGTTAGTGAATGTTAGATTCTCAATATCAGTCTATAGAGTTTGAAGGATGAGACACCCGGCGCATGTACCCAATAATACGCTTTCTTGATGCTTGTTGCTATTTGAAGTTGTTACGAAGTGAGCATTGACTAGAAGCTAAAATTTCAAGACTTTGTTGCAAATATAAGTTTCAACAGAGTTAGCTGTATTATTATTTTTGCTTTCAGATCCTTGTAAGAATGATGTAGTTGTTGAAGTCTTGTCCAAGCAAACATGCTGTTATTGGCTCTGGACAAAAATGGGAGCCAAAAAATTCCCGCCGCACTCTTTACTTTTATAAAAATGTAGTTTTATGACACCTCTATCTTGAACATGTAACCCTTTTATATTTACATTTATCAATTTGGATAGGGCACTAAGTCATATTGCAAGTTTGATTATCTGGCAACAAGTTGGGCAGCCTCAATTTGGATGTGGAGGAGGGGCGGTGTTGTGTTAAGCAACTGAATGCTTCCATTCACATGATGAGTGTCCGGTGAAGGAGGGAAAAAGAGGTATCAAATAGAGTATCCTTAAGGTATATGTATCACCTTAAGTGTACTTCACTGCAGCTATCTTAATGTCCTAAATGATACCCAGCCCTATGACCTGTGTAATCATATTTGGTATCAGTTAGCAGCACACGTCAGGGTCAAACATCTGAGATTCCTCCAACCCCTGAGAAATACATGACGTTGCATATTGTCTAAGATAATTATACACCACATTAGATTTATGTATGGCAATGCTTATTGCCTCATAGTTTACAGGACAAGTAGTGTCTCAGGTTTCCGTCTGGCGTGGCGTCCTTCCTCCGCTGCGTACTTTCATAACTCACCGTGTCATGTGAGGCTTTCATCAATCTCAGGCTGTCATGTTTGTTGGACGATCACATGGGCGCATTCTCAGTCACAAGCATGAAACTGCAAGCTAGATAAGTACAGAATGGTTTGCGTTTGAGTGTGTGTTCACTTCACACTTGTTACTTATGCATATTCATAGCTTTCTGGACATTATAAATTTATATATTTTTAAAAACTAGCAGTTTTATTCACAAGGATACTTTCTTCTTGGAGTTCATGAAAGCCACAGGCTTGCCAGAGTTCTGTAAAGACAGCGGCTGTCATCAAGTTCCTATCATGGCTATTTTAAGTGGCCACACTCTGGCTTCTGGGAACTGCAGGGTCATAGTAAAGATATAGTTTTACGTAAAAGCTTCACACACATCACGCACACACGTGGTTTGTATGTAGTTAGGCCTGCATGCCGTCTTTCTGAGGACATCGATTCAACCACAATGCAGGATATTTCTCTGCTCCTTGGTAATTAGTGGGGTGATGTCAACCACCATGTGCCCTATTTAGAATAAGTGAACATTGGAATATGGCTTTATAACCTGCATTTAAAGAACTGTAAAAGGAGAACTTAACAGGTTGATTATTTGTATTTAGAGACAGGAGCATGCACAAATACTAGACCCACAATTATCATGAAGTAGGGGTCAGTATCCAGTTTTACAGTTTACATAAATATTTCATACATGGGCAAAATGCTCTAACTAGTTTTGTTCATATCATGTCCTGTCAGCTGTGTTCTTACAAAAGATGTCTTGAATTGAGTATGTTGTCTGCCTTAAATACAGCCTTTTGTAAACAAACACGTCCTCTCGATCGGTAATCATTCCTGAGGGAATAATGTTACGGCTGTATTTGGATTTTTAGTTTGGTTTTTCAATTTGGTTCTGTAATGAAGTGGAGTTTTTCTTTTATTGCCCCAAAAGCAGTTTGAGTGTTAATCAACATTTTGATCTTAATGCAGAACTTGCAATTTCAGATATTTGGTCGAAATTTTGGGATTTTTGGAAATTCTCCCAGGCATCCATTGTATCTTTATTTGCATAACTGTTTTTGTGAAATTTTTTTTAACATTTTTTCAGAAAAGGTGACCTACTGTTATCTTCTTTGCATCACAATAATGTAACAGCCCTTTTACCAAACTACTGATATCGTTTATTTAAAAACTATATGTGATCATGCTTGGTCAGAGGATGTACATAAAAAAAGTTTTCGCTCATTTGCCTTTTTTCTCGCAGATTTTTAAATCGTTGTTTATTTGATCTCAGAGCTGAGCTGCTTGTCAACTCAGGCAGATATTGTGTGGTATGGCGTTAAATATCTACAGATATAACCATCTGCGTGTTTAGTCTGCTGGGATTCTGAAAGTCAACCCAAAAAGTCACCTAATTAGCCTACTTTGAGACAAGATAGTGACACAGAGGGGGGTGGGGGAGGTTGTTCTCAAGAAGAGAGTCAGGATGTGCTGACTGACAGTATAATCACTTTACTTTAAGGCTCAGCAATTAATCATGTCTATCATATGACACTTTCACAACCAAACTGAGCAAAAGGGAAAGAAAAGTATTATTTTTGGTGTCATACTTGTTGCAGTGGTCTAATTATGCATTCAGATCTGCTTCAAAAGCAAAATTAACACCCTGATTTCCACACAACTGTGATAAGTTCATGTGCTCTTTGTGAGGCGGTCATATGCTTATCACTCTCATCACTCCCTGTCTGTCATGTGGTGTTGATCCAGAAGACTCAGTCCTGTCCACTGTACACAAAGTCATTAGATAACACACAGACACCCTCACATACACACAGTTAATTTTTATTGTGTTACAGAGTAGGGCAAGACCCGTTTGTATCATGTAGTTTCGATCAATGTTAGATTTTTTTTCTACACAGTGTAGGTCGATCGTGCAGCCAGTTTTTTTTTTATAAAGACCCAAGCCAGAGAGAGTGTTAGTAAAACTTTTTGGGCTGTATACCCACTGAGCAATTGATGGCTATTAGACGTCTAGTTATTTTTTAGACCTAATTCCAACCGTCTAGATTCTGTATATCTGTAGACAGAATTTAGACGTTGCACTTTAACCCGCTGTTCGATAAATATTTATTTCAAAAAGCAACTGTGAGTTGCATAACTGATCTCCAAGTACTAAACCAACATAATTATGATAGCCGTTGAGCAATATACTGGTAGACCTCTGTTAGCTGGCTAGTCTAAACTTGATCTAAATTTAGACGTCTGAAAAACTTTCATTTTTAGACCTGTGGTAGCCTGATTTTAGACCAGTCGTCTAGACTACATTTAGACGTCAATTAGACCTCTTTTAGACCAAAAAATGCTCAGTGGGTACTTTCACTATAAATTTACAATAATAGAACAATTTCAATTCAGTGACTCTCAAATGTTCAAACAAGTTGAGTATTCCTCCACCATAACAACGTCTGTGTTTATCCTGTCTACCATGAGTTATATTTCTTGAGTGAAGTTTTAAGCATCGATTTATTTCTCTGCACACCAATAGACCCCCTATAGAATACAGAATTAAACAGTGGGAAATAACTTTTTATTTTTAACATTTAAAGTTGGGTTGCGTGTCAAAAATTCTCCAACAGAATACATTTTAAAGTTTAAAATGCAAAACATCTCATTGAGATTCCAAACAGGAGTTTCAACACATGGTGGGCAAGCTAAAACCTGCAGGTGGACCAGCTGCCGGCATATTTGTTACTGCTGTGTGAAAACCTGTGAATCAGTTTCTACAAGTGAAAAGTATTTTTTTGTGACTATAAAGGACAGTATACATCAAGAAGTTTCTGTTACATAATAATGCACACATCATTTTTCTTTGTAATCACATGCATTTGTCAGTTTTATTCTCGTTTCTTGTTCATTTTCTGCTGTCAAAATGACTTTAAAAGTTTTGACTCTGGTAACATGATAGTTGATTTAGGCTGATATCTACCTCAGGCTGTACAGCTGCCCTGAATCAACTTGACAAACAGTCATTTGAAAGTGTTGTAGAGTGCAGCAACCTCAGGGCATTTCAGCATCTTCACATACTCAGAATCATGTGACTGCTGGAATGCAGAAGTCCATGGCGCTATGCAACCAGCAGAGAAACTGGCTTTTTATGCAGGTAGTCAGGTGCTTTCAGGCTGTGTGGGCCAACTTTAAGAGATAGTCACTGTTGCGCAGAAGAAGCAGTTGTTACTTCAGGGAAAAAGAAGAGAGAGAAAGAGAACAACATACTTATAGAATTGGATATGCATTTCCTCAATGAGCATTATTGAATGAAGCCATCCAGTATCACACAGATCTATTAATCTGTTAATCAGGTAAAAGTGACAGGTATTGGACATTTGTTGTTTGAGATGGCTCACTCTCTCTGACTTGATACATCTCTGTTGAGACCTGTTCAACAACCTGTCTGCCTGTATATATTTTATAGCTGTCATTTTTATCCATTATGTTGTTATGAAGAGTATATGATACAGAGAAGAAGTGTATTTCGTCTTGTTTTCGTCACGTGATAAATTAAAATGAGTATTGGTAATATTGCTGAAGATCAATCACAGAGAATATTTTAAATTGGCGACCCTGGTCTTTTGATAACTCTGAGTGTTGGCGTTAGTCTGCAGCAGAAACATCACATTACACTCTTTCGTTTGAGCTTTCACCGCTGAACTTAGCAGAAACCTCTGTTACACTCAGCCGGAAGAACGTCACTCAGCTTGGACTGAGGGAATGTTTATGTAACGGTCTCTCACAAACACCAACACACACTCGCTCACACATACACACTCACACATACATGCTCACACAAGTGCACAGATGTTTCAGTGGCAGTGGAGAGTGAAAGCTCTCTGAGGTCAGTAAGTAGGCTGATGTCAGATTCACTCCAGTCAAAAAAACTTGATTGTGTTGTTGTGACCTTTACAAGCGTACACCTCTGGATCTGCTTGGTATGCTTTTGGCTCGCTCTTGCAGAAAAGCATGAATGCATCAACTTTTAAGTCATAATCAGCACATCTTTTAAGCCTCAAAGGTTGAAAATTAGTGAAAACGCTCAATTTGATTAGTTTATTTTTCTGTTTTTTTTGCCTTTAATGCGATAGGGCAGCTTAAAAGAGAAAGGAAATGCGAGGAGAAAAAGGATGCTTTCACTTCCCAAAGAGTCTGGTTTCATTGCTTTCCTACCCCTCATGTAAAGTGGGGAAAAAAGTTAGAAAGAAAGGATGAGAGAAGACAAGAGAGAGGGCAACAAAAGGAGCGGGATCAAGAAACAACACAAACAAGTCCCCACTGTCTCTCTCCCTCTTATCACAGCGCTTTCTGGCAGTCAGTGTTCTGGGCTCGCTGCTGTCGCTCCCTCTGTACTGTCCAGCATACACAGTGCCCCTACGATCACCTGACAGTCTCATGTTGTTGTGTGAATTTAGTTCACTGCTATTCTTAGACCCTACTTTGGCTGAGAGAGGAGAGAAGAGAGAGGAATAGAGAGAGAGAGAGGGAGAGAGGGCTGGGGAAAGACTGGCAGACTCGCAACGATGCCCAGGTAGGAGTCGGTGATATTTAACCGGGCTTGTGTGCATCCAAGTGGGCATGATAGTCTCATTTGAGGAACGATTGAGAACTTTGTGTGAGTTTTCGGGGTTTGTTGGCAACCTGTAGCTGTTTTGAGCAGGGCAGATTCGCAGACTACGAGAATGAGGGCTGTAGTTTTGAGTCAGGTGACGCGGTAAAGATAAAGATTGATTCTATCATTCGAGGTCAGTGTTATATAATGAAGATTAATGAGTCTGTGGTGAAGCATGCCTTTTTTGTGTGTCTTTTTGACAGGAACAGAGTGTTTGAGGGTGGAGTTTTGGGTCGAAGACTTTCTGTTTCACATCGTTGTGATTGAAACTGTGATAGTTAGGGATGAAATCATTGGCAAAATATCCCTGCTTTTTATTTTACGACCCAATCCGCAAAACAAGTTCTTCAAGGAAATAAATACCTGTATTCTTTTAATGTAATTTGTGATTCAGACAATTGAGGTCAAAGCAGTACAAGTATGTAACAGTCATGAAGTCATGTGCTGCTTTTATGAATGACTCCCCTCTCTTTTCTGTCAGCGCTGTGACTGTCACAAGCTCACTGATGGGATACTTCCTCCTTCGCTCTCCTTCTGGCTTGTCTTGCTTTCAAATGCTTTTCTGTTTACTTTAGATGTATTTTTCTCTCTCTCATTACTGGAGCTTAATTCCAGATTTATTGCCATAGTCGTAGCATTTCTTCATTAAACATTCTTGTTTTCATTTGTCAATCTCAGCTTTTGTTCTTTGTTTCTGGTCCTGCTCTTGTTGCAGACCCCATTTTTATTGTTTTTTCTCCTATTTTTGCTATAATAGCATTCTTAGTCTTTTATGCTGTTAGTAGAATTTAATGGCTTCTTACTTGATTTGCTCACTTCTCATATTCTCTTTGTTTTGCTTAAAACAAAGAGGGCAGTGAACACGGTGTCAAAATATGCAGATGTCCTCTGGATTCCTGAAAACAGCACGTCATCCTATTTTGGCAGTCACTGCACTCATATCCAGTTGAATTCTATCTGTTTAAAAATGTAAGAGATCAGCAAGTATTATGTTTCAGACATTTTTACACCACAAACAACTGTCTCAAAAAGGAGTGTGAATAAAAGCAATGAAAGAATAGCAAAGGGAAAATCTTGGATAACCCATTTTTTTTTTAAAGGCATTAGTCCAAATGAAGGAGGCATGTGATTGACTAAGACAACCACCTGATTTGTAATCTTACTCACAAGTCTCTCAGCTGAATATCAACCCCGCCTCATACAATGCAGCTGGAGGTTGTAGCGTAGGCTGGACGTGTATTACTTCAGTCATAGGAGATAAGTTAGTAAAAGATGACTACTGAAGACTTACAGTTGTGTGCCATATTCACTATCTTGGTAACTTATGTTTGACAGATAACTGAATAAGAATGTAGAGTCTGCAGGTTTTGGTTTCATACAAAAAACAAAAACAACACATTCCCTGTGTTTTCAGTTTCTACGAGAGGAAAATAGACTCATTAACGGGGTTTGTTTGACATTTGTACAAATAATGTACGAGACACAAACTAATTCAAAACCAAAATTGTACCTGATCAGATTTTTTTGGTACAGTTATCCACTAAGATATGACTTGGTCCGCTTGCCTTGTCTTAATTATCCGTAAAACTTAAAGGCTGGACTCCATATTTATTTGTTTTGGTTTGAGAGACAATTTGAAGCCTCTGACTGAACTTTTGGCGATTATACCAATGACCTTTTAAACAGAGCTGCAGCAGTACCCTGGATCGTAAAACTGGATCTCCAAAAAGTGCATGTTTTTATGAGAGGTAGCCCAAGAGGCCTGGTCTGCTAGGGCTTCTCTAAGCCTCTGAAACAGATGGAGCTGGTGTTACAAGCTACGAGAAGATTGAAGTATTGCAGTAAATGCAGGTCTGAAAAAGAGAGGTTGTCAACTGCTGCCTAATCTATCAACAGTGCATCACCTCTTAGGGTTTATTTGATCCCCAAAACAACTTGATGAGAGTTGAGTAACTTTCCCAGCGTGCAGTTCATGTTTGATTATTGAAGTAAGCCAGTACTGTCAAAGGAAGTGTTTTTGCTCCCATTAATGTAAATAAGTGAATATTATCACAAGTTTTTAAATAAGTTCAAAGAATGATTTGTAATTTTTAGGTAATTTTAAAGTAACATATTTTTTCCTGCTGAATAATAAAAACAATGTTTTTTTTACCCCAGAATAAATTTTCCAGATTAATTTTTGGTCGTGGTCCAGATTTTATCCACGTTTCTCCTTTTGTCCAGTGAACAGGTTAAATCAGAGGACTCATCTGCTGTCAGAAAATGCTGAAGAAAAGTTGCAAATCCTCTCCTGAAAAAGCTGGAAGCAGCAAACACATAGCTTAAAAAATGAATAATTCAGTCGTTGCAGCTTCAGTATTTGCACTCAAAACTTAATGATCTAGACAGCGCAACCCAGGAGCTACAGAGTATGTGTATTTTAGCAGTTTCCAGGCAGTCACACACACACCAAAGAGAAACTTTGCAGCAGCAAGCTTGCAGTAAACTTCTGGTCAAATGCCCAAAGAGCCTCATTTAAATTCAGGTGGTGGTTTTGGTTCATATTGGAGGGCAGTTCCTTTGGGCAAGCAAAAATCAAGTGAGATAAAAGGTTGAATGCTGGAGTTTTTTTCTGTGTTGAAATAGTGGGACAGCCTGGTGTGAAAATGTGTGTGAAGAGCTTCCAAAAGGTACCTAGGTTTAACAAATTAACGCTGAAGCAGACTGTCGCAAATAACCCCCTTCTCTCAGCTCTCATGCAGGACCAACTGTTTGGCCTCCAGCAGAAATGCCAGTCATATTTTGACACCAGTGTTTGGTAAATAGTTGCCCCCAAGTATTGGAATGTATACACAAACTTTCACTGCAAGGATTCCCCCGCCCTGCCAAGGCTTACTGACCAGCAGCTGGTACACTGTTTTTAAAATGTGGCCTGATGCATGTTGTTTGGTTGGCAAGTTAAATGGACTTAACTGTTCCTTTTCCACCTCTCCACATAAACCCATTTACTATAAACACCCACGTTTAGGGATACTCCCTGTCCTCCAATAAAAGGCTATATTTGGGTCCGACTCTTCGTTCATCCAATCTATCCATCAGATCAGGCCGAAAATCCTCGACTGACTACCTGTCAGTCCAATTCCCTGTCATTTTTATAGCCTCTAATAAATCATGCAGGCGACTATCATTCCCCAGAAGCTAAACGGGTCTGCCAAAGCTTGGTGTACCAAAGAAAGGTGTAAATATGCAACAGCGTGATGTCTGACTTTTAATAAGATGAGCCGCAGACAGGAGCTGTTTTAACAGGCAACTGTACTGTTACTTAACTGTTAGATGGAGTTTACTGCTGCCACCAAAGCTTTCTGAAATGTGATTCCTAAATGTGAATTTCAATTTATTCTGTCTTGAGTTTCATTTGCCTCAGCTTTTGAGTGAATTGAACAACAGTTTGCTCACCAATGGAGACTAAATCAGCTAACAGCTCTTCATTTGTTTGATTTTTTTGGTATTGCTTAATGTTTTGTATTGTTCATACGACTTGTCATAACTGGAAACAGTCATTGTTTCAATCAAAGCTGAAGTTTGGAAAGTGTTACTCATTCTAGATTTATACTCGAGCTAGAAACTCACAAGTATAGGTCATTTGCCTCGGCATTTCTCATCTAATCTTTTTTAAATTAACAGCTATTTGAATATCAAGATATCATGAGTAATCTTAATGTATCACAGACAAATATTCACTGGGCTAGAATGCAAAAAGAGTTGAGTGGTTATGGAGTTTGTTGAGTACTTCAGCATATGTGCATTAATATGTATAAACCCTTCTGTGGCTCAATGTCTGTTTCAATATTAAGAAGTGATCGCTCCAGAGTCATTGTTGGTCAGGACTGAGGAAACACACAGAGCTCAGCTCTACCTGGACTTTTGGAGCAGGATTGGCAAATATCTTAGTCGAATAGCCTTTGTTTCTGTTTTGATCAGAGAATTTAATTGTATTGGTTTTAAAGAGATTTGTTTTAAATTCAGAGTTTGTAAAATATAAAAAATTGTCAATTTCTGTCCTGGATATTACAGAAACATGACTTTGTTGTCATGAACCTGTCAAAGAACGGCATAAAAGTTATTTTTAAGAGATATTTTTCAATCACCTGTTCATACAGTTTCATCTTCCTGCTCTGATGCTGTATTATTTTTATTTTTAGCCATTTCCACCACTTATCTGTCTTCGACTATTCACTCTTCTTTGTTTAACCCTTCCTTCTCTGTCCCTTGTTTCCTCCGTCTAGCTGGCCAGTCCCCCAGCTGGAGCCCAGTCAGATCAGGCTGATCGTGTACCAGGACTGTGAGAGGCGCGGCAGAAATGTCCTCTTTGACTCCAACGCCAAGAAAAGGGGCACAGAGGAAACCCCCATAACCGTGAGTCAAATGTTTTATTATCAGTCGGTGATACCATTCTTGGTTTGGTGAATGATAATAAATTAAGAGTAGTTGTTAGTTATTTTCAGTCAAGAATTGCATTTAAAAGTCTTAAAAATCTAAAAAAATTGGCATGAGCAAGACTGACACCAGCGAAAAAACAAAAACAAAGCAGAGGCTGGGACAGTCACAGAGGTGTGACATGCCACAACGTCATGTGATTGTTTCAGAGGACACATGCTGCACCTTATCCTGCTTATCCTGCGGGGCGTCCTGCTGCCAAACAGTGAACAGCAGCAGACACAGAGATCAAGAGTGACAGGCAGAGAATATCTCCTGTTGGAAAGTGTACAAATCCTCCTTGTCAGCCTTTTTAATTAATGTGTTTAGTTTTATTTTGAAAAAGAAAACTGTAGTATCAAAGGTAGTTTTGTTCTTAAAGTGCCATAAAAAAGAAGATAATGAAAAAAAAAATCATTCACATTTTCTGTTTCACCAGACCAGGGTTTTCCAAAAAAAGAGAAATGAATGGCTGATTGTGTGAAAAAAAATGTTTATGTCTGGTTTAAAACATAGAAATCCGGTCACACTGGATGCCAAAAAGTCATATGATCAATTTTCCAGGGCAAGGGTGTCCTGAAGGCAGATATTGCCCTTTTAATGCTGACAGCACTGTCAAACAGGTAACTATGTGTCACTGAGTGCATGAGACTCAGTGTTGGTTTATTGTCAACAAACCTTTTTCAGTCAGTGACACATAAAGATAACAAGGATTTTACTACAGGGTGGCGGTCTTTATCGAGAAACGCACAATGGTGTCTTTCAAACACTTTGTTTTCATCGATTGTCTATCAGCAACAAGTGCACACCCTTTCTTTTCAAGCAGAGTTTCCAAACAGACAGGGATGAACTCTCACCAAATTTTTTAATAACATGCCTAATATTTTCATACTGCCTTCTTATGATTGAGTGTGACCCAGACCGGTTTGTTCTGGTGTTCTTATCTCCAATAATAATAGACGCCGCTGACAGACAGCCCATGTGTAAGCAGCATTCTTTCATCCTCACATGACAGTCCTGTCACTCGCCCTGTGTGTCTCTCTCCTCTCTCCGTCTTACTCGGTCTCTGCTCTGAACACACCCTGGCTAAATTGTCCTCAAAGTCTCCTCCTTCTCCCTTTGTCTCCATTTACAGTGTTAGTGAATTAATCCGGTGATCTGGATCTTTTCTAAGTCATGTTAAAAAAATCTTGAATATATCTCTTTCTGTCTTTTTTTATCTTTACCTGTCTGCATTTTCCCCTGCTTTGTCAGTCTACCCATCCCTAATTCACTGATCCTCTCTTCAGCATTGAGTTTTCACTACCTTTCATTGCTTTAACCCCTTTCTATCTGCTAAACTTAACCTTTCTTTGTAGGGTCTTAGATTTTCTCAAACCTCTTCCTTTTCACCTCTCTGTCTTCTTTTGTTTTTTTTTTGCTTCCTGACCAGATGTAACCTGCCTCACCTTACTTCACCTTAGTTTATAACCATGCCATCACACAGACAACACACTCCCTTTGTCTTTTGACACCATGATATTGGAAATTGGACTGTCTATTTGCTCAGCTTGTACATTGGTATTAGTCGATGCCCTACATAGACTCAAGAGGAGCAGTTAAGAGGGTTATTCTGTGTCCGTTTGTTCCTTAAACAGCAATGTTATTTAAAAACTACAAGAGCATGTATGTTGCAAGAGGATTCAGTACTTTGTGTGCTAGCTGGGCTGATGACAGTATTTTGGTGCATCCTCCTGCTGTGTTAAAGAATCGCCAGCCACTGTTTGGCTTCCATCACATGACATGATGGTTGTTTTTTGTCCACACACAGAGGAATTCATTTTGAAGTGATCAACAGCAAAAACAAGCAAAGCGCAGACAGTCTATGAGAGTGAGGGATAAGGGAAAGGGGATTTACAAAGAGGCATGAGAGGGAAAAGAAAGTTGGACACAAGAAAGAAAGAAAAAATGTAACAACATAAGTGGCTGAAGAAGCTGACAAATCAGGTCCAGGAAAGAAACAGATGTATTTAAGGTGGGACAGAAAACTGCAGGAAATAGAGAGAGATGAGTATCAATGGAGGAGGGGAAGAGAGAGAGAGAGAGCAGGAGGGAGGGGATGATTGCAGTGCAGCTCGCTCACGAGTTCCAGAAAGAGTCATATGACTGGCAGTCACATGCTGCTGGTCTCTGTGTACACACCTCACACTGCACTGCAGCGGACACACAGATACGCACACACCCATGTACACACACACACACACAAATGCACACTCCCTCAGAAATGGCTTGGCTTTGGCAGCGTTTGTGTTGATATGCTGTGTGCAACAAAATCAGTTATTTGTGCAAAAGCAATAGGAAATTTGCAGACATGTTTTCAGTGTTTACTCTCGTTCTTTAAAAAGAGCCAAATGAAGGAAAATAGTCCGCTTTCTTCGCTCTCTTTCTCGTCCTCTTTCTGTTTAACTCCCCTTAAGTTTCGTTTCTTTTCTCTTCCTCTGCTTTATATTGGCAGCGATTGTGGTTTCAAGTGAGCCATTACCAAAGCCCAGCTAACCACACACACACACACACACACACACACACACACACACACACACACACACACACACACACACACACACACACACACCCTCCCCCTCTGCTCCCTGCCCTCCCAAATGCATTCCTCTTGAATAGGCTGCCAAGTTAAGAAGGCACATGACACAGCCTGATTGAGCTCACATTGCTTTTTAGTTTGCTGTTTACACCAGGGCTTCTAGGTCGGGTTTCTATGTTTTTTTTTTTTCACCTGAGTTTTCCAACTTTTTTTCATGTTTTTTTGGAGTCATCAGGTTGATATCGGAAAAGGAATGTGACATGCAATACGTGAAATACGCTTTAAGCAGGTGTTTCTCATTATGTTTACGTCAGCAGAGGTCTGTGTGCAATGAAGTCCTCTTTGCTTTGTCATATAGATTCACACAAGCCTCATGCAAACCAATAGATAAATGTGTGCATTAGGGCTGGGCGATAAACCCAAAATTTACAGATACCGAAATTTACAACAATAACCAACGTCAAAAAATTAAATAAATAAAGGTTGGTTTTGGATGTGTGTAGGTAGGCTATGGTCTCATGTCCCTTTAGGACGCTGTCCTACAACGAAGACGTGATTTCATCCCATTCAGTCTGTAACAAAAAGGGAAAGACAGGGGAGGAGATGAAGGACTTGAGATTGTGGAATTGTTATCATCCATTTACGCTTTCGAGGTGAACTGCTCAATATATCGTGATATTGATTTCAGGCCATATCGCCCAGCCCCAATGTAGATTCACACAAACCTCATACAAACCAATAGATCAATGTATGCATTTATTTGTGGGACCTGTGCACAAAAGAGAAAAGGTGTAATTGAACTTTCAACTGCTGCATCCTTGCACAGAACTGTTGCTCAGTTTTAAATTATTCATGAAGGGACATCGTCATAATTAAATTAAAAAAATGTAGCTGTAGGTCAAGATGCTGAGTTGATAATAGAGCATTTTTTATATGTCTGTATTAGGAGGGAAATGGGGGAAAATACTTGGAGACCTACTTTGATTCAATTCATGTTTTTCTTGTTGTCTACATGTTCATATGGCTTTTTTCTGATGCTACAGGACATATCATGAGAAAAGTAGGTGCGGCATTGCATTTCTGAGTATTTCTGCATTCAAATTGCTGTGAATCTCCTGCTAGTCTCCATGAAGGAGGTTGTTGTTGCCTTGAGATGCTGAAATATTCTGATAAAACTTTAACCCTCTGCAGGTTCAAATATAGTCTGTTAATACAGATCATTCTAATACTCTATTATTCCCTGTTTCCCCACAGAGCACTGAAGGCCAGGGGAAGATGTTCAGTAAATGCTGTCAGCTCCGGCCTACAGGAGGTAGCAGCAGCTCCCTGGACAGCTCCTCCTCTTGCGCCTCTGAAACGAAAGAAACCAAGGAGCAGGGCCTGCGCTTCCAGGTAACTCCTATCTGAACCTGCATGCAAAAACTTAAAACACATGGAGTATTGTAACTGCGGCAGGATTTCACAGCTGCATAAGCAGGTGAACTCATACAGCTCATGTGCCAATGAAAAACTCTCACTGCCTTTAGGGTTCAAGGTGTCCGTCTGATGTGGTCATGCTGGGGGAAATGATGTTTGGCTCTGTGGCTATGAGCTACAAAGGTTCCACACTAAAAATCCACCAGATCAGGTAAACAAAAGGATGACAGCTGTTACTGGATGTGAATTGATCTCGACTTTTGAGTAGGACTGTTTTGATGTTTTGCATAGTGATGTTAAAATCTGTAGATTTTAACACAGATAGATAAAGACTGCTTTGATATTTCGTTTTACCAAATTATAATTATTTCACATAAACTTGTGTTATGTGGTAAAGAGAGAAAGTGAAGTCGCACACAAATAGTCAAGAGGAACAAGTCACAAAGGAGAAGCTGTAATTGATGAAGTGGAAACAAAGTCAGGGCAGGCTGTACGTGACACTTGTACAAACGTGCACTCATGCTGTTGATCTTTGGCCCTCTGCTATCGTCATATCAGGTCGCCGCCTCAGCTGATGCTGAGTAAGGTCTTCACCGCCAGGACAGGAGGCAGTGTGTATGGCAGCCTCAACACGTAAGCACAAACAAACACTTATCAACATGAACACACCCACTTTACGCTCTGGTTGCTACAGGAGCTTCTTCTATATGCAAATACACTTTTCTTATAATTTTTCTATATCTGTCGGGGTTATTTTTAATATTCTTTCTGTCTGTTTCAACAACCCGTCTGCCTGTGCTTCTAATTCTCTTCCTGTCTCTGTCTCATGTCACTTTGTTCAGGCTGTCTTTGTATTTATTTTTGTGTCAGTCATATAACCTTAATTTTTTTATTCTTCACAGGTTACAGGACAGCCTTGAGTTCATTGGTCAGGACAGCAACACTCTGAGGCCGGATCAAAACACCGGAGCCAACAGTCTCCTTGGTAACATAGGTAACCACAGAAACCCTGTGTCATAACATCGACACTCCTCTGTTTTTCTTTCTGTTAGCTTGTGATTTGTAAGTAGAAGAAGGCTGAAGTCTCATTTCAGTGCTGATCACATCCAACTTCTAGGGCTTCTACACCTTAAACTACTTTGTAATTTAAGTGCAGAGAGCTGAGATTCTTTAACTTTTGGGATAGAAGTTGTTTTTTTTCTTCTCTCCTCCGAATTTAACTGAAACCAGACTGGATAGACTCTGCCAACAGCTCTCCCTTATTACTCCTTTTCAATAATCCCACGGACAGTTGGATAAGTAATTTTGAACAGGCCTTGAAGTGCGATTTTTCTCTGCAAATAAGTATAATCCACAGTCAGACAGTCAAATCAGTGTAGCTCTGCTATGAGTCATCCGGGTATTCCCAGACACTCATGATGACTCCACTCAGAACTCTGGATGAATCTCCAATATATCACCCTTGTTAGATAAAGTAGATTGTACAGAGATTAAGCCAGAGTCCCAACAAAATGAGGAGTATGAGTAACTATGGGCGATATCTGTGCTTGTGTGAGTTTTCTTTGTGTCATCCTCACAGAAAAACAACAAAAAAATGTTTTATGCTAAATTTTTCATCAAAAAATTTTACAGCCTTTCATGGTTTGATTGACTGTTTTCTGTGAGTGATACCAGCCTTTTGTCTGTGTCTCTCTGACTGATCTAACAGATGTTGGTCATTTTTCATTTCAGACTAAAAAAGCTCTTGTGACTATAAAATATTCTGACTATGGGAGGCAACCAGCTTTCCTCTGTACTCATTCACTAACCATGGTTCATGTTTTTTTGTCTGTTCCCCTCTTCCTCCCTTTTCCTCTTTTCCATGTTTTTTTGTTTATGCTGCGCAGGATTTTCTCAGCTCTGCAGCCCTCGACGGGCCTTCTCTGAACAGGGCCCTCTGCGCCTCATCAAGAGCGCATCTTTCTTTTCAGGTTGGCGCTTTTAACTGGCCATGACTGATGTGTGCCAGTTGCATGCGTGTGTAGGCTGTAGTTGTGGGCGGCTGCAGCTCTAGTGTTTGGTACAGGCTCTTGACTCTTGACAGCTGCATGCCTGTGTGGTGATTCTTACACTAGAAATGGTAGCTGTAGTCATAGCATGCATTATCACAGCATGCCTGCAAATGACTTGGGCCAGATAGAAGCTGTGCGAACAATTATTTGAGGTAAGATAAGAACAATCGGATCGAAACCTAATTGGCTCCAAATGACTGCAAGAATGACTTCTCCACTTAGTAAATCACAGAGGGATATGTCCGATCCAAACACCCTTTTTCTGTGTTTTACTAACCTATAAAGTTTTGTCTCCAATGCCATCAAATATATCTGTCAGTACTTTCCGACCCAAGCCTTGCAGGTGTGCACACACAGAAAGGGTCTGCATGGGTTCTCACTGGTGTAGGTGACTATTTTTTATATAGTTAATGTTGCTGCACTTTACTCTGCTGTACTCATCACTCCCCCACTTTCACTCATCTTATTTGACAGTGACTTTGATACTTGGGCAATCAATTTAAATTAATGTGTATTTTTACTGTGGTAGTTAGTTCTATTATGCCAGCCTGTCCTTAAATGGTGCAGTTAATGTATCTTAAGCATGCACACATTGATGAACATCCCTTCTACCATCCTATAGTCCACCATTGTAGCTGGTGGTTAAGTCTTTTTTTGCAGGAGTACATTGACAGTAGTCCTTTTTTTCATATTGTACTTTCTCTGCAGTCTGGGACTTGAATCCAGTGAGTCATAATCACACTTACTAAAAGACTGTGCGTTGTATCTATGAGGAGAGTGGGGAATACCGATATCCACCTATGACCCATGCTGAAACCTCATTTTTTTTACAACTTTGAAGATCAACATTTGTTTTCCTACCGCAAGATAAAACCATCTTTATTGCCCATGTATCATTCATCACTGTACAGCTGTAAACTGAATTGTCTTCTGATGAGCTTTTTGATCAGCCGTCGGGTTTCTGACATCAATAGCAATTTAAAACAGACCCATCAAGAGAGATGCATGAATTATTTGAAGTTTAATCACTTTTTCAAGAGTGTTTGAGTGTTCAGTTAAACTTAAACTTTAACTGAGTATAGTGATAATACAAAAACAAACCTTCACTGAGCTAAAATTATTATCATTTATTAATTGAGCAACGCCAATCAGAGAGCTCATTCGCCAGAAGTGTTCAGCGGTTTTCCTCCCACTCATGCATTGGGGGGTAAAATTTCTACCCCAGCTGTCTGGGTTAGGTTTCAGAAAAGCCCCGCCCCCCTTTTATATACTGCATACTGACAATCCTGTTTCAGAAACCCTTAAGCTGGCATGGGGTGTAGCTCTGTTTGTTATGCAATGTTGGTATGGTCATAAAGCACAGTGTGCCTGAGGTGTGCATACACAAACACTAAAAGTTCATGTTGACTTTGCTCATTAACCATCTCAACTACACATCAAAATGCGGCCTTTGTGGTTCTACACGCTGTAAGAAGCGTTGGCGTTTTTTTCTGTTTTTAGGGATATTTGTAATCAAACAGACTCTGTGGCATCTATATTGTAGTGCCCGTTAAAGGGAGTGACGTCTAAGCTGTCAGTTGAGAGAGAGTGAGGTATTAAGCAGAACAAGTTACAACAGTATTTCTGTTTTTCTCTTGGTTCACTTGTGACACTTCCTGCTTTTGGTCTTACAAAACATAAGGTGAGCTGAGAGCATGACAAGAAAAAAAAAAATAACTGCCATTTCAAAGTCGTATTTAGTCCCACACCTGTTTGTATTTGAAGCTTTTACTCCATATAAGAGAGCTGTGCAGGTCCAAGTCCAAGCCAAATATGTTCTCTTTTAATTTCGAGCACATTAGTTACCCATTTGAGATATTTCGCTGGAGATCTTTATGAACTTTATGACACTCTGTGCATGATTATCTTGTCTTGAGCCTCTTTCCCTTTCTGTTTTTAAGTGACATAGTCTTTAAACTTAGGGGGTGACTGACCCCAACCTGGTCATTTGAAGTGCATCCTCAGCATGCCCAGTGCTCAATTTTGCTCAACCGTTCCTAAAATTTGTTTCTTTTTTTGTCTCTTTTTGGTCTGTCATCCCCTTCATTCCTCTGTCTTTTACTTCCCTTCTTCTACTACCTTGTCTTTCCGACTCTTTTCTCTCTTTCTTTTTTGTTTCTGTATGTAATCTACGTTTGACCTTCGGCACCTTCTGCCCTTTCTCCCTGACTTTGTCCTTTGCCTTTGTTTCATCTTTCCACTCTCTCTCTCTCTCTCTCTCCTTCCTGCTCTTCTTCTGTTCTCCAGGCCACAGCCACCCAATGGACATGCCTGGCCGAGGGCTTTACGATGAGAGAGACAGCGGCATCGCCAGATCAGGTAGGTTAATAAGACTTGGAGGCAAAGCCTAGATTAACCCACACTCACTTCAGCTTTTAGCTCTAAAGCTGAGCCTTGCATTGGGATCATGTTTATATTTGTCTACAAAAATGAAGCTTCAGATGAAGGAAAATCAGAAAAAGTGGACTGTTACACTTCTAAGTTTTCTCTTTTACCTTGAAAACATTGTGAGTCCTTGCTCCGTTGTCCAGATCCCCCAAATACCAAGCTAATGAGCTTTTCTTTGGAGAACATCTCGGGACACAAACTTTGACTCTTCTTTGACTTTACTCTTCAGGGTCAAGAGCGTGGACAGTTGCATAAGTGCCGGTTACTTTAACCGGTGTTACTTAAGCAAGGACTTCACTGCCAAGGCATGCAGACGCACATGCACACAGTTTTCCATTCATTAATGCAGCTCTTCGTTATCAAGACTGATTGGGGTGTGTATGGAAAAAGATAGGAAAGGTTAAAGAAACTGAATGAGAGAGCCAAATTCCTCTCATGAAGTCTTCGTCCAAACAGTTTAGACCTGAAAACAAAAGAAAGAAGATGATGCAGTGCATGAGGTGTCTGCATGGCCTCTAGGATCCAGTAAAATATTGTGCAATGGAAACTGATCCCAGCTCTGCCCCAGTCCCCCCCCCACCCCTCTCTACAAACACCACCATGCCCCACGGGCATGACTGGTATGATGGGAATTGTGCTTTCTGCTCAAACCCAGGTCACATGCAGGGGATTAAATATAGCAGCTCTCAATAGCTGCTACTAGTAAATGAGCTTCTAATTCAAGACTCGTCCTCTCATCTTCACTCTCCGCCTCCCATTTGGAGTCAGCCTGAGAGCTCTTTATCCAACTTTGACACTCACTGATGCAGACACTTCCGTCTGTGGGTCAAAATCTCCTCTGCACAGCCCTCTTTAAAAAAAAAACCTCTAATGTTTTAGGCACAATTTTGTCTGTATACAGTACACGTTCTGTGCTGGGCTCATGTAGATATCCCCTGTTATCACATAACACGAGACCACACACCATCTGAAGGACTCATGTGACCGCCGATGAGAGCCTGCTGCACGGGCCGTAAATAACTCTGTGATCAGGGCTTGTATTCTTTTGTGTGTACGTGTGTGAATGTGCGCGTGGGCAGATTGTTATTACCATGCCAGTCTGGTGCAAAGCCAGGTTGTCCAACAACTGCAGCATGTGACTGTTAGCAGGCTAGCTGATATTAGATCTCATATGAAAGCTATTCAGTAATTAGAGGCTGCGTGTTGTGACAGTGATGAGGGGGACAGAGGGGTGTGTGGTCGCGTTAGGGTGTGTAGTGTGTGTAGTGTGTGTTTGCTTCACAAATTGTGAATTTTTTTAATCTTTTATCACTCTGTGTTGATATGTGTAGTCCGAGTGTGACGGTGCACAATGTGTTATTCAGTAAGAGTAACCCCACGCTCTCGTTGTCTGACTCACTCATGTCCTTTTCTCTTGTCACCCACCATTCCTTCCATCTGACCCCTGTCTCTTCTGTCCACCTCCAACCCTTCTCTCTGTCTCCCTGTCTCTCCATCCATCTGTCTCTTTAGCTTCTCTGAGCAGCCTGTTGATCACTCCCTTCCCGTCTCCTGGCTCCTCTCTGACCAGCAGCTGTGCATCCAGCTACCAGCGCCGGTGGCTCCGCAGCCAAACCACCAGCCTGGAAAACGGCGTCTTCCCTCGATGGTGAGAAGGAATAAATCAAAGGGGACATGCGCACTGATGAAAGATGCAGTCTAAAAACATTTCATACTGTATAGAGAAGAGTTACTACAATCTATCCATGAACTCTGAATGTCGTGGACTCTTCCTTCGGGAGTGGCCTGTGGGTGTGTGAGTTTAGACAGTTGTGCTACCGATCTCTCTCCATTTTTCCTCTGTAAAAATTTATTCATGCAAGAACCTCCTCAGAATCCAGCAGGCAGCTGGAAAAATGACACACACACTGGCTGCCATGTACTCAAAACTACACAAACACACACATTGCTGATACTAGACAAGATGCTGTGTTGGCCCGTCACTGAAAATGCAGCTGTCAGCCTCTGAGTGCTCTCATCTTTCAGGCAATTCAGTTCAACAGCACCAGAGCATCTTCAAAAAGAAGTGAAAGAAAGGTCAGGATTTAAGGACCCTTCAAATGGGGAAAAGAAGGCGAAGACACGTCTGTTGAAACACTCAAAGGATGCAGATTTTTAGTAAACGAAAATAAAAAGAAGTTGAGATGATCAATCTGCTGTAAAAGTGTAAGAAAACAACCTTGATTGAGAAGTGTTAGTTGATATGTAAGGTCACGTGGGAGTAGGTTTAAAAATCCATATCCATAAATCAGCCTCTGGGAGTTGCCCTGGATTTGCCTCTTACCTCGATGTTGACCCTGAATATCCTGTTCTCTTCAGGTCAGTCGAGGAGAGCTTCAACATGTCTGATGAAAGCGGTGGACCAAGCCTGGGCGTGGCTCGAAAAAAGAAGATCGCCATCGGGGTTATCTTTATGCTGTCCCCCAATGCTGAGGAGAACAACCGCTTCCAGGATTTCTTTTTCTCCCACTTCCCTCTTTTTGAGAGTCACATGAACAAACTCAAGAGTGCCATCGAACAGGTGAGTTTACCGAGATGACTGCCATTTGATTTTTGATCCTGTTTCCTCTTTCTGAACCAAACACTCTCTAAATTTTGTTTTGTTTTACTCTCAGTCGTAATCTTTAGCGGCTGTCAGTGTCAGTGAAATCCTTTTAGAAAGGGGATGCGAATAGTATTCAAAAGCAAACCTTACATCATTTGCTTGTGTAATAAACAGAGTAGCTGACAGATTGAATGATCAATTGTCATTCCCTGCAGTTCTGTTTACTGGTGTCTGCGGTTGGCACTGTCTAATCTCTGAATGACTTTCAGTTTTACCCCGACATCTCTCCTCTCCTCCTCCTCTCAAATACCTCGTTACACCTTTCGTGAAACTTTGTCCGTCAGCTTCGGTTGCCAAAATATCTGAAAGCTATGTGTGTTGTGTCACTCTCAAGGCCATGAAGATGAGTCGGCGGTCAGCTGATGCGAGTCAGAGGGCCTTGGCTTACAGCCGCATGGTGGATGGACTCAATGAGTTCAGGTTAGTCAACAACTCACTCACCCACAATGACCCACACCCACATTTTTTTTTCTTGTTTTCCTCGTGTCCAGACTTGCAGGATATCTTGTCATCATCACAGTATCTGAACTTTTTGTTTGTGGATTCAAACACCTGAGAAGATAGTTTGCTTTGAAGGGAGTGTTTGGTCCAACTGAACGCTTTTTGATTTTGTAGTTTAATCAGTGAAGTCATTCTTCAACACACAACAGATAAGTTCAGGTTTTACAGCGTGTCAATCATTGAGGCCAAAATCACACTGCCGTTCAGTTTCTATGTACTGTGGTCAAAAATTCATTTTCTCTCAGGGCTCATAAAGTTACAAAGAAATCAGACATTTAAAACTTCACTTGAGGAGCACTTTGCTTTAAAAATCTCTGCACCACAATACTGACACAAGCGCATGTGTGATTCACCAGTGTTGACTTAGAATTGCATAAACTTGTAGCTTTCTCTCTCTGTGTCTTCAAAAGTAGGTCACCGAGTGCCCATTCTTGCCCTGTGGTGTTCGCGTTATGACACTAACATTTGGGCAGCTTTAATGGCCTGAGAACTGCTTTGCACATACTTTTAATTCCACAGTCGTGTTGTCCGTTGAGCATTACCCGGCACTATTTGGAGTATATTCTTCTAAAGTAGGTCAAGCAGGCTGCAAATGTGTTTGCTGATTATATTTTGTACTCGCATGATGCTTTTGGTCACCAAAAATATGAGCATTAAAGAAAAAAAATTGCCCTTGGTGCTCTTTGTTCTGGAATTGATTCATTAACTTCAATAGATTGCACCACTGCAGCTGCGTAATGAAACAGTTTTCTTGTATTGTTGAACTTGTATTCTTTATATGACGCAAGAGCTCGAAAAAAGGATGTTTTAGGCTACAAGATGACTGCAAGTGACAGTTCAGTGATTCCTTGTTGCCGAGAAATTGTACCATGCCTCGGGGTAATCGTGTTTGAAGTAAAGGGATGCCGTGCTTCTACTCATGTTACTGATACAATGATCTGAGGTATTGCTGAGATCAATAACTAATGAATGCTCTCTGTGGTTTATGTGTGTGAGGATAATTTGTTTCTAAGCGTCTCTGCCCATCTGGATATTAAGTGTTCAATGAATAATGGATTATGTGTGTACGACGCCCAGCAGGAAGTGTTGAAATATGTTTGGTAAAAGGAAGGAGGAACACAAGGTTCCCTACCTGTGTTTTGATCAAACCACAGATGTTGCATTGTAGCCGCAGTGCATGCTGGGAGTTCCTTTTCGGGCTCCACTCATGTGTAAGTAAACAAAATTGTCATTGTAGGACCTGACAGTTTCCTCTCAGCTCTGCAAAATGTACTAATTACAGCAAGAAAGTGATGCGCTCTAACTAGGAGAGCGTGAGAGTCAAGCTTGCTCTCATCACATCCTAACTCTGCAGGGCTGCGTTTATGCAAGCATGGTTGTAATACTCCCTAGTGAGGGTGCTTTTGAGCTCCGGGATTTACTGTTCTGTGCACCGATATCGTGTTCGCGCACCTTGTTTTATCTGTTCTGGTTTTAATACTAATTAAATGCCATACCCAACTTTCGTTTGCCACACACACACAGGCTGACAGTTCTCTGTCTGAGGTCTCCTCATCGCTGCAGTCATATGCCTGTTGGCAGTCAGCCACAGCAACCCAAGCCTCCTGCGTGGCAACCCTATCTATCCCAGACACTGACCATGGGCACCAGAATAGTAAATAATATGTGAGTGCCAGTAGAAGGAATGCTATTGCCCCTGACAAACAAAATATCTGTAAAATCTCACCTTTGGACAGAAGCTAAATTTAAGTGTCCCCACCCGCCATAAGGGCTTTTGACTTCATGGAACATAACACAAGGAAACTGGAAGAAATGCCTCTGCTTGATGCTGCTTTGACGTAGTTGGAGGGCGGGCATGCACATACAACCACGCATGCTGGCAAAGATAAGCTGTGCACTTAGCAGAGGCATGTGGACATAAAAGTGACACCAGCCTATAATGGGGTTACGTGGGGGGGTTTGCAGTCTGAGTCCAAGATGGTGTTCCCGGAGACATGAAACCACTTTAGATATCAGGGTCAAGACTTTGACCCCCAGTTTACTACACATACAAAAACTGTGCTTATGGTTCTGTGAAGCTGGTTGGCTGTAAATATGCATCAAATGGACCAAAGAATGCACCACTGTACGGCGGAGGAACTGCTTTTGAGCTAGTGTATAACTCTTGGTTGATCCCTTACTCATCCTGCACAACTGAAAATGAAAAATTAGCTCCAAAGCAAACACCTGACAAAGGTCCAAGTGACTTCTATTTGTGATAAAAGTGATAATATGCTGCTTACAATTAAGTTTTAGCTGTAATTGAGGTCATCGCTTTGGGATTGCAAGTACAACATAGAAAAAGAATCTAGTTGCATTTGAAGAAACTGATGGATTCACGTCTGTCTGAATTTCTGCATTGTAAAGAGATCGAGACCTGGCCTGTTTACCACAGACGTCAGAGTAATTTCACATCACAACCGTGCTCTTTTGAGTTCACCCAAACAGCTGCTGCAGAGAGGCCAAGACTGTATCCTCTGCTCATCAAAGCCCTGGCTCATCCTTAGGAGGTGAATGTACACCAGACATAGTGGGTCAAGTGAGGCTTAAAAAAAGCTTATGATAGGTCTTACCTGTTCTCAACAAGGAATTCATTTGGCCTTATCAGTTCATTTGATGCTCAAGTTGAAATGATGGATCATGTCTGCTACCCTGCTGTCAGTAAGATGTAAAAGTAGAAGGAGATGTTTTGGAGTCACTCTGCTGTGACCACACTGTGCTATTATGTTTATTAATGACTTGTCGGCAACTTTAATTTCACTGATTGGGTTTTCCTCTACACAATATGTGTGGTATTACATTGGCATTAATCAATAGTGGACAGGTTTAGGGGTTACAGCAATACCAAATCTTCATTAGCATAACTGCATTGCGATAAACTTAGAAGCATGAGTTCCTCTTTTTTAAATTCAGTTAACTTCTTCCTATGACCGTGCAAATGAAGACCACAGGTTAGCTTTCTGTTTTTCTCCGGACAAACTCACCGACCTAAAATAGCTTGACGGCCGGAATACTGAAGTTGGATCGAAGGTCTCTTTCACTGCGTGACACCTGTGCTTTCTCTCAGCATGCAGCCTGTCTGCATCTCCTCTGTCAACAGGTTCATGATCTGTCAAAGAGTTTGTGAGTTTACAGCAAAATAAAGACTTGTTTACAGCTTAAGGGCCGACTATTCCAATCCGATATGATCTATAAAGCAGATTTAAAAACAAAAGAAGTACAATCAGATCAGAAAAACAACATCACATTAAAACAGTGAAGTGATACAGACCAGCCTAGAACAAGAACATGCTATACTTCATGTTTTATTTGTGCTGCTTTGATGATCTTTGATGATGTTTGTAAGCGCAGATTAGACAGAAGTATCTCATCTGTGAAGAAATGCATGTTTAGTAGATATCATTGCACTTCTTGAACCCATATCCAAGCAGCTGCAGTCCTTCTTTCATAAACGCCCGATTCTCCACATTCCTCAGGCTGCAGAGATTCCCCTCTGCCCCTGTGTCAACGCTTGGCCCCCGGCCGAGACATGCTCACCAACAGGCCCCACGCTCTATGGAAACTCTAGTCCTTCTCAATGGACAAATGCCTCAGCTGAGCCACATACAGATGGACATACACACAAGCACAGTTGCACACTGTACAGAGCAAGAGGCAGGGTTGTGTAAGAGTGCCCGCAAGTTTTGCAGACTGCTGCAAACACACACACACACTCACACAAACAGGGTTCTCCCATGGCCTCAGAGCAGACAGTGAATCTCTGTGAACTGAGATCTCTTTTGTTTACCCCGAGAGACAATAATGTGTCTGTTCTCTCTCTGTCTGTTTTCTATCTCTTCCCCTCTTTCCTTTCATTTGCTCTCTCCATGCTCACCCCCTCTTTCTTTCTTTCATCCTGCCTTCCCTCGCTGTACCTCATCTCCAGGATGACCATCTGCGACCTCTACACCATGCCCCGTGTGGCTGAGCCCGTCTGGTTGACCATGATGTCTGGAGCTTCAGAGAAGAACCAGCTCTGCGGTCACTTCATGAGGGAGCTCTCCCTGTTGATGGAGCAGGCCTCCAAGAACCAGTTGAGTGTCTCACACCTGGTCTAACGTCAGTCGATGAATGTCTACAAAAATCTGTATCAGAGCACATTTCCAAAGCACGACACCATCAGAGGGATTAGTCCACTCTTTACACCATAACACCCAGTCACTGTGGAATCAGGCTTTTAATGGATGGACCTGCTCTGAGCTGAAAAGTAATAAGAAATCAAGCAAGCTCCCAGATATCAGGAAGGGAAAACATGCGCAAAAGCACTCACACATGCATGTTTTTTTCCCCCACATCTTTTCTTAGCGTGTGCTTCCTGGATGAGCATATCTGAAGAAAACATGTGGTTTTTACATGAACCACCCATTCTGTCTCACACTTGTACATATCCGTGGTCTTTCTTTCTAAGATTCCAATGCGCACACACTCACTCACACTCACACACACAGTGGATGTTTCTCCCCTCTTTGCATTTATTTGTCAGCCACAGAGGGAGCTGTGAAAGAGAAGATCCCTGCCAGGCTCTAATTGCTTATTGTAGCTGTTACAAAGCCCCGTCAAACCACTGCTAATTGTACATTTCTGAATTGGTAGCAAGGCTTTTATTGAACATTACACCCTTATTCAGTGGAGTTTATTTAAGTAGCATACAGCAAGCTGAACTGAATAATTACACCAAATCACGAGACAAAAGGACAAGTTGCTAATGCATGACAAAAATGCTAATTTATGTACTGTAGACACTTTATGTTTATTTTTATGCTTTACCTCACAAGAGTCCAAAGCTTTATAGATAAATATAAAGGCAACAGATAACCATGTTTTGTTGTGGGAAAAAAAACCAATAAATTTTTCTCTAACTTTGCAACAAACCGAACAAACACACGCTTAGTCTGGGACACCTATGGAGCAGCTTTCCATGATTTGCGACTCCATGATTTGCGAAAACTCCTTATTTATGTGAAAACCCCTGTTTTTAGTATTATCCACCCTCTGTCTCTTTTAGCTGCTCCAGCGATACAAAGTTAGAAAAAATCTCACTGTTGCAGAAACCTACAAGCCAGATGTTGGAGCTGAAAATGATGTCACACCCAAGTTAACAGCATTTCAGTTAACAAGTCGGAAAAAAGCAAAATTGGAGGCCTGAAACAAGATGGCTACGTCTACGAAAGTTATTTTACTGCTTGCCTTATATCCGGACAAGTCGAGGGCTAAAATAACTTTCATAACGCTGGTAACTCGGGTGTGACGTCATTTTCATCTCGGACTTCTGACTTCTGAGATAACTCGAACGCACCATTAATTTTCACACAGTTTTGTAGTTTTACAGAAAATGTTTGAGGCTAGCTGGTAGTGCCCACTAACACACATTAGAGGGACATCCAACATGGTAACAAACTGTATGCATTAAAGTAGTAATCAGTGGAATAGGTCCCTTTTGCGTGAAAACGAACTCGTGTAATCAGTCGTTGCAAAGATCGACTGTATTGCTGCCCTTCCTTTTTGATGGTAATACCCGCACCACAGAACATGATCCAGTCTGGTTCCCAGTGTTCTTTTAATCCCTGGCAGGCTTTCATTGTTAACCGTCAACAGCAACACCGTCACCAAGGCAACTATTAGTGTTTCACTTCTTAATTACAGTCTCCATTTCCATCACTACTGGTTAAAATGACTACCACACAACAACTTCAAAGCCTTGCGTCCCCAAGGCAACCATTGGTCTGACTGTATCACATCACATCTTTTCTTCAGAAATCCCGTCATCATTTCCACAGTGAGATACGATGACTACTGCAGTAGCATCTGCGCTCGTGCATGTGATTGAACTTGAGAACCATGACGTAGTGAGTCATGAGACAGGAAGTGAAATAGACACTTGTGGTCTGGACTAAGAAGTGAATCATGCTTAAGGAATGTGTGTATCACTTCTTTGTGTGTCTGTGTACATGCGTGTTGTTTGAGAACAAGAATTCTCGTCAAGCTGAACTTGACCAGAAACTCTCGTTTAGTGAAGAACATCTGAACTTAACCAAACTAGGTCAGAGAGAAAATGGGAGACAAAGTGATTTCTGTGTTCGGCAAAACGGTAAATACATTTTGAGGTTTTCTTTTCTCTCAGCTGACCGACTTGTGTGTGTCATTTTAGATTCCTCCCCGCGTTATTGACAGCCATCCTGACCAATCACCTGGCCTGGGTGCCCACCGTCATGCCCAATGGGCAGCCTCCAATCAAGACCTTCCTCGAGAAACACTCCTCTAAGAGCGTCGATATGCTGGCAAAGACGCACCCTTACAACCCGCTTTGGGCACAGCTAGGTGAGGCAATCTAAACAAACACACACACATACGTAGTTTAGACACAACTAGTTTAGCACTCAGAGGGTTGGACTGTAAAGACAAGCCAGTGTTTGGTCTTCGTCTCAGCTGAAGGTGGAACAGTTTCACTCCTAACGTGCCATTAACTAGAGAGCTTAACGTCTTCTTTGAATATGAATACATTAAGTCATCAATCTTTATTATCTCTTTGTGTGTTTATGGTGTAGCTGCAGGTTTAGAAATCTGTCGGGCAGCATTTCACGATAATGGTTTAAGGTGTTAAAGTGTGGCTGTATCAATTTAAGGTGTTGAAATGCTGCTCTAACAATAAAACAGCAGAAAGAAAACAGAATTAAACACCTCGAACACATGAATATCTCTCAAGTGTCAGCGTCAATCTTCTCTGATGAGATGTTGAAAACATGTTTTTATCTCACTGGCAAGCCTGTTGCATCAGTGGGGATCCAGAGATCTATTTCAACAAACTTTCGCTGATTTGAAATATTGTAAATAGTGTTTGATTTATCACCTCCAGAGGCAGGTGTTGATATCCTATAAATACACAGATCCCATAAAGAATATTTTACACTTTGACCCCATGTGACATAGAAAACAAATACCAAGAGACTCTATGGTGACACCTTGTGTTTACAGCTGGTAACTACATATCAGAGCCTGTTTTTATTTATGTATTTATCAGTTTTTCATGAAATAACACACAGAACAAGAATAAGACAACACATATCTTGACACATTACAAGAGAAGAAAAGAAAAGAAGACACAAGTTACAATAGCATAGAAATAGATCATATCAGATACAAACTCCTGACATTAATTGCCTGTTAAAGGGGAAAATATTACAGTGACATTTCTGTAAAGACAAATCGTGGATGCTTTTATTTAATAAGCTAGCTAGATCACTCGAAAAATAATCTACAAAGGTTTGCCAGATATTTAATAAAGAGGTTTTCATCAGCGTTCAGATGAGGTGTTTCACAGGAGAAAAGAAACGTAAATGTCTGTGCGATTGCGTGACTGAGGAAAGCCTCAGTTTTCCAAATGAAAGTTTCAAATTAGGAATGTTGAATTAATGATGGTCAGAAAATAGTTTATTTTTCACTGTTTCTTTCACCAAACTGACGTATTTCAGTCACTGATCAGTCATGCTCATCATTTTTCTGTCTCCTCGTGTAGGCGACCTCTACGGGTCCATTGGGTCGCCTGTAAGGCTGTCGAGGACAGTAGTCGTCGGCCGCAGACAGGAGCTGGTCCAGAGACTCCTCTACGTCCTCACTTACTTCATCCGCTGCTCAGAGCTGCTCGAGACCCACATGCTGGACAGCGCTGAAGACGAGGCCATTGTTATGCCTGGCTCTCTCATCACCACCTCCTTGAGGAAAGGAGAGGTGGAGGAGTCAGACTACGTCCTGGTGACCGTCCACAAACCCAGCAGGGACTATTTGTCTGAAGGGGCCAGCGGTGGACAGACTGAGGCTGAGGACAGCAGCTACCCTTCAGACAACAGCCTCCAGAGCAGCACGTACACAGACACAGAGGTGGAGCACGGCACCGGAGACACACCTAAGGAGGAGGACGAGGAAGAGGAGGAGGAGGAGGAGGAGGAAGATGAGGAGGACAGCAGTGAGAGTCAGGGCTCTCGGAGCAGTGTGCTTCAGTCAGGACACAGCCAGGGTAACAACCCTGACATCAGGACTACAGAAAAAACTGAACTGCATGAGCTTCGCAGGGAGTCCAGCAGCCCGCTCGCCACTGAGACTCGGCTGGAGACGGTGCTGCGTGTCGGTTCAGCTTCCCCCAGGGAGCAGATCTCTGTGCTGGAAACAGAGACCAAGAGTGATCCCAAACAACCCACAACACTTCCATCAAGTCCATCACCAAGTCCCGTCACAACGGAGAGTACGTACTCTGGGGCAGAGGCTGCGATGGATGCAGGCAGCCAGCTCCAGGCTTCTCGACCTTTGGATATCCCTCTTGAGAAGAAACCACCGGACAAGAACGCAGCTGTCACAGTACCGGTACCAATAAGTGGGCCCATGGCTTTGACTCTGACGGAGGAGGAAGAGCCGACAACTAAAGTCACTTTCCTCATCGGGGACTCCATGTCTCCCGAGTCGGACACAGAGAGCCGTGGAAGGAAGGTGGAGGAAGAAATCAAAAAGCACAAGAAACACCTCAAGGACAAACATCCGCTTCACCAGCAGCTGCTCCTGCATCAGCAACAACAACATCTCTATCAACATCAGCTGCAGAGAGGGGCGCATTCAAAGACCAGCAACAGCAGTGCAACAGAGGACCAAAGCAAACAGACCAAGGCGGCTCCACCTCTCCAGCGGGTGTCAAGTAAGATGCCTCAGTGGAACCCCAGCTGTATGGATGATTTTGATGAGTATTTCAGTGTGGAGAACCCAGTGGAGACAAGGACTATAGATGATGTGGCCAGACGACAGGAGGCCAGCACCACAGACAGTCTGCGCAAAGACCTGCTGGACCCCTCGGGACTCCCGCGATCACGTGACTTGGGGGCTCTAAGTTTACAGGGTGGAGTCAGGGGTCAGACTTTGTGTTCAGGAAACAGAGAGGCAGGGTCCAGCAGAAGGGGGGACACTTTGCTGGATGTCCAGAGGAGGTGCAGGTGCGGGTCCACGGACTCTTCTGACGCCTGCTGCTGCAGGGGCTGTTCTGCTGAGCAGGACAAGGGTCTTCTGTTGTCCGTCCCCATCGCCCAGGATGGAAGCAGCAGCAGCAAAGAGGACCAAAAGCGGAAAGCTGTGCCTCTCAACGACTGGGAGATTCCACGCAACGAGAGCTCGGACAGCGCGCTGGGGGACAGTGAGAGTGAAGAGACGGAGGACTGGCAGGAGGAAGTGCTGGTACCCTTCCCTGGGTGAGTGAAGGATCTACACATTCATCCACCACAACACTTCTTCACTGACTTTGTGCTCCTGCATACAAATAAGTATTTACTCCGCCATGTTGTGATAATATAGATGAAAATAATCAATGCTGTTCGCTTGACTGTAGGTCGAAGTTGGTGGAGAACTACTCAAAGCCAACCATCGCAAATTTTGGCCGCTCTCTGTTTGGAGGTTACTGCCCCACTTATGTGCCGGACTTTGTGCTGCACGGGATGCCCAGTGACGAGAAGCTGCGACAGAGCCTCATGGCTGAATTAGGCCATGCTGTCCAGGTAAAGGACTGAGAAATTTACATCTACAGGAAGAATACAGACAGAATTTGAAGTCTTGTTGCTGTTGTGATGGAGAATAAGTTTAAATAGATTTGTATTTTGTGTTGAAGTTGGCAAGTGCACCATAGTCCAGTCATCTTCAATCGCTTTTGTGTGATTTATGAGTGAACAAATAAGCCACCGCACTGTTCCTTCAGCTTTGTTTTGAGCTTATTTTGAACCTTTTTTGTTTGTCTCCTCTAGCATCCAGTGCTGGATGAGCCCATCGCGGAGGCTGTCTGCATTATAGCAGACACGGACAAGTGGACAGTTCAGGTGGCGAGCAGTCAGAGGCGAGGCACAGATGTCAACAAGCTGGGGAAGGAGGTCCTGGTGTCCAGCCTGGTTTCCAGTTTATTACAGTCCACTTACCAGCTCTACAAACTCAACCTCTCACCCAACTTTGTATGTCACCCCTGCTTTAGTCTTTGTACCTTTATTTATTTATTTTTTTACATATGTACAGTTGTGAATTCTTCGTTATTAACCATCTTTCTGCCTCTCCCCTCTACTTCTCAGTGTATAATGCACCTTGAGGACCGCCTGCAGGAAATCTACTTCAAGAGTAAGATGCTTGCGGAGTATTTGAAGGGCCAGACAAGAGTCCATGTGAAAGAACTGGGCATGGTCTTAGGGTGAGTATTTAACCCTAAAGTTAAGTTAATGTATTTGCCTCTTTAAGATCCAGCATTAGAAGAAAGTACAAGTTGTATTGTTGTTAGTTTTTTTAACACACAGATTACAGTAGCTGCTGCAACATCCTGATCATTCTTTTGTTTTGTTTTATTTGAACAGGATCGAGTCCAGTGACCTTCCCCTGTTAGCCGCAGTGGCCAGCACTCACTCCCCCTATGTGGCCCAGATCCTGCTATGAGACTGCAATAGCGCAGAGGCTAAGGGGGGCTGCCCGAGGGGGTCCAGGCAGACCTTGGAGGTGTCTCCTTGGCTCCCAACACACCTGTCCTCCGGGTGACCCTCAACATGGTCCCCTGACTCACTCACCTGTGCTGAGTACGATCTTTGCTCTGAGGCTAAAGCAGCACACATGGACCACATCCATCCAGCTCCTCCTCCCTTAACTCCCCCTGCTGCTCAATGTGGTGTAATGCTGCCGTTCCGCCACAGGGGGGAACTAGAGACCACAGACCTAAACAGAGGGAGCGAGAAAGCGAGTATCCCTGAAAAGACCTTCTCCTGTTGTTTGAATGTTTCTTTTACAACAGGATTCTTTATTTTGGGACAAGAAAGCCAAAGACTTTTTTTCATTTTTTCCAGTTCAGAATGAAACTTTGAAGATATCTAAAGTATAACAATAATGGGTTTTCTTTCTTCTTTTTTTTCTGTACAATCTCAAACCCAGTCATGCAAAGAAAACAGACATTTTGAGGCATTTCTTTGCGTTAAATATCATAAAGAACATTATCAATCTCATGCCAATTATGTTATTTCATTTATCCTTATGCATTTGTTTACAAGTTAAAATTTCCTTTGGATGTCTCAGAAAGAAATCTCAGAAGATATTTTTGATTTTTTTTTTTCTTTGTCCAGTTGCAGCGCACACCTGATTCAAAGCCTGTTTTTTTTTTTTTTTTTAATCATACGAGGGTATCAAAACTCCCGGTGATGTTTTTGGCTCAAAGTGCTTTTGACATTCTTATCAGCGGTACAGCACTACCTCAGATCTTCGTATGGACGGTAGATGACACACACACATTTACGGCGGCTCCATAGAAAACCCTGAGGTAAAATTTTATAAACTATTTTAATCAGAAGATTGTCGGCGTCAACTGTGTGCAGACTCTATGCTGTGTTCGTAGTAAAAACAAAAAAAAAAAAGGGAAGGCTGCTAAATTCCTTCTTACGATCATTTCACTTAAAAATGAACGACGAAACACATTTTACTTCCGATTGTGATAAAAGGAGGAGAGAGTCCCTTTCTACTGTGTAAAAATAAGAACTCACATCATCTATGTCTATTTTAAAACCAAAATGCTGAAGTATTTTCTCACTTTTATAGCTTCCCACCTTTTTTATGATGTTTACAGCTTCAGTGTTTTGCTGCAGGGAGCAGAGACAGCAGTAGTAAGCCTTATTATAGCGGGTTAAAATGTGTATCAGTTAACACTATTTTCCAACAGAAAACGCATAATACAAACTATTATTGCACACTCATTTTGTTCCTTTTCTTATAAGAGATAACAAATCATGGATTTGAGTTGTCTTGACACAGGGCCGGGTTGTGATTTGCTGAGAGTAGACACCGGTGAGATTACTTTCATAGCTTTTAGATTTCCCTCTTGGCGTCAGGTTGAACCTGCAGTCGGGCATAATTACACCATATTCGTTTTTGTTGTCATCGAATGACAGCATTAGAAGATAATCTGTAATATGTTGGCTCTGAAGCGAGTACATTAGGGTGAGTTTAAATTCCAGGATGAATGTCTGCTTTTTTTTTTAAATATAATAAAAACATCAAAAAAGCACACAATACTTTACAACTTTACTACAGCCCAGCCCCTGCTTTTAGTCCAACAAAGCCCCCCTAATGTTACTTCAAGTTTAGTTTGTTTACCTTCATTAAAACTCCCTGTAGAGGTTCCCTGGAAGTAAAAAATAAACTCTGAAAATCAAACTTGAGAGGGACCAGTGTGTAAGATCGAAGGGCATCTGTTTAAAGCAATTAAAGTCATTTTTTTAATTGGTTAAACCTGAAAATAAAAAAGGCAGTTTTCGCGTCTCAAAATCAACACAAAATAAGGTTACCATGATCAGTCTACAGTGGCTCAGAATGGACAAACGCTTAAATGCAAACTAATCCTACACACTGCCCCTGCATAGACACAGACACACACAGTTTGTATCAGAGTACGGATGTCAAAGATGACTCACATTACAAGAAAAAAACAAAAAGAAAAAATGGGCTTTTTCCTCTAAACTCATATCGCATCCTGTAAATGACCCAAGTCTTAATAGAAATATGGCATGAATCTATCACAGGCCTCTGGAGAGCTCGTTTTGCTGGTAAAATTACAATATATACTCATGCTTGTTACTGTATGAAGATGCTTTGCTGTATCAGCCTACCTTTTTTGTACAACATGCCTTTATGTTTAATAGGTATGAGTTTATATCTGCTTTGCCCTCTTTGTACATACATAAATTATTTAGCTGCCCATGGTTTGTGTAACGGTTCATGTTAAACTGTACATACTCAAGTTTATTTCCATGTGTTTGTACAGAATTGTCACCTCAGATTATTTTTTCCCAATTTTATGGGAATATTGTGCAATAAAGATGCCGATGTCAAGATTGTATATGTCTGGGAATTTCTATCACAGGATCCGAGAAAGAGAGGAAAATATCCTGGAAAAGTTAAATATTTCACACACAAGTTTCACACACAAAAGTTTTTGACACTGAAATTTTTTTATGTTGAATTTTTTGACATTGAGTTTTTTTATGTTAAATTTTTGACACTGAATTATTTGACATTTAAAATTTTTTATGTTGTAATTTGACATTGAATTTTTTTGTTGAATTTTTTGACATTGAATTTTTTATGTTGAATTTTTTGACATTTAATTTTTTCTTGTTAAATTTTTTGACTGAATTATTAGACACTGAATGTTTTAATGTTATTTTTTTTACATTGAATTTTTCTTATGTTGAATTTTTTGACATTGATTTTTTTATTTACACAGTTTTTTTAGTTTAATTTTTTACTAAACAAATCTTTTGAGAGACAGATTTTTTTACACTGAATTTATTTCATCATTGAGAAATAAAAAGCTGTCAGAAATAAAAATGCATGCTTGAAATCCAAGAGTTTCGAAATTCAAAGTCTGATTTTGATGCAAACAAAATTCAGCTTTAGAAATTCAAATTCAAAATCAGATGGCACAGATGATGCCGAATTATTTGACACTGCTATTTTTTTATGTTGAATTTTTTGACATTGAATTTTTTTATTTACACAGCTTTTTTTGAAGTTAATTTTTACTGAACAAATCTTTTGAGAGACAGATTTTTTTTACACTGAATTTATTTCATCATTGAGAAAAAAAACTGTCGGAAAGAAAAACGCATGCTTGATATTCAATCGTCTCGAAATTCAAAGTATGATTTTGATGCAAAACAAACAAAAAAATCAGCTTTAGAAATTGAAATTCAAAATCAGATGGCACACATTTACTTCCATACTATATTTCAAACAAACTGGGTTGTAAGTATGAATAATGGGAGCTCTGTGCAGAATTACCACTTTGTTTAGATTTCTGGTGGTTTGACTCCCACTACTCACCATCTGGATCACACATTTCACCCACCTTTGAATTTACCACCCTGAAACTAACCGGCTGCCCTGACTCGGGCTCCACCCCCACCCTTCCCGCGGCACGGGAGGTAAAACGAAACGAGCACACACCGCAGTTATGCAATAAAGGAAGGAGTGCCCCAGACAGCTGAAAGCGAATACACAACAGGCAAATGTTGAATGTGACTTCTGTGAGTGAAAACCCCCGTGATCACACTTTTTTCCAGAGAAATTTTTATTTTAGGGAGCGGAGACACCAAAGTAGCCTGCTGGCGGTGGCTCAACAAACCTGGCGTTTATTCAATGTTTGGATAAAACTTGGAGATGTGCCCTAAAACCGCGTCTCTGATTTTACGAGGTTAACTTGAAATTCAAAGGAAAAAAATGGGTGTGGCGTTTGAGTTTCCCATGAATCTGGAGACGTGGTTGTCCTGAGTGAGCTGCTTCTTTTACATAAAGGGTACAGGCGTGAGAGAGGTGATTATTCCCACTGTCGGATCAGCGGTCATCAAATCCGACTACAAAAGTGTCAGAAGTCAGAGGGAGGATCTGTGGTGCGTTCAGGGACCCAGTTAGAGCTCGTTCTCAAAAGCTTCGAAATATGAGTTTGTAATTTTATGACAATGAAGCGGGACTGCATGAAAAAGGAGGCACATTATGAGTTCCATAATCACAAAGGTTATCTATCACACATGGTACTTTGTTAATTATATAAGATACCTATACCAGAGGTGTTATTTTCAACAACTTTTATTCTAAATGGTGTTATCTTCAGTTTCAAATATTCCAAATTTCAACCTTTCATCCAGAGAAAACAGTTTGGATAACTAGTAAAGAATCCTGCCCTCGGAATGACCTGTCAGAGTACAAATATGGGGGAAAAAAGTCCTTTGAATACCCCGCTAGTATAGAAAATATGTGGGAAAATGCCCTCTTAATGTCCTGTATATAAAACACAGTAAAGGGCCCTCTGAATGCCCTGCCAGTGTAAAAAATAAGGAAACAGACCCCCAAATGCCTTCCTGGAATAATGCCCCCCTAAAAGCCCTTTCTCTAAATAACAATATAATAAAGTAAAACATTGCACTTTCGATGGCCTTTCAACAGATTAAACATATAATGATGCCCTTCAGTTACTTTTCTGTTATATCAAAGAATGACAAAGTGCTTTTTAGTTGCCTTTCCTGTACAAAGAGAACAGAAAAGTTGTGATCTGTAATCTGAATGCCCTTCCAGTTGATCAACACAAACTACAGCTGTGAATGTTCTGAATCACTTAAAGACATTCTCATATTAAAATGTTTTTTTTTTTTTCATAAAACAGCTTTTTAGCAGTTATATGCAATGATAATAACAAAAGAATTATTGCACCAGTTGAATAGTCTATAATTGATAAAAATACACATGAATGTGAAGAAGTGACTGTTATTTAGGGAGAGAGAAGGTGAGGGAACTTACCCCGCTGCTATGGTCAACTTACACCATGCAAGGTTTAAGTTGACCATAGGAGACCGCTTTTTTTGGCATGCTATATTATCAAGACAGTTATGTTTACATTCATT